GATCCCGGTGCCATCCCTTTTCCCGGTGTAATCCCGTTCCCGGTGGAAACCTATTTTCTTGTGGCTCCGGATCCAGAAGGACTCAAGATCCCGTTGGGATCCCGATCCCGATCCCGTTGGTGCTTTTATCCCAGTGGGATCCCGATCTCAGTGGATCCCGATGGCTACTGATCCCGTTAGGATTCCGTTCTCTGTGGGATCCCGTTCCAGCTAGGGAACTCTTTTCCTATGTTATCCCTTTTCGTGATAGGATCCTGATCCCGTTTTGATCCCGTTACCCGATGGTATCTCGATGGTAACCTGTTCCCCGATGGGTCCGCGTAACCGATGGGTCCCATTAGGATCCTGTTTCTCTATGGGATCATGCTCAGTGTGATTTTGCTCGAATAAGCTTTTAGATCTAATTAAATATCCCCGTAGAACAATATAGAACAATATAGAACAATGTAGAACAATATAGAACAATATAGAACAATATAGAACAATATAGAACAATATAGAACAATATAGAACAATATAGAATATTCTAGGTTAAATTAAATATCCTCCATGAAACGTGTAAAAAATTGCTTTTCTACGTCATTATGTCTCGAATGCGAAATGTTATACAACTAACTTGTAGTACTATAACTATAGTACATTTTAATTGATATAGGGGCCAAGTGGTGGCCCATTTAATAAAGTACCGTTTTAGTTATGTCTGAAAATTGGGGGGTGGGGGTGGGCGGGCTAAAAAATCATTCAGATAAATTATAGATTTAAAATTTGTCCTATTAAAATTTGTTTTAAAATGCCATAGATATAGCTTTTTTAAACTATCGAAGTTTCTAGAAAAATCTAGATCGGCCCTGAATGGATGGGATATTTTTAGTTTTAAATCCACCGATATTTTAATACGGACTATGAAGTGTATTGCTACAAGGCTAGGCCTAGATCAACCTATTCACATAGAACCTATAGTGTTGTCTAACCCTAATATAGCTTATATTAGGAACAATGACATGGGGCCCCCGGCCCCAGAGGTATGGATATCATGAGTTCAGTACCCTTCGTTATTTGAATATGGATAATCAATTGTATGTGTGTTAAGTTTGGTCAAGATCCATTTATCCATGTTGGAGTATTTGTTGTTAATTTTATTTATATAGTTCATATCAGGAAAAAAAACGAATTCAGGGCCCCCGATTGTGACCGTTGCGGGTAGAGTTTCGAAATGAAACCTGTTTAACTTTTGTAAATCAGGTGTAAGGAATGGGCCTGCCAAATTTCAGGCTTCTATCTACAGGGGAAGTTGGAGAATATAGCTTATATAAGAAAAAATGAAATGGTGCCCCCCGGCCCCAGAGGTATGGAAATTATGATTTCAGTACCCTTCGGTATTTGAAAATGAATAATCAAGAGTATGTGTGCTACGTTTGGTAAATATGATCCATCGATTCATGTAGCAGTATTTGATGATCATTTTATTTATATAGCTCAAACAGGGAGGGAAAAAAAACGACGTTTTGGCCCCCGGCCCCAAACGGTATAGAGTTTTGAAATGAAACCTGCTTAACTTTTGTAAGTAAGCTGTAAGGAATAAGCCTGCCAAATTTCAGGCTTCTATCCGCAGGGGAAGTTGGAGAATTAGTGATGAGTCAGTGAGTGAGGGCTTTGCCTTTTATTAGTATAGATTATTTAATCATTGAAATGTTTAGTTCGCATAAATGACTTGCATGCCTGTCGTAAGCTCCCATCGATCGTGATCTTGGCAAGTGGAATGAAATTAGGGATGCAGCAATGATTTGCAAATAACATTGCGTTCATGGGCGCCCTACGTTTTTCTAGTCATATGACTTATGACAGCGGTCTTCAAACTATGGCCAGCGGGCCAGATCCGACCCACCAGGGGTCTTTAATCCGGCCCACCGTAAAGGTACCTGGATAGCAGGGCAAACATGGAGCCAGAGATTAATAATTTCACTAGCTATGAAATACTATGAAGTTTGTGTTTTATCTAGTTTTTTCTACATTTTACATATTGTGACCGCCGAAGTCATCATTCAGGAAGAAATTTATAAGAGTTGCGGCAAATTTGAGTCGGGCCGGGGGGGGGCAGTACAACCAAGGTCAATACAGGGGCGTAGCTAGGATTAGTGCCACCCGTAGGCTTTTTGCTATATTTAAAAAAAAAAATTAAATAAATAACCATTTGCAATTAACCGAAATGTAGCCCCTCCTCTGGGTAAGCATAATAACACCGCTTTATAAGTATTGTCCTTTTTTTAGAAGGATATAGAATATTTTTTAGAATATAAATGATCATAAAGTAAGAGCTACATAATTATAGAATGTGTTCATATATTTTACTTTAAAGAAAGCCATTGACATTTCGATATATTGCAAACTTTAACATTACCAATCAAATATCCTCATCAACACCGGGCACAGAAACATTGCAAATCCCCTCTACATGCATAGGAGCCAAAGTGATCAATGGGCTCTTCATGTATAGAGGAAGAACTGTTTTTCCTCTTCACCATAAGGCTTGTGAGTCTGTCGATTTGGCGGGCTCAGGGGGCTGCATCCGTTGGGCTGGGGTGTCCCGGTTGCGTTTGTGCGATTCTTGGAATTTCTGAGGGCGGGATCGGGCTTGCGCCTGTCCGGCCTGGTTCTTGGTGGCGGGGTGTGTTCCCTGGCGGCCCGTCTCGGGGGGAGGGGGGCTGATTTCGGCATGGATGTTTGTTTGCTCCTGTGTGTGTTTTGTTGTTGGGGGTGTGTCGGTGGGTTTGTTGTCTGTGTTGTCCCACACCAACCTTCACCGGTCGTCGAAATCAAAAAACGAATTTTTAATGGTTGGATATCACATAATGAAATCTCTACTTATAAAACCATTTAGCCTTTTTGGACATTTTCAAAATTATTTTTCATTTATGCGCGTGTGAATCCAAATGTGCGCAACAAAGTCTTAATAGGGCATATTTCATTTATTTGATGTATCCTATTATAATTATTTGTACACTCATTTTTTTCACTTCACTGTCTATTTCTAAATTCTTTCTTCAATTGTAGCCATTGTAATTTTCAACAAACTATTATAATTGACAAGGTTATGTAATTGAAAAAAAAACCAAAAAACGCGAACTAATGTCAGCACCATCAGATAGTATGTGTCGCTCAACACTTGGGAGTGGAGATTAATCCAATAAATGTTGACCTTGTCATAGTGCCGCAATATATTTTATAAACAAAACTCCAAATGCTTTAGATATAAAATAAATAACAATATGGGATTAAATAATACAATGAGAGAGGCACAATTTTGTCATCCAATGAACTGCATAGGTCTATGAAATATTTTATGCAATAAAACTAAACTTAAAACGTTACTCACATTTAATCGAAAAGAATAAAATGAGTTTAAGAACACTTATCAATTGATATTTTGCGGAAAAAATTAAACAAAAGTAATACGTTTTTTCAAATAAAAGAAAAATAATATTTTTATGGCCTTATCCCTATTATTAATCTTTTTTTTTTTTTTTTAAATTATCAAAATATATCACTTATTTTAAAATTTAGCTATCACTCTGATCCAGTCGGGATCCAAAATCCGTGTGAAATAAAAAACAACAACAACAATCCTTTAGTGATAGTTATAATTGATAAGGGTCAAAATAAATACTTTTTTCTCCTGGAATATATCTTTAATTTGGTATTTTAGTTTGCATTGTTGATGCTATGTAGGTTTTTGTGTAAGTGTCAATTGTGTATTTACTTACGTCAACTGAGATTCTATACTAAAAATTATAATGTATTAGTGTCAATTTTAAGCATTTTAATTTAAAAATTTTGTGGGGTTTTGTTTGCTTTGAGTATTACACTATAAAATAGGGTAATAAAAGGAGAGACTGCAATCTGGTTAGCACAACATACAATGAGTAAAACAGAGTAGGGTTAAACCTGAAAAATAACGTAACAAAACGTGAGTCTGTAGGACACAGGTACTGAGGTGTGAGTCTGTAGGACACAGATAATGAGGTGTGTGTCTGTAGGACACAGCGACTGAGGTGTGAGTCTGTAGGACACAGATACTGAGGTCTGAGTCTGTAGGACACAGATAATGAGGTGTGAGTCTTTAAGACACACACACCGAGGTTTGAATCTATAAGATACAGCTACTGAGGTGTGAGCCTGTAGGACACAGATAATGAGGTGTGAGTCTGTAAGACACATATGCCGAGGAGTGAGTCTATAAGATACAGCTACTCAGGTGTGTGTCTGTCCCACAGATAATGAGGTGTGAGTCTGTAAGACACATATACTGTACTGCTCCTTTACATTTTATCGTATCTCATCATCATCATCATCATCATCATCATCATGTACCTTAGTCCTTGGACCGTTGGGGCGCCACAGATGAAAAGTGAACTATACTCCTCCATTCGTCTCTTTCTTCTGCACTACGCACAGCATCGCCCAGTGTTAGTCCTGTCCAATCTTTGATGTTATCCTCTCATCTTTTCCTTTGTCTTCCTCTTCTTCTCCCTCCTCTTGTGGTGCGCTGCAATATTTTTTTGGCAAGCCCTTGTTTCCTTGTTACGTGGCCGTACCATTGTAGTTTGCGTTTTTTCCACAGTCACCAGTAGGTCATCGTACTCTCCAATTGCCTGGCAAACCCTTTCTTTCACTTTATAATTGGAGATATGGTCCCTATAGCAGATGCCAAAAATGCTTCTGAAGCATCTCATCTCCATCGCCTTTATTTTCCTTTCAAGATTGGCTGTTAATGTCCAGGATTCGCAGGCATACAGGAAAATGGAGAGGACTAATGAGCGCATCAGCCTGATTTTGGTGCTGGGGGCTATATTTTTGTCATTCCATATTTTCTTGAGCCTCTTTAGTGCTGTTGTAGTCTGCGCAATCCTGGACATCAGTTCGGGCTTGGAGCCTTCTTCTGAGACTATTGCTCCTAGGTACACCGGCTCATTAAATGTCAAATAAATGAAACAAAAGGAATGTTTATATCTAAATTGACTTTATTTACATTATCTAAATTGTTAATAAGTTAAGTATTATTTTACACAAAGAAACAAAAAACAAAAAACAAAAAAAACAACAAACAAACAAACAAGAAAACAGACCATTGTAACAAAAACAGGATTTACAGCTCAGGACTTCTTAAGGCCGAAGACTCTGTCTAAAAATGTCCGGGATCTTCGTTTATACTCGATTATCTCCCTGCACAAGGTGTGAAAGGCATCGGTTACCTTGGTGACGTCCTCTGAAGCAGACACTTCCATGAATGAACAGCTGAGTTCTGTGGCCAGTCGAGCACCTGCAGAGACATTATTAAAGCTTCATTTAAACAGAGTAAAACCGGCATCCTTCACCGCATTCAAAATCAAGGTTGTTTGACGTCATAGTAGTTTTCATGACATTGTAATGTATAGAATATGGATTCGGGACTATTTAATAATCGATATAATTTGTCTTGAATAGATTTCTAGGTAATGATGATTTAGAAATTTAATTATAATATTTTCCCTTTTAAGTTTTGGTAAACAAGAGTTTGCAGATATATTTTAAGTTGTGAGGCGGAGATTATTGCTTGACCATCCTTGTAATAGAGCAGTGATTCTCTACCTTTTTAACACACAATTAAAAAAACAACAATATTTGAGTCGCGTACAATCATTACACATTTAACAATTATATTTTTTAAAATATGGATCGTTTTATTCGATATTTGGCTTTTTAAAAAGTTGTTATCCAGTCTGCTTTTACTCCCTAACAGCCATCAGTTTTATTAGCACTAAAGGTTGAATTGTTGTTCCACACATACATATTTAAAAAGTTGTTATCCAGGCTGCTTTTACTCCCTAACAGCCATCAGTTTTATTAGCACTAAAGGTTGAATTGTTGTTCCACACATACATATTTAAAAAGTTGTTATCCAGTCTGCTTTTACTCCCTAACAGCCATCAGTTTTATTAGCACTAAAGGTTGAATTGTTGTTCCACACATACATATTTAAAAAGTTGTTATCCAGTCTGCTTTTACTCCCTAACAGCCATCAGTTTTATTAGCACTAAAGGCTGAATTGTTGTTCCACACATAGATATTTAAAAAGATTTCACCATAGTTCCATTGAATTGCCATATTGTAAAATGATTAGCGCGCACGTTTGTCTAGTTAGCATAAAAGTTACCTAACAGCTTAGTGTTTTGAGTGGTCTTAAATATGTCGTCCGCAGTTTGAGGCAACTAAATAGTTTAAAAAGACATGTTTTGTCTTCAAAAGTCAGGACAATTAAAAAGATATTTTGACTAAAAAAGCCAACGTCATCATACAAAACAAAATAAGAAACGAGAAAAACTTCAAATTAAAAATAGAAATAACAACGTATGTTTTAGAAAATCTCAATTATGGTACAGTAGCTCACGGGTTAGAGCAGGAAGCGCTCTATTTTCTTGGTTAGAAACGTAAGTTATGCTGTTCAAAACCATTTCCAGTATTAGTCAAAACGATGTACCAAGTGTAGATTCCAAACATATTGTTCCGCATATGTGATGAATTCGATAAAAGTAATTTGATGTGTTTCCATGTCATGAAAATTCTTTTAACATACAAAAAGAAAACTAAAAAAAAATTTTTTAAAAAAAAAAAAAAAAAAAAAAAAAAAAAAAAAAAAAAAAAAAAAAAAAAAAAAAAAAAAAACACATACATTGGAAAATGTCCATCATTTTTCAGAAACAAACTGATGATTGCCATTACTTTGACATTAATGTGACATACTTCTTTAACTTTCAATTTGTCCAATCTTTGACATCAATCTTTGACATCAATCTTTGACATCACTCTTTAAAATAAATCCTATTCTTGTAATATCAACCTTCATAGAAGTATACATTCTATGTATATTTATTCAGGCTCACTCCTCAGACATCAGTAATCCACACTCAGTGCCGGATTAACCCAAAGGCCTTTAATGTACAATCTTAGTGTACCCGTCTCTTTAAGTGGCACACTGGGATTTGGGAGCCTCTTGCCCTTTAGGGGCTCCAAACGTTTTAGAAGCCCCAAACGTTCTAAGAGCCCAGGGCCTTTCAGGTGGCCCGGACACAAGAAAGGTTCTAGAAATTTCCAAATTAATTATCCATTATTACGGCCTGGGTTATATATTAAGGCTTAGATTAAGGTCTACACTTCTATGGTTATTGATTGACCTTGGCCGAAGTTGGTAAACATACCCTTCCTAATCTACTGAGTGAACAGGATCCCATCAGGAACATGAGCCCACCTAGGTAGAGTGCCCTAACGGGGAACGGGGTCCAACTGAGAAAACGTGATCCCACCTGGTAAGAGTATCACAGCAGAGAATAGATCATAACATGAATGGGATCTCACGGGGAACAGGATCCACCACGGACCGGGATCCCACCGGAGAACGGGATCCAACAGGGAACTGGATCCCACCGATAACTGGATCTCATAAGGGAACATGATCTCATCGGCGAATGGGACCCATCGGAAAATGGGATTCCACTGGGAACGGGGTCCCGCCAGGAACGAGATCAAGTGGGGGAAGGGGATCACACGGGGAACGGAATCCCATTGGCAAACGGATCCCACCGTGAAACTGGGTCGCATCGGGCAAAGGGATCCCATAGAATAACATGATCTTATCAAGGAAAAGGATCACATTGGAAAACGGGTCATCTTCAGGGAAAGGATCCCATCGAGAAACGTGAACTCACAGGGAACTGGATCCTATTGGGAAACAGGATCCCTTCTGGGAACATGTTCCTTTCGAGGAACGGGATCCTATCAGGGAATGTGAAATGTTAACAGAATTTAAATACATTTGTTTGTTTTTTTACCGGGCCTTTAATTTCGATGTTAGCTAACAGGCTGTAAAAGTTTGTTTTTTTCCAAATGCAACCCGTGTAACGCCGGGTATATTGGCTAGTACACAAACAAAATTTCACTAAACTCAGCGAATAAGCAAGCAAAATTATTATTTTTAAAAAACGTTTTAATTTCTGAAATTGATAATTAAACAAAAGGTTGACTCGAAATCAAAGATGAGGATAATGAGAGTTTTCCTGGGGAGGAGGGGGTGGGGGCAGTAGTGTACCTGTCTAGTTGTCCCCACAAGTGTTAATCCGGCATCATCCTCACTGTGTTTAAGTGTGCTCTTATCAATTAATAGGATCAAAATACAAGCTACAGCATTCTTATTGTTATCTTCGGTCTCCAAATGGCCTTGACCCGTCACAGTCTTACCTTCATCTTGTGTGACCTGCCTCACGTGCGCTAGATCTGCCTTGTTCCCCACGAGTATCACCGGCACGTGGTTGGTTTTCTTCATGTCCTCGACCTTCCGTCTCAGCTCTGCCAAGACGTCAAACGTTTTTCGTGACGTCACAGAGTACACCAGGACAAACCCGTCAGCCCACCGTACCACATCATCGCGGGCTCCCAGGTCGTCGCTCTGGTGGAGATAATTAAATACATAAATAAGGACATTTAGGATTATTGTGACGTCACAGCTGCGCTCCTAACCATACGCAGCTAATAAAATGTAGCATCTTTCCTTTAAACTTACATTAGATCTAGTGTCCAGCAGTTCAAAGGTCACAGACTCTCCTTCCAGAGTTGTCGCACACTTGTACTTGTTCTCTGTATAGGAAATAGAAAATATACATTAAACAAAGAAAAATATTTTTCTTGAGGTTTGTGAAAACAGAGATTCGGACTTTAAAAAATGATATATTTTTCATACTATACACAATAAGACATACAGATTTAAATGATCGGAAGCAGGCTTTTTCGAAAATCTCTATAATTTTCTCATTTTAAAGAAGCCAGTGAACCGCTTCTTAAAACTTGCTCAAAAAGAAATAACGCACTGTCTCTCCAGCAACTAAAGCTCTTTCTCTCACACAACTAAAACATTTTTTTTTTTTTACTGACAACTTAAACTATTCTGAAAGGTAAGCGTTAAATTTCCCCATATTTTATCCCGCATTTAGAGACATTGACTTACCCGTGGCTTGGTCATATTCCCCTATAAATCTCTTCGTCAAAAATCTGACACAAAGCGCTGATGAGATTAAAATGAAATAGTTCAAACAATTATTTTTACGTCACCAAATAAGGACATTGAAATGTATTGTGGTTTATATTTTGATCACGCAAAAACACATTTAAAAGAGAAACAAATTTTTAAAGACAATTAAATACTTTGTAAAATAATTAGATACTTTTAAAAATAATTAAATACTTTTTAAAATAGACCTTTCATCAAAGATGAAGAAAAACGCGCGAAAAGTAGAGAGTAATTAAAATTTCATAAAATTCATTGCCAAAAGGAGACTGAGCGGAAGTGTTGATGAGCCCTCTAGGAAGCTAGATAATTCGAATTGAGTGTAAACGAAAGTTAAAGTTTTTATTGAAAAATTCGCAAGATTCTACAAGAGGCAGAGTCATGACTTTAAAGATACAATTGGGTGAAAAACATTTTACCATGTCTGACTTGATAAATATTGATTGTTAACTTCGAGCCCTGCTTGTAGTTGGTAATGGGTCTTCACGCACAATAACGGCTTTTGATGTCTTACTACTTTCCCTAACAGTGCTATGCCATCAGCGTATGCAAGATATTGATAGGGTTGATTGTAAAAGAGTGGCTATTTGTTGTGTGTCTTTTATCTCCCTCAGAAGGTATCTTGCTTATTTTCCTCGTGTGTCGATATGTACGCTGCTTATAACTCTATCTAATGTTGGGTTAAATAGCATACACGACAGTGAGTCTCCTTGTCTTAGGCCTCGTCTAATTTGAAATACCCATGCAAATTCTCCATGAACCTAAGTTTTGCTTTTTGATAATGTTACATTTGTCAGTCTTGTAAGTTTGTTTGGTATTCCGAACCCTTGCAAAGTCTCATCTAGATATTTCTTTTGATGCTGTCATAGTCCACATAGATTTTATAGTCCCCATGGAGTTGATGAACTGGGCTAGTGTATTAGTAACATTTCTCTAACAGGCATCTGATGGTAAAAAATCTGATCAATCTTTAATCTGTTGGGTCTGACTCCGCATTGGTAGTCACCTATATTTTGTTCAGTGTACAGTTGTAGTCTTTTGGCAACTTGTTTTGTCAGTATTTTGTATGTACATTTTAATAGGGAAATTCTTCCGTAGTTTGTGCATTGACGTTTGGAACCTTACTTGTGTATTCTTGCCAAATTTTAGTTATATGTTTATGTTTCTGAGTGTGTAGTTCTCTTCCTCCATATCTCATAATTTCTGCAGGGATGAGGTCTTCTCCAGCGGCTTTGTGGTTTTTCCATAGGATCGATTACTTCTATAGTTTCTGTAGCTTCTCTCAATGTCTGGGAGTGGTTGATAATTTTCATCTTGTCCATTGTCTTCCTTTAGCATGAACTCAAAATTTTCAGCCCACAACTCCAGCACTTAACTATTTCCGTAAATCATTGTCGAAAAGGGCTCTAATACATTTGATATATGGCTTGCTATACATTTTTATAGTCTTTTATCTTCATGAACATTCGTCAGATATTTCCCTGACTTGGTAAGTCTCCATTTCTGTTAGTTTCACTTTTCCTCATTCCCGTTTTTTCTTCCTACACATTTTTTGTGGCTTTCCTCCTGGCTTCCTCGTATGTTTGTCTTATCTTTCTGGTTTCCCTTTCCCTTGTTTACTCTTCAGCCTCCAGCATTTCCTGTCATTTTCTGTCAGCGTTCAATGTTAATTGAGAGCAAGATGGTGCAGTACGCCAACAAGCAGAGCTCAGATTGCAGAGTTCCAATATCTAAATGTCATGTCATGTATTGTCTCGCTATTTCAGGTGTTAGTTCCAATCTGTACATGTCATGTCTCACTATTTTAGGTTTAGCTCCAATCTCTACGGTCTCGCTAATACAGGTTTTAGTTCCAATCTGTACATGTCATGTCTCACTATTTCAGGTTTAGCTCCAATCTCTACGGTCTCGCTAATACAGGTCTTAGTTCCAATCTGTACATGTCATGTCACGCTATTTCAGGTCTTTTTACTGTCTTACATGTCATGTCTCGCTATTACATGTCTCTATCGGCATCCTAAGTCTAAGTTCCGGTTTTTGCATCTTATGTCTCGCTATTTCAGGTCTTAGCTACAATCTCTACATGTCATGTCTCGCCACTTCATGGCAAGTTCATCGATAATGTGGTTTCAGGCCTATAAAGCGCAGTTGTCTATTTTAGATTTTCATTTTATGATTTACTATGACGCCATTACACGGTTTTCCGGCTGTGGCGTGCTAGAAAAGTTATTATTTAAAGAAATTAAAATCAAACTATGTCTACATGTTTGTATATGTGCATGTTTCTCTGTGTGAATGTTAAAACTTTTGTATGTTGCAGTCAGCCAAGAAAGTGTGTCAACTTACCACTCTTGCCTACTCCTGCCATCCCCAAAACTGCAATCTTAGTCTCACCCAGGGAGGACTTTTTCCTCCGTAGATATGGCTTCAGTGTGGAACCACTGGTTGGGCTGGGGCCCTCTGCAGGGGAGGTGGGGCTGCTCATGACGAGCCGTAGGATTAACCCCTTGCCTCACACGACCTCTCCTTCACTTCCCGGGCTTGGACTTGAGGGTTACTTCTTTGGGTGACGTCATTTACTCACTCAGTAAACATTTTTAACAAAACTAGTTTCGACTCTGTTGAAATCCTGAGATAAAAAAAAAAATGAAATCAGACATTGAGTTCGAGATTAACAGAAATCGGATGCAGGTAACACCCTGAATGAAGCCAATTCTAAATTATTATTTCTTAACAACAAATATTATAACATTACTTTAGTTTAACAACTTAGAACAAGCTCCCAAGGGCAACAGTTGATGTGACTACACTTGACACATTTGTGTCTATTGCATCTTCCAACCCTAGTTCATAATACCCTCACTGAGTAGCCCTTGCAACCAGTGAAGTATCCCTTTCAAAACCATGCACAGCTACATCGCGAACCCCTCTAAAACATAGGAGACAGAATGATCAATACATTGATCGTGGGCCCTCAAAATATAAAAGAATAAGCATATCACATAGGAAAGTATAGAGGTCACACCAGCAGGAAATGTTTACTCTCTTGTACATAGGAGACGTTTCAGGAAATACTAGGTGCTACGCTAATGTCTATAATATAAGATTTATTTGTCAATGTATTATGTATTGTTACAACATCCTATCATAATAATGTCATCTGTGTCGGCGGCATGTCACTCTGTCATTTACGCAGTTGTCAACGTTGATGCACTCTTGTTGTGGTCCTGGCTCACGATTCATATACACTTGATATGGAAACTATCTCTCCACCCACACAGTTTGTCAAAGATTTTTCGCCCCTGGATGCACTCTGTTACAAATACGATGTTGGAATGGCATGGCACAACCCATCTCTTACATTTCCAGATCCGTAATCCATTGAACAAAACTTTAAACTCAAAGTGCAACACAGACGTAACAGAGATGCTTAAGTAGTAACCACGAAACCCAAGAAATGACAGCGAAATTCATGTAGTAACAGCGATACTCAAGTCTCACAGAAGTAACAGCGATACTCAAGTCTCACAGAAGTAACAGCGATACTCACATCTCACAGAAGCAACAGCGATACTCAAGTCTCACAAAAGTAACATTGTAAATCAAGTCCCACAGAAGTTAGAGCGATACTCAAGTTTCAATGTTGCAACAGCGTAACTCGATTCTCACAGAAGTAACAGCGATACTCAAGTCTCACAGAAGTAACAGCGATACTCAAGTCTCACAGAAGTAACAGCGATACTCAAGTTTCACAGAAGTAACAGCGATACTCAAGTCTCACAGAAGCAACAGCGATACTCAAGTCTCACAAAAGTAACATTGTAAATCAAGTCCCACAGAAGTTAGAGCGATACTCAAGTCTCAGTGTTGTAACAGCGTAACTCAATTCTCACGGAAGTCACCGTGATACTCAAGTCTCAATGTTATTCAACGATCAGAATTGTGCAAGCCAAAAGGTAAACAATACCCTTCACTTTATGCGCGGTACTAATTAAACTATTGAATCGTCCTAACTTTTGATGATCAACGTATCCACAGAAATGCCGTTAGATTAATTCCCTGCCAAGGTTACTTTTGACATTTCAGGAAAAGTCTAAGCAGAAACCACAGGCAACATTCCTGCGCGGAATCGGTTTTCACACTAACCCACATTTAAGTTGCGAAAAGTATCACAACCAATGTGGGAAAAAAAAGAAACTCGCAAATCGTTCGGCGTAAACAGGTGCGAAGAAAGTTAGGAAAGGAAAATGATTTTCGCTCTGGTTGCTTCCCCTAACCCTTCTAACCAGGATCCAGTTGGTAATCTCATTGACAAGTCAATTTGGGTTAGCTGAATGTTTAGTTTTTTACTCAAAAGATTTAAATTGATTTAGGAGAGTTACTTTAAATTGAAGAAAAACATTATTTTGAATATGTTTTAATTCAACTATCAGACGCTCAAAAGAGAGAGAGAAGCGCATTTGAAACAAAAGTTAATATGGCTGAAATTCATGGTGACGTTATTGGTTGTGATAATTTTAGCAACTCAAATGTGGGTTAGTGTGACAACCGATTCCTTACAGGAATTTGGGTGTGTTTTCATGTGGTCTGATTGTAGTCAGAATGTAGTCAGAGTGTAGTCAGAATGTAGTCAGAGTGTAGTCAGAGTGTAGTCAGAATGTAGTCAGAGTGTAGTCAGAATGTAGTCAGAGTGTAGTCAGAGTGTAGTCAGAATGTAGTCAGGGTGTAGTCAGAGGGTAGGCAGAGTGTAGTCAGAATGTAGTCAGAGTGTAGTCAGAATGTAGTCAGAGTGTTGTCAGAGTGTAGTCAGAACACAGAATGTAGTCAGAGTGTAGTCAGAATGTAGTCAGAGTGTAGTCAGAGTGTAGTCAGAGCGTAGTCAGAGTGTAGGCAGAGCGTAGGCATTGTGTAGTCAGAGTGTAGTCAGAGGGTAGTCCGAGTGTAGGCAGAGTGTAGGCAGAGTGTAGTCAGAGGATAGTCAGAGTGTAGTCAGAGGGTAGTCAGAGGGTAGTCCGAGTGTAGGCAGAGTCTAGTCAGAGTGTAGTCAGAGGGTAATCAGAGGGTAGTCCGAATGTAGGCAGAGTGTAGTCACAGGGTAGTCAGAGGGTAGGCAGAGTGTAGTCAGAGGTAGTCAGAGGGTAGTCAGAGTGTAGTCAGAGGGTAGTCAGAGTGTATTCAAGTGTACTCAGAGGGTAGTCAGAGTGTAGTCAGAGTGTTGTCAGAGGGTAGTCAGAGTGTATTCAAGTTTTGTAACTATAAGACAATGGTGACAGTTAATAATATTTTTAATTAAAAGTAAATTGAAAGAAGAAAATATTGACCTTAACACACATTACACACAACCACATTTACAACGCTGCATAGCACCAGTTCCTACGTGGTCCTAGTGGTGAAATGGAAGGTATGTGGCGCAGTTGTAGTCTGAAATGATTCTCTCGTTGGAGGGGAAAAAATCACAGACAACCATGTAATACATCACATCACCATGTAACACACCATGTCACCATGTAACCATGCAACACAGCACGTTACCATGTAACACAGCACGTCAACATGTCACACAGCACTTCACAGTGTCACACAGCACGTCACCGTGTAACACAGCACGTCAAAATGTAAAACAGCACGTCACCATGTAACACAGCACGTCACCATGTAACCATGCAACACAGCACGTTACCATATAACACAGCACGTCACCATGTCACACAGCACTTCACAGTGTCACACAGCACGTCACCGTGTAACACAGCACGTCACCATGTAACACAGCACGTCACCGTGTCACACAGCACGTCACCGTGTAACACAGCACGTCACCATGTAACACAGCACGACACCATGTAACACTGCACGTCACACAGCACGTCACCATCTAACAAAGCAAATCACCATGTCACAAAGCACGTCACCATGTAACACAGCACACCACCGTGTAACACAGCACATCACCGTGTAACACAGCACATCACCGTGTAACACAGCACATCACCATGTCACACTGCACAGCTGTGTGTTTTTGCAAAAATATTTCGTCCTGGAAATGCTCTCTGTTAACAGAAGGGGAAGCCTGGTTGACCAGTCTGTAAATGTGCCTTTTGTCGGAGACTACACATTCCTTTGCAAATCTGAATCCTAATCCATGATCTGGGTCTAAGACTTAATGGGGACAAATTCAGCACATTCTTAATAACAGGTGCGTGATTCTCAACCAAAAAAAGTTACTGGTCGACCTGACTTCCCATTCCGTTTGATACAGTATACTTCCAGAACGGTGAAATTTCGTAACAAAAGATAACCATTTTACTTTGTCAGTCTTTATAAATCTTAATTGACATATTTATTCTTGTCACCTTTTTTGTTTTCAACTTCTTGATCCATTCCATACTAGTGAAACGAATGGTCATCTATGAATAGGTTTTCCGCTGTTAAGCAACGCATTTCCAAAAATCAAATGTCCAAAATATCTTTCTTTTCACTACTGGGAACGCGTGTCGGCTTAGCTATGCACTGTTGACAACCTCTTAAATACTTTTAACTACATGAGTTTCAGAACTGTTCATTATGGCACTTACAGTACAGACTGCTATTCAAAAATCTAATTAATTTGGGGATAGCCCGAAATTTTGTCACAGGCGTGTGCGGACAAGTCTGTTTGAATTCATATTTATTACGTAGTCTCTGTACGTTGACCACGAGATCGTCACCCCTGTAAAAGGTTATTACAGTACTGAAGAAAGTGTCTCTCATCTGCGCCTGAGTCAGTGATCCGTGGCATCCTTTTAACTGATGTTTTACTTTGTATTGTTTGAATGGTGTATCTCGTGTATCAAACTGTATACGTTTATTTACACCGCAACACATGATTTGCTTTAGAATTGGGTTTATTCTAATGTTTTAAGATGTATATTCAACAATGTCTAAACAGTGTAATCAAGTGTTAAATTACTAGTCTGAAACTGATATTTAACCTCACTCAAAAGCTTTAAGCCTTTAATTAACCTTGCCTGTTACTCTGAAATACTAAGACACTTTGACCCTTGGTACCATGCTTGATCAAGTAAATATTCGTGTACCAAATATGTTCTCTGTGCCTAATTCTATTTCTATAAGTCTTGTTCAAAGTGGAAGGAATTCTTTTAGACAATGATTTCCATTAGTATGCATTTTCTAGGAAAATCTATGTTCCGGGGATAGACCATGATGGTTGGGGAATCCGTACCAACTAAGAAACAAATCAATTGAAAGGCCCACCTATAGTCGCAACAATAAAAAAGGCAGACTGCGCTGGACAGGACAAATTGAAAGGATGTCGGATTGTGGAGCATCACAAATGATATACAGGTAGAAACCTAGGGGCAGACGCCCCACTGGTCTATGATCTACAGGCAGAAACCTAGAGGCTGACGGCTCACCGGTCGACCAAGACTGAGATGGAGCGACGATGTAGGGAAGACCTGCACCATGGCGGCAAAAGCCATAAATCGATCCGAAAGGAAGAATGCGACGGAGCAGGCCAGGACCCTAGATCGGCTGTAGCGCCACTAATGATGATATTATTTGTTGGCAAAACAAAAGAAAACACGTTTGAACAAATTTTAATGTTTGATTAAACCTGGACGGAAGATTAATCGCATTTCGATCTTTAAAAACCTCCCCAACGTTGGACTGAATTTGGAAACTATGCATGGGTTAGATCGCACTGAAAATATTGCACCATCTTGTAACATTAGAGAATAGAGGAGACCCGCTAGTTAGCTGATTGTGTAAAATAGCCAGAGTCAGTGCGCAAAAGAAAAAAAAAATCCACTTATATATTCTGAATCCAAAAGAAAAGAGAACATATAGATCGTATAAAACACTTGCATACTCTTGTACGACATGAGATGAAACATAGTCACCAACGATCCTAGTAGCAGTTAATGAAGTCAAAGTCACTTTTTCTAATGCAATGAGCGAGAAACGGCGATTTGACATGAAATCATAAATTATCAATGCAATGTGAAGCGGTTGTCAAAACCTAGTCATGTCAACACAGCAGTCCAAGTGGTTGTCAAGACCTAGTCCTATAAACACAGCAGTCCAAGTTGTAGTCAAGACCTAGTCCTATAAACACAGCAGTCCAAGTTGTAGTCAAGACCTTGTCCTGTAAACACGTAGTCAAGACCTAGTCCTGTCAACACAGGAGTCCAAGCTGTAGTCAAGACCTAGTCCTATAAACACAGCAGTCCAAGTTGTAGTCAAGACCTAGTCCTATAAACACAGCAGTCCAAGCTGTAGTCAAGACCTAGTCCTATAAACACAGCAGTCCAAGTTGTAGTCAAGACCTAGTCCTATAAACACAGCAGTCCAAGTTGTAGTCAAGACCTAGTCCTATAAACACAGCAGTCGAAGCTGCAGTCACGACCTAGTCCTATAAACACAGCAGTTCAAGATGTAGTAAAGACCTAGTCCTATAAACACAGCAGTCCAAGATGTAGTCAAGACCTAGTCCTATAAACACAGCAGTCCAAGTTGTAGTCAGTTCTATAAACACAACAGTCCAAATGGTTGTCAATACCTAGTCCTGTAAACACAGCAGTCCAAATGGTTGTCAAGACCTAGTCCTATAAACACAGCAGTCCAAATGGTTGTCAAGACCTAGTCCTATAAACACAGCAGTCCAAATGGTTGTCAAGACCTAGTCCTGTAAACACAGCAGTCCAAATTGTTGTCAAGACCTAGTCCTGTAAACACAGCAGTCCAAGTGGTTGTCAAGACCTAGTCATGTCAACACAGCATTCCAAATTGTTGTCAATACCTAGTCATGTAAACACAGCATTCCAAATTGTTGTCAATACCTAGCCCTGTAACCACAGCAGTCCAAATGGTTGTTAAGACCTTTTCCTGTAACCACAGCAGTCCAAACGGTTGTCAATACCTAGTCCTGTAACCACAGCAGTAAGTTTATTTATGTTGACATCAAAGTTCATTTTTGTAATGTCAGCAGTGATCAACTTTCGCGTTTATATTAATTTCAATGGGGTGATTGTTCGGGAACATAAACACTAGGGACCATTAATACTAGGGAACATTAATACTAGGGAACATTAATACTAGGGAACATTAACACTAGGGACCATTAATACTAGGGAACATTAATACTAGGGAACATTAATACTAGGGACCATTAATACTAGGGAACATTAATACTAGGGAACATTAACACTAACACTTTACAGACTGGTGAATCCATGTATGAAATTTTTATGATGAATTCAAATCTCCCGATGACGTTATAAATAATTTTGCTTCGAAATTTGTGATTTTTTGGATAGAGTTGTTTTACGGTTCAGTAACATTGATTACAGTAATCGGTAATGTATAAAATTTCGATCATCGATGACTTCACAAACTTAAATTTCAAAGTGACTTCAGGTGTTGTCTCCCGATACCACGATCTACGTAGAGGCAAGACACCCCCTGGATGTGAAACTATGTCGCATTCAGTAACAAAGTCAAGCACAACAACAACAAACCCGTTGGCTGGTGTGTGGAGGAAATTGGAACCTGAACTATTTTGAACTTTGTGTTAGAGTTATACTGGCCAGTGTGTTACAGTTATGTGGACAGTGTGTTAAAGTTATACTGGACAGTGTAGTATAGTTATGTGGACAGTGTGTTAAAGTTATACTGCACAGTGTAGTATAAGTATACTGCTGGCTCAGGATGTATTCTGAGCAGTGTGTGTACTGGGACATTATTCATTTAAAAAACCCGTTGTGAGAGAATTATTTGCTGTTCAAGAGGTTCAAGAGCTGTCAAGAATTCAAGAAGAAGTACATCATAGAAAAAGTCTTGATTTTTATTTATTATGTAAACAACCCTTTTGTGTCGGTACTCAGGTACTCTTCTTTAATGTTAAAAATGTCAGGGCACAGGTATACATTACTTTCTTCTTTTTTTTCCCGTTAACTTGAGGGAAGAGTGACATCTTGGCACTGCATGTTTTTGAGAGTGTTGCCCTCTTTCTGACAAACAAATAGTTGTTGTTATTAGATTATTATAATCGGGTTTGTAAATTGTCTGATCCAAATATGTAAATTGGTTTGTTGATCAACGTTTTGTCCTGTCGTGTATTGATGCAACATATGATGTCAAGAATTACTTCTGGTATATATTTTTCAAAATTAGTGACTTGTTTTTGTTTAGTCTAGTGAGTTTTGTCATAATTTTTTTTTATAAATGTCATTCTTTCTTTCTTTTAAAAAAAATTTCTTACTTTAACTTATATGCATATATACTATCTGACATTTGGATTGCTTAATGATTCGATTATACATATTGAATTGCTTGTTTGAAGTGATACAATTGAAACATATGTACACTATACACTACGGTGAAAAGTCGATTCTAAAAAAAGGGGGAAAACTTTGGGAACCTCTGATCTAGAAAAATGTAGGAAAAAAAAACTGAGAGATAAGAGAGAACGAGTGTGGACAGGTTTATTGTAGGGTGTTAAGTGTGTTCTAGGCGAGCTAGTCCTTTCTACAGAAACTTACTGTTATTATGTGTTGTACTTTGTATTCATGAGCTTTTAAAAAAAATGTATTGCGAGTACTTTTGTCATTGGAGTATTGTAGCAAATTCGTGTCGTGTGTTAGAACATCGTGTCCGTGTTACTTCTGTGTTCAAGAGGAGGCATCAGAATCGTATCACCTGGGCAAACAAGAAACTGAAACCACCCAAACAGCAGGTCGGACAGTTAACAATCTCATCCAGTGAGTTTATCTGAATCACAACTGGCTCCAGGTAAAGCACAACAGATCAATCTGTTTCTACTTCATGTAGCAAAGTCTTGAAGGTTTCCAGGTGTAAACTGGGCGATACATTTTGTTGTCTAAGGATCGTTCGATTACACGGGATTTTACTGTGTTATTTTACCACCCAACTCTTTCGAAATTGTGATCAATGTTCCTACCAATTAATCAATGCTCTTAGCGGAAATTGTATTTTCGTTTTGATGCTAAGGGATTCCACATTAAACATCTGTATGGGCCTGTAGTAGATCCATGGGTGAAGGCTGAGGGAAAAGCTGGTGGTAAGTTAAGTGCCAGAGTGGGGAGTGGTAAAGTTTGGGTGTCGGTGTGGTCAAGTTTGGGTGTCAATGTGGTAAATGTTGAATGTCGGTGTGTTAATTGGGTGTCTGTGTGGTAAAGTTTGGATGTCATTGTGGTAAATGTTGGGTGTCGGTGTGATAAATGTGGGTGTCTGTGTGGTAAAGTTTGAGTGTCGGTGTGGTAAATGTTGGATGTCGGTGTGGTAAATGTTGGGTGTCTGTGTGGTAAAGTTTGGTTGTCGGTGTGGTAAATGTTGGGTGTCGGTGTGGTAAATGTTTGGTGTATGTGTGGTAAAGTTTGGATGTCATCGTGGTAAATGTTGGGTGTCGTTGTGGTAAATGTCGGGTGTCTGTGTGGTAAATGTTGGGTGTTGGCGTGGTAAAGTTTGGGTGTTGGTGAGGTAAATTTTGGGTGTCGGTGTGATAAATGTTGGGTGTTGGTGAAGTAAATGTTGGGTGTCTGTGTGATAAATGTTTGGTGTTGGTGTGGTAAAGTTTGGATGTGGTGTGGTAAATGTTGAGTGTTGGTGGGTTAAATGTTGTATACTGTCATTACTGCGAAAGTCAACCAGTGGTCCTACTGTCATTACTGCCAAGGTTAACCAGTGGTCTCTACTGTCATTACTAGTCTAGTCTGCCATTTCTGTCGAGGTCACGATCTGTGTTTCTTTCAGACATTTTCATCCAAAAGAGAAAAAAGGGAGGGGGGGGCATTTCTGATTTTCGTGTGGGCAGTGCCAGTGGTCAGACGCGTAGCTAAAAGGGGGGGGGTGCAGATGTCACCGTGAGTAAGACTAGCGGGGTGCCATAGGGGGTGTGAAGGTATTTAACGGATGAAAATAATGGTTTTAGAGTCGACGGATGGGGGGCGCAAAATGAATTTTGTATTTTGTCACCAAACACTCTAGCTATGCCTCTTACATGAAGAGCGGCATTTTATGACAACTGCAGAGTTTCTAGCGGCATTTTATGACAACTGCAGAGTTTCTAGCGGCATTTTATGACAACTGCAGAGTTTCTAGCGTTAAAAGGAGTGTGGCCTCCATTTCATTCGAGGCAAATCCTATCAAAATAAAGTCTAAATTTCCCAATATTCAGGTGAATGAAATGTTTATTTCTAATTTTTTTCAATCCACTATGACTGTCCTCATAAAAATGACACATGAAAAAATTTTCCCCATTCATTTTCCCTGTGCTTTTTACGGGGAAAAAAGGGGGGGGGGGTGGTTTTTAATTTTAAAAAAACTGGAGCCAAAAAATTGAAACAAAAAGAAATCCAAAAACGTTTTATTGTTATTTCAGCCTCCTCACCGGATTCCCATCTAAAAATTATTTTTAACAAAGGCAATGTGTGCAAGAAGATGTTTGGGAAAATCGTTTGTTCTTCTGAGCTTAAAGAGAAAGGCGCATGGGGATTCACATAATACATGGGCTAAGTAATTTTTTTTTTTTAAATCTGTTATTCAGGAAACTGTGTAGCAAAGGTAAGACATTTAAAAAAAAAACTGTTTAAGCAGTTACTATTCTCCTTGCAATCTTTTGTAAATATTCCCTTAAAAATAATCGTTTTAGCTTTCGAAATGATAAAATTCTCGTTTCTGTTCTCTCAGTAATCACAATTGAATGTAATGCTCGATACCGTATTCGAAATCGCCCATGCCATTGTAAGAGCCGGGGCGCTGCTCTAAGGCTTAAAAGGTTAAAAGTCAGCTCAAACAACGATTACTGACGTAATCACTGTTGCTCTTACAAGCATAGGATTCCACGAGGTCTATTTTGGACATTAGGTGTGTGTGTCATGTGTCATACTGCACATGTCATAGTAAAACAACCGAGGCAACACATGTCATAGTAAAACAACCAAGACAACACATGTAATTGTAAAATAACCAAGACAACAAATGTCATAGTAAAACAACGAAGACAATAAATGTCATAGTAAAACAACCGAGGCAACACATGTCAACGTAAAACAACCAAGACATATTTTGTGTTACATATGCAAGCGACCATATTTTGTATTTGAGATGCTAGTGACCATATTTTGTGTTACATATGCAAGCGACCATATTTTGTATTTGAGATGCTAGTGACCATATTTTGTGTTACATATGCAAGCGACCATATTTTGTATTTGAGATGCTAGTGACCATATTTTGTGTTACATATGCAAGCGACCATATTTTGTATTTGAGATGCTAGTGACCATATTTTGTGTTACATATGCAAGCGACCATATTTTGTATTTGAGATGCTAGTGACCATATTTTGTGTTACATATGCAAGCGACCATATTTTGTATTTAAGATGCTAGTGACCATATTTTGTGTTACATATGCAAGCGACCATATTTTGTATTTGAGATGCTAGTGACCATATTTTGAATTTCAAATTCTAGTGACTGTAGTTAAAAAATTCCAGCTATGAAAGTATATAACAATGTAATTTAGTGGCGCACTTATAAAGCGTCCATTAGTTCCAATGACATCGTAGCCTTGTTAATGTGTTAGAACCAGAAGTCAACTATTCTGATCAGAGCTCGAGAACCCTTGACCGTCTAACATTTCCTGAATGGCGTATGCGTGTTTCAAATAGCGTCGTCCCTGACTACCCTTAGGGTTATCTCTTGATGACTAATTTCCCGGCGGTACGTTGCCATGGTGATTATAAACAATAAACAACACAAGGAGTCAGACCTCAAATCGTTCCTAAAATTGGGGCTTATTTTCCTTCAAAAAATATCCATTAAACTAGATCAATTTCAATATAATCAATAAATTAGGAACGTTTTACAAAGATTCCACCAGCATTAAAAAGTATGATTATTAGAGAAACAAAAAGAAACAAACAATCTTTAACCGGTTCTAATTCTTGGTCCTAATTTCCTCCCCTCTCATGACGTCATGTGCCGGATCCGGAAGCTATTGGAGTTGTCCTTTCCCTAGCCTTCGTTGTACTCGTGTCCAACCCAAGAGCTTCGTCTGTCTGACATTTGAAACCTGTGACATGAATGGACTAAAATGTTGTCTGTCAGTCAAATCAAATATCTATGTCATCTTGTCGAAGGTTAGATATGCTTGCATATGTCTTGTTCTGTTGCTCAAAACCTACACTATTCTACAATGTAACTTTGAGTTACCGTATGAAGCAAATAGTGTTTGTGGGGTTAGAGAGTTTAATTTTTATAAAACTTCTAGAACTGCAATGGCGTCATTCACCCTTTTATTATTTTTTGTATAGATCTTAAGATACTCTCTAATCTTTTCTTGTAGCCCGTTAAAAAAAATCCACAAATATCCCACAACCCGAACGTTTTCAAATTAATAATAATGTAACTTAAGATTATATGAAACACATTCATGAAAGAATTTTTTTTTATTTTCGTGGAGAAAAGAGCATAGCATTTATCATTTCCGCTTTGATATTATTTGTTATTGCCATGGTTTGGCTGAGTAACCATGGATCGGATGAAATTACCATGAAATGAGAGGAAAGAAATTATTCAGAATAAAGGTATACATTTAATTTTGTAAAAACTTTATTATTGGTTCCTTTTTTTTTTTATTAACACTAATTAACTTACTGGAATCGAGTTTAGAAACAACAAACATGACTTTGGAGCAAGTCCAAATTGGTAAAAGTAGGCGGCAACCTACGGGCAAGCTACTCTGTTTTACAAAAATGTGAACGTATACCATAAGAAATTACCAGGTTTCAACATTATTTTTCGATTAAAAATAAACAGAAAATAAACAGAAAATAAACAGATCAAAATTTATTTTTTTTTTAAAAAGAGGAAAATATGCTTCCTGTGCATTTTTTATCTTAAGATAATAATAATAAACGCATTTTTCAGACTTATAAGATATAGTTTATTAAATTTATTAGGTAATTTTAAAAAATGAAAAAAAAAAAATGAAAAAAGAAAGAGAAAAAGTCACTTGAGAAAACTCAAACTTATAGCGCGAATGTAATTAACTATGACAGAAGTTCGTCCACAGGAATGTGCTGCACCATGTGCTTCTCTATTATGGCACATAATTGAAGAATTCACCGCAAGGCATCCCACTCATCTAGTCACTACATCGTGCACTTGTTGAAGACTCCAGAGTAACCGAACGTTAATTACAGTTGAATTAGCAACGTTAGATCTCAAGTTTTAATTTAGGGCAGCGACGTGTGAGAATGTTTGTTTATTTTAACGAAATTCGTTTTCCCGGGGAGAAACACGTGGGATACATTTACTCCTGCGACAGCAATCTTAATGGCTTCCGAAATGGAGCAAACAAACAAACCAACAAACAAAAACATGTGGTAGTTGACAAATATACAGGGGCGTAACCACTGGGAAAGTTTCTTGTTTTTTTTGGGTTTTTTTGCGGGGTGGGTGTGGCTGTGGGAGGTAAACTTTGGCCATGTAAACATTGTTGTATTGCAGTCCGAAATAGACACTTGCAACCTCAAACATGACACTTTTTGTGTGGATCAAAACGGTTTTTAAGATTTAAAAAAAAAAGTAAATAAGAAATACCATCCAAGAAGTAAGACAAGTTAGCAGTGTAGGTGAGAAGCAACGCCAAACCTAATCATCACTATTTGATTAGATGATATTAGATTGGATTAGATTATACTGGATTGGATTATATTGGATTGGATTATATTAGATTATTTTGTATTTCACTAGATTATATTAGATGACATAAGATTATGTTTGAAAATATTAGATTAGGTGTATTACGCAGTAACTATCTTGTTTGTAGTGATCCGATATTTTGGAAATAATATCCAAAGAAATAAATTTAACAGTTGTTCATTTTTTTTCAAAACAAGTCTTTTTTTTTTTTTTAGTTTCGTGTCTTGTCTGTTCGTATTAGACATTTTTTAAAATCCACTTACAGCGAACAAATTAATCAAACCTTTGGACACAAGTGAATTATTAACAATACTTTTGTTATGTCCTAGACGCTGGCAATATCCCAGATCTCAACACAGCAAATATTCTGTAAGGGATTATTGCTTGGCCTATTCAACCGTTTAAACCAGTGGATCTTAACCTTGTTGGAGGTACTGAACCCTACCAGTTTCATATGCGCATTCACCGAACCCTTCTTAATAGGAATTTTTTTTTTTCTATTTTTTTTTGGACCTCCGCCGAACCCCTGAGACTGACCAAGGTTAAGAACCACTGGTTTAAACTCAAGTAGTTCACACAAAAGTTGACACGCGAGATAGCCTTATCCAAAGTCCCTGGCATGGGCTACGCTGCTGATGCGCAAGGAAACGTGTAACGGGAATCTAGTGTCTTGCACGTGTACAACAAACACCAAGAAATTGCACGTTGTCACAACTTGAAGGGGGAGTTTAAACAAAGTCAAATCATGAACTTGATCACGACATCTCACTGCTTTGCATAGATCTAGCAATTAACGCGACAACTACCAGAGTAGTTTACCTGTTGAAAGGATTTAAGACTTACAAAGCCCTATCTGGCACATAATGACACCATTACTAGCCCCCCATCTTTCCGCGCCCAAATAGGGCAAATTAAAAAAAGGCTCATATCTTAATTTATTATGCAATGCATTACTCATATTTTTTTTTATTTTTATGGGAAAAACTGAAGAAAAAAATAGATCGCAACAAAGCAACGAACGTGTCGGCAAGACGCCTTCTTCAACGAACAAACAACAGTAACAACACAATTTAATAAACTACGTTTAGCTGCAATGTAGTGTCTGAGTGGACTGCAAGAGGAATGTAACAGACCATAAGTAGGTTCCCCACCTCTCTTATTACCAAATACCAGATCAGTGGCATTGATGACATCATAATGGCTGATGTCGTCATGATGCCTAGATGTATCGAGAGTTCTAACTAACTCCCGAGTGGGGCTCGTCTGGGTAAAGGCGGGGCTTGTTACGGTAAAAATGTAAATGAAGTAGTTTAGCACTCGTAGACATTTTTGAAAATTAAAACTTGGTACCAGGAGAGCTGATGGACTCAAAAGCCCAATTTTAAAATTGAAAATGACAAAGGGAACTGGGGTTTACATCGAGTAATTTTTGTGTGTGCATAAAACATTGCGGTTGGTGGTGTTTTATTTTAATTGAACGGTGCGCAGTATGTCTAATCTTTTGCTTGAAAACAAACTTAAATTTAAGAAAATTGCACTTTTAAAGCAGAATTTTAATTTGACGGTGGCAATACAGCTCTCTCTACCTTCAAACTTCCTGTTAACTCCATTCACTCTGAGACGCCTTACTCCAACATTTCGAAACATTTTAATACAGTTCAGGTACTTCGGTAGTGTAAACTGCTTCAACCTTCTGGAGATCCCAAGCATTAAATGCCTAATGGGTTAGATTAATATGTTAATGGGCGGTGGCTCCAGGCGGATACTGTCCGTCAATGCTCGGGAACTAGTGCTTACGAGACCGAAACATGTCTAAGTTATCCCGCGTATAGCCTAAAGTCAAAGTCCGAGCCTATCGAGTCAACAAGAGGGTTCATCTCAAAAGCGATGTAAAGTCAGAAGGGTTCTCAAACTTACTTCTCCTAATTGGATTTTTTGAGGTATTTTACAGGAAGATGATTGGCGAGGTATACCGTCCGGGTAAACTCTGTGGAATCTAATCAGTTGCTTTAAGGCGTACATCTACATTCCAGGGGTGTTGGTGGACATACAAAACTTCGGCTAAACAACCTAGTCGTACAACTCATGACTATAAATGTATGTTCCAGAGCAATGTTTCAGTGCATTATCGGCCAATCTTATTCACAAATTCGCTGGACTTTAGATTTCCAAAAAGAAAAAAAAAACGAACTCTTTTTAAAAATAAATTTCTGGTAACATTTCATAAAGTTTTATTATGCTCTTCATGCTCTTTATGCTCTCACACACCGATATGAAACAATTGTATACGTGTGCTCAATTGTGTCTATATCAATACAGCTCCATCTTAAAACAAAACTTAAATCGTGGGTTTACCCCAGAGAGCACGAGTATCTCTATTTTTATAATAATAATTTTATTCCCATTCTATCACATTTAAACCTTTAGGATCTTTCCTTTAAATCAGGCCCGCACAACATACGGCGCGTGGGTGGCGTTTGGCCCGCCAGCACCCACTTTTTGGCCCACGAAGTAACGAACTATTCTGTATTCTTATTATTTTCTTCACAGCTTCCCCCCCCCCCCCGCCCTATTTTCTTTGGGCCCGCACAAGCCCTGTCCTATTTTCTTTTGGCCCGCACAAGGTTTTCAAAAAGTATTACGGCCCGCCTATCATTTTGAGTTGTGCTGGCCTGCTTTAAATAATTTGATTTTTCGCCAAGTACTGTTGTGAACCTTGAGACACTGCCCGGGAACCGTTGGTGTTAGAAGCGTTTACATTGATAAACATAAAAAAAACAACAACACAAGAAGCCATAAAAATTGGTCAGTGGGGCTTCGAACCAATGATTCGTTCCTTGTGGAAATGAAAGGTTCGTGACGTGAGCCGTGAATTCCCACAGCATCATTTAAAAAGCACTAAAATGTTTATTAAAAATGGAAGTATTTTATAAAACGAAAAAATTTGAAAGGCATGATAGAAGATGTCAAAACCTGGGTTCACAGTAAATGCTTGAGTTAAATCTTTTTGATTTATATGATCATTTACTAGGAAAAGACACGGTGCAGACTTGTATTTTATATAAGTTGGCTGGCCAACGTTTGCAAAGATGACACATTGGAAATGTTCAAGTAAAAGTCGTGACACCATTTATTGTTTCATGTATTTGTGTTCAAATGTCTTCGGATTGGATCGAAGGAAATCGATAATTGTGAAAGGAATTTTTGTCTTCTTTGTTTTTTTGTTTTTTTTATAAATTGCCTACAATGCAAAGAACTTAATAAAGGCATCAAGATAGAAAAATGGAATCCTCGAGCATTTGCCTTGTTTCCGTGTACAAAGAAAAATGTATTCACTTGACAAAAAAAATAAAAATAAAATAAATTAAAAAAACACAAAAAACTCAGTGCTGTTCTAGTTTAGAAAATATAATATGAAAAATAACAACGTTAAAATGAAGGCTTTAAGTTAGGACGAGGGAGAGCGATGCAGGAATAGACTGACTGCCAAGATCATTGCTTCCAGGTCAAAGGCAACAAGTCAAGGAATGGCGCATGGGAGAACAACACGGCTAATTTATCTAAAGTACATCGAGAGAGAGAGAGAGAGAGAGAGAGAGAGAGAGAGAGAAGGAGAGAGAGAGAGAGAGAGAGAGAGAAGGAGAGAATTGTGTGTATTTGAGCATAGGCGTTGTTGAAAGGAGAAGATATTTTGAGTCACTAGTGGAGTACGTGGACAGGGTAGTGGGAACTAGACTAGAGAAAGATATAAGAGATAGTACACAATGCCATCAGACCGCAGACATTGACTAATACCTCATATAGATCACATACAGAATCGACAGACAGCAGACATAGACAATATATACCCTGTGTTCTATGATGTTTCTGTTGGTCATATGTGTTCGTATGTGTTAGCTACCTGTCCTGTTATGCTGTCTTGTCTTGATGTCTTGTCTGGCTGTCTTGCATGGCTGTTTTATGTTGTCTTGCTGTCTTGTCTGGCCGTATTGTCTGTCTGTTTTGTCTGACTGTTTTGTCTTGTCTGACTGTCTTGCCTGGATGTCTTTGTACATTTTGTCTGCCTCACTTGTCTCTTAATTTGTCTTCCTAAGTTCCTGCAATATGTTGACGTCCCCGAAATGAGTTCCCCAACCAAAAGGTTGACAATTATTTGATGCATTTATGTAACAACATAAACAGATTCTACTTATTATTTCTATGATTGTTTGACTTATATTATAATATTTTATTCAGCTCATTACATTGTCTTTCTTTTTTAAATTTAATTCCCTATCGAAAATGAATTAGGTTGTACACTTTGTTTAAACTATAAAACGCGAGTTTCTAATTTCTGGGACTAAACTGGGACAAGTGCGATGTCAAGTGGAGAAATGCCCACCCATAGTCGCAACAACAAAAAAAGGCAGACAGCGCTGAACACGACATATTGAAAGGATGCCGGATTGTAGAGCAGCGAAAGGGATCTACAGGCAGAAACCTATGGGCAGACGGCTCACCGGTCAACCGAGCCTGAGATGGATCCACGACGTAGGGAAGGACTTACACCCTGTGATAGAAAGCATGACCAACGATTATTGTTGTGTGTATTGAGTGAGCTTTGTAGCTTGATTGGCGTGTGTTGTTGTCATATTGTATGACTGGACCTGGTGAGTTGTTTTCATGAATGTTTAAACTTAAAAGTGGGAATATTGGTTGGTGAAATGGAGAGAGTGATCATGTGATGTTAGGCATTAAAAACACATGTAGATAGAGGAATAAAGATTAGTTTTTTTACACAGGCGAGTTGGGATCATACTTTACTAACAACAGCTGTAGGCTCGCGCATGGAGGCTGAAAGCTATGTATCGAACCGAATGGAAGGGTGTGGTGGAGCAGGCCAGGGCCTTAATGATGATGATGATGATGGGACAAATCTGGAATGACCGAGCTCACTTTACGAGAACTGATACGAAACATGAAATCGCTAAAACTATTGTTACGGACTGGCTTCTATTGTGAGAACTTATTATCCTATTTTAATCTTGTGGCTCGTTCAAACAGTGCCTAACAAAGGACGATACCATAGAGAAATACAATAACAAAAATACGACACCCAATACAGCACTAATTACAATTAATAATATTTATTTAAGTAATTACAAAAGAAAATATAATTACAAATCATCAACTTACAGAATATCGAACAATTTTGTACCGGTACACAATTAGTACAATGTGCCAATAAATAATGATAAATGATGTATGCGAAATAAAAAACACGTCTCGTGAAGTTAAAAATAGCTATCAATCTCCTTTCCTCTCTGTGCCTGTAAATCCCTTATATATGTGGGTCTACAGACGCGTCTAGAAACCCCCTTACTTTTCTAATATAATCGAGAATGTTCAACATGATACTAGTAGACACACTAACCATGTTTAATTGGAAGCCGGTAGTAAACTCGATACATCAAAGATTAAGCCACGCCCACAACAAACGCTACCATCTGATAGGGATCTAATGTGGGGTGAAACAAAGTTCAAGCACGGGAAAAGTGTACTACATAACACTATCTTTGGAATAGCTACAAGTAATATGACGGAGAGCTTGCATAGTTGAAGTGATTCACGCAATTTATTAATTTCCTAATGTACAAGTTTAAATCGTTTCAGGTTCCAGAGCCCTTGCTTTGATTTACTTGGGATGGTTTCTTTGATACACAGTCAGCTTTCAGAGCCATTGCTTTTTATTTATTTGAGAGTGGGCATTTGATACACTGTCTGCTGACAGAGCCATTACTTAGATTTATTTGGGATGGTGTCTTTGATACATTTACGACTAAACTTAAAACATCAAAAAACCTATACTATTTATTTCTACACTCATAGAATAACAAAAATACAATTTAGAAAATTCCTATTCTGGCCAAAACACTATCCCACCAATCTGAGAACCCCTGTGTTTCTGACATCATAAGACATACTCCAGCCCCATTCTAATTAAAAACATGTATAGAGGAAATTCGAAACACTCGTAACAACTTAAAGTGGCGCCCCATGTTTAGTTTACACGCCCCCTGAAACATCCTCTCGTATGCACCGATTGAGATAAGGCATGGCAGACATTGAAGAGATCCACGATTTTAGGCATTGCCATTCGATTCAGTCCTCTGTAAACACTCTTAAGTCAAGTGGGTGCTTTCCGTGGGCCAGATGGAACATGAGAGTTCTTTGACATTTACGAGGTGCTAATGGCGTGTTTCAGATAGATCTGGCCAACTGCTAGGCTACTGAGGTAGCATTGGCGGGATCAACTGATAGGTTAGGAAGGTAGCATTGGCGAGATGAACTGATAGGCCAGTAAGGTAGCTTTGGAGGGATGAAGTGATACGGTTAGAACAAGTTAAGGTGCGTTTTGGGATATTAAAATCTAAATATTGGACTCAGATAGATGGCAAGTAACATTCATAAAGCAATGATGCAGATCTATAATTCGTTTTTAAAATGTATTTTTAGTTGAACAGAAACATTTACCCCGTATATTGTTGTTGCCTAACTCAGGTGCCAGCAACATATTTTGAAATTCGTGCATGCATACATTCTGCATACATAGAAAATTTTTGGGGAAGTTATCAACATTTACATTCTTATTATAAAAAAGAGATCATCGTCTCAGACTCGCTGCCCGCGAGCAATATTCGGCCCACAAGACGATTATTTGGGGCCCGCTGGATGACAGCAAAGTTTAGTGTTATTGCGGTTGGCACTCCCCCCCCCCCCACCACATCTATAATGTGACCCTCCGTGACGGTTTCAGTCGAATCTCACCGACTAGTGTCTCAGACTCGCTGCCCGCGAGCAATATTCGGCCCACAAGACGATTATTTGGGGCCCGCTGGATGACAGCAAAGTTTAGTGTTATTGCGGTTGGCACTCCCCCCCCCCACCACATCTATAATGTGACCCTCCGTGACGGTTTCAGTCGAATCTCACCGACTAGTGGAATTCGGATTTCTATTATGTTTGCATATATTTGTATGTTGATTGTAATAGTAAGAACCGTTTTAAAATCGGACTAAAAGTTTAAATTTTACAGCATTTTATGAGACAAACATTGGCCGAAGGCAGTTATGAGAAAAGTTTTAAAAAGTCCATTGGTGGGTAATGCACAACCATAATTGTGTAAATCGTAGGAATCTGATAGAGTATCAAAGATTCCTTATTAAAATTGCGGCAAGTGTTTACGAGTGAGGGAAATTCTGAGCTTGTCAGTATGGTCGCTTAAAAATAGGGCTAGTCAAAAAGGCCTCTTCTACGATACAAAAATCTAAATTCATTATCCCTACAATAACATCTTCCTTCGCATCAATAATTCATAAATATGGCCTACTCCTGCCTACTGTTTGAACACGTTTTAGCATTTAAAGTTTTCATGGAGAATGATGGGGCAATTGTTTCTGTACTAAGTGATCCCAAATGACTCATGGGCTTGGCTTTTCTTGTTGAAATTATGCAGGAGCTGAATGTATTCAACAAGACGTTTCAAGACCAGGGACAACTTTTCAGTGTTGCCCATGACAATGTTAAGGCATTCTGTAACAAAACTTGTGCTATGGTTCTCAGAGAAACCTCTGCCATTTCCCAACATGCAAAGTACTCATGGACTCGCGCAAATCATTCAGTAGAAAGTATACTGATGTTACTGCAAAGCTGAATTTGATCACAGGTTTGAAAACTTCAAAACACACAGAGCCACTTTTCAAAATTTTGCTGACCCTTTCTAATTTAATGTGGAAGATGACCCAACCCACTTTTTTGCGCTTCAATTGGAGCTGATTGATCTTCAGTGCAATTCTAAGTTCAGAGAGGCGAATACAAAAAGCATGGACAATTGACGAAAGCATTGCCTTCCACCTTCCCTAAGATTTCGAGGTTGTTCAAACAGATCATGTGCCTTTTAGGAGTACCCTTCTCGGCTATGAACTTTAACAAGTCAAAGTTCTGGGCCAAACCTGCTGATGATCATCTTCAAGCTATACTAAGGGTCTCTGTTGCTTCCTCCCTCAAGCCAAATGTTGCTCGGTTCTAGGTCTCTGGCAACAAGGAGTAGGAGGAAGAAAGCTTTAATTTTTTTATTTTTTATTAATAAAGGTTCAGCAGATTGTAACAGGTGTACTTTAATTAATTTTTAATCGCCTTTTCGTGGAATGCTTGATATGGCCCAGTCTCCTTCAGGCTCTACCACATGCGGCCCCCGGATATTATGAGTTTGAGACCCCTGATCTAAGGCGACCCCTGTGTAAGGGTCGTTCGACTCCCAAAGGGCTCGCGACCCATAGGTTGAGAACCGCTGATTTAAACGTTCAATTAGATCACATAATCTACCAGACAAAAGATTAAATTATTTTAGTTTTTAGTTAAAATTTTGCATTCCGTTGCGAGAATTAAATATATGTGTAATAACGTATCACTGTTTATTTAATTCATTTGGTTTAATGACATAATTGTATGTCCCGCGATGTTATAATTCGCGGTCCACATGGCCCGGGAACCATTTGGTTTAAATAACCTTACTCTAGATCAGTGCTTCTCAAACTGTCTTCCGTGTGCACTTAATTTCTCAGGGACTCCTCGGCCGCTCATACAAGTTGCTAAACACTAGAAACTTGTAAGGGGTTCAGCACTTTTCTAGGCAGTTTATTTTCTCACACGGTTTTCATCCCCAGGAGATTGTTGGGTGGAAATATGCATGCATGTAGTAGCACGGCTTGTCTCGTATCGTCTGCTTCAACATTACATTTATTAAGAGAACTGTCTTAATCAAACTCCAAGGTTTCCAAAGTTGCCTTTCTTAAACTTTTTAAAACGGACACTAGAGAAGGCTGAACATTTAGTCGATTTTATCGTTGTGTTAAAATTGCGACATGAGTTTGAGCCTGTGTTGGAGCTGTGTTTACCTATGTTGGAACTAATTTGGAGCTGATTTGGAGCTGATTTAGACCTGGGTTGGACACGACTTGGACCTCACTTGGACCTGTGTTAGACCTGAGTTGGACCTGACTTGGACCTGACTTGGACCTGAATTGGATCTGAGTTAGATCTGGGTTGGGCATGACTTAGGTCTTACTTGAACCTCATTTAGACATGAGTTAGACCTGAGTTGGACCTGAATTGGACCCGAGTTAGACCTGCGTTGGACCTTAATTGGACCCGAGTTAGACCTGAGTTGGACCTGAATTGGACCCGAGATAGACCTGAGTTGGACCTGAGTAAGACCTGGGTTGGACCTGAGTTAGACCTGAGTTACACCTGGATTGGAACTGACTTGGACCTTGGTTGGAACAGAGTTGGGCCTGAGTTGGACCTGTGTGAGACCTGAGTTAGACCTGGGTTGGAACTACTGGGACCTGAGTTGGACCTGAGTTCGACCTGGGTTGGACCTGAGTTTGACCTGGGTTGGACCTGAGTTCGACCTGGGTTGGACCCGAGTTGGTACTGACCTTGACCTGACTTGGACCTTGGTTGGACTTGAGTTGCAGCTGAGTTGGACCTGACTCAAGGTAAAGAAAGGTAAAGGCCTCAATGTATTTAGAATGGAAAGAACTCGGGGAATGTGAAAAAGAAAGGTAAAGAAGAATCAAAATTACCTAATAATAATTTGATATCATTGATGTCGGGATGCAGTAATGGCCTCCTTTATCTGTTCATTTTTATCTTGGCTCCAGGCACATAAAACAAAGAAGAACTTTTTTTCTTCTTTTTTTTAGCAGCGCCTAAGGCAAAATGTACTTTGCTGTATAAGTTAAGATATGTGGAATGCACTCGAAGGTCGACTAAGCTGTGTTTTTAACAAACATTTCTTTGCCAGTGCCCCACCTAAAATACTTATAACGATTTGATGCCCCAGCCCATATTAAGAGAGAGCTTTAAATAGATGGAACCATGAGCGCCCGCAGAAAAGCTTCTAGGGTGGGGGGGGGGGCAAAAAAAATCTATTAACTTTCTAGGCGGGCAAAAAAAATTTGAGCAATGTTTTATTTAATGTAGTTTTAATTTACTGTAGCGTATTTGCATGGTGAACGAACGGACAGGACATCAGCTTAGTTACTTTCTCTTTATTTTCTATTCACTTTAATACATTTTTTGTCTATTTTTGTCTAAAATTTTTTTATCCAATCAATCCAGGGGGGCAAGTGCCCACCCTCTCCCCCCCCCCTGCGGGCGCCCATGGGTGGAACCATTGAACAATCAGAATGAATGATGAGACCTTACGTGTTAGAGCTGTATGTCAAGTGGCACATATGATTGAAATGAATGACAAAAGAAAAGAAAATGAAAGCAAACTGAAAACTAATTACAATATTATAATAACCGTGAATGACGCTTGTTATAGAGAAACTTGCCCGCATTACCTCGCTTTGAACACCAAAGTATAAACATATCAATATTTCTAACTGGCACCCAATGTATCTTTCAGGTATAAAATGAGTAAAACAAAGTAGGGTCACATTTGCTGCCCACGGATACTACTTCTAAGCTAAGGGCTATTCTTTAATTTTATTCTGATTTGTATGTTGTTTTGTTCGCTGACGAAGGCTTCCTGCCAACATGTTCGTTGTTTTGTGTTCCTTTTTTCAGGTTTAACTCTACTTTGTTTTACTCATTTTATATTTTGCTAAACTGATTGCATTCTCTCCCATTATTACCCTATCTTTCAGGTAGCTTTCGGTAANTTGCATCACTCCCGGTCAAAAAGCGTACTACATTTGAGTCAAACTATATTAAAAGAACACACACACGTAAAGTGCCTTTTTAAATCAAATTTTAAAAAAAAAAAAAAAATGTAACAAATTTAACATTCGCTGATAGAACGTATGGTTAAAGAGGGAACACATGAATTACGAGTAAAGTCGATATTTAAGAGAATTCGAATACTTAAGCTAAATCTAGTGTCCTTATCCGATTCTAAGTATTTAAAAACTCCTTGAAACATCACTTAAACCGATTAAAATGTTTAAAAATATAATATTTTGAAAACATCTTTATAAAATATTGGCAACTATTCAAAATATCTCCGATTCTTCATCAAATCCTATCAATTTCATTAGTAGAATATGATGTACATTATTTAATATAATCAAGATTTAAAAATATAGTAAAATATAATCGATTCTATAACGCTGTGTTTAAATGAAAACCATAACTAATCTTAAAATTTAAAAAACAACAACACTATTTTATCGTGCGCATTCTTAGCGTGTATCTTCGTTTCATCAACTACTAGCCATTTTACCCGGCGATTCTCAGGTTTATATTCTGAAATAATTCTAAAGCATTAACAGTTATAACATCGGATGCGTCCTCCAAGTTGGAAAATACATTTGTTTTATATCATAAAAACTTACTTCTAAATCGGCTGAATTTTAATAGTTTTTTTTTTACATGATCCACAATAACAAGTACAGAAGTATCAGTCAATTCACATTTTTTTTGAGCCAAAGAAACATTTCAAAATGTTTGTTACAAACATACTTCTGCAATAAATCAATGAATGTAATGAAAAACAAATACCTTCGCTTTTGCATTGACAAGAACTTTAATTGCTCCTTGTAGTTGGTTATTTAATAAATTTAGTTTGTTCAAAGTTATCGGCCAAACAACTCAAACATGGTTTACCATCAACTGTTAAAAGGTTACGTCATTTCACGTTTCTCACTTAAAATCTCACCAAGAGTATCAAATAGTTCATAAATCATTTCAATCAGTTTACTTTCCAGAGCCAACTTACTTACTTAATTGTAAATTGAAAGTCTCACACGATATACATTTTGTTCTTCACAAAGTAGCTTGTATAGACGCTCACATTTGGCACTAGCTTTAATGGCATTGATACATTTTATAAATGAATGTAGTACTTCGTTAAGAAAGAGTGAATTTTTGTTAAGCTACCACGTTTTCCCTATGCACATTGCCCAAGAAGAATTTCTGGATTCTCATCCTTCATCAATTTAAAGAAGCCTTTTTTTTTTTCTTGAGCACTCTCATTTTAAAATAAAAGTAAAATCCTACTTGACGATTGGTTATCAAATTGTAGACAACTCATTTTCGAATTGCTCCCCTTAACCAAATACCCCCCCCCCCGGGCTTTTACCCCCCAAATTTACTTTTTTTTTTTTTCTTGAGCACTCTCATTTTAAAATAAAAGTAAAATCCTACTTGACGATTGGTTATCAAATTGTAGACAACTCATTTTCGAATTGCTCCCCTTAACCAAATACCCCCCCCCCCCGGGCTTTTACAGCGCAAATTTACTTTATCAGGTATTTCACAAAGACAAAAGAAAATATTACGAAACAAACGCATTTGCGATATTATTATTTTTTTAAAAGAATCACAATTCGCGCAGTTATTGGGAATTTTATTTTGTTAAATCAGTGGTATCATGTTTCCTTTACCGTCCCCTTGAAAAATATGAACAACAGAACTTTGTGGTTGGGGTTGGGGAGTCGGGCTGCACGTTTCAAAGAATGTTTGGTCCCTCGGCAAAGAGTCTTTGTGCAATGTTTCAACTCGATAGGTTGACGGAATATGAGTCAATTGACCGTCTGAAGATTTTGCCAGGCACGAACAAAAGCGCATTGAATATAAAAGATGTAACAAACAAGAAGCTGATTTTTTTAAAACCCAGAAAATTCAACAACCGTTGGAAACTAAGTTGTTCGGATAAGTATTTCATACAAATGTAATATCGAGCAATATGGAGGGGAGGGGGGGGTGAGAATGAAAATCTGACGTTGCATGCATACGAGAAACGCATTTCGTAAGAATCCAAATTAGTGCTCCCCACCCCCACCCCCACCCCCTCAAGGCTCGCAATCCCACACTTGTTCACGCCCTTGAACGTCATTCGTATTCCAATGCCCCGCCGACTTCTGCACGGCAGATTTATGGCACCAACTATTTCAGAAAAAAAACCAAAAGAAAAATTTAGCACCAAAAGCACTTGCAATATTAAAAAAAAAAAATCTTAATGAACGAAGTTATCGGGAATTGTATTTCATGAAATCATATTTCCTTCATCTTCCCCTTCCAAATAAAAGGTTTGGGATGAGAGAGACAAAGCCAAGTTAATATTAATGATTTAAAATTTACTTATTTAAATATAGTTTGTGCATGCTCTTTGCCATGTGTGCAGTATATTCCTGGGTGCAGTGGTCCCTGTGAGCACATATGCGAGCTAAGATGGGGTTATTTTTTGTTGTGTGTAGGATATTCCAGTGTGTATTGGTCGCAGTGAGCACACATAAGTTCACGTGTTATCTTTTGTGGTGTGTGTTGTAAATTTAAGTTTGTCGTGGTCATTGTTAGTACACATTATGTGATCCAAGGTCACCTGGTATCTCGTGTTGTGTGTGTAGTAGATGACGATACTGACGGAGGAGTGCACATAACAAGCGCTGTTGGTGACAAAGCTGATCAGAGTGTACAGATTCCCATACCGGCCCGTGTCCGTGTACTGGGGAACTACAGACCTGGCTACCGCATGACACGCTGTTGGGATGGCCTGGGCCACAAATATGACGGACACCAAGATGACCGACTTGATTGGCGGATATGTTGGGTTTAGTCTCATAACCGGGAAGATTCGATTGCCGAAATTTGGAAGAATCGATAAGAGCTTTCGCGAGTCTGATCGTGCAAATGATGACAACCCCTATGGAAGACCACGGGAGGATATTTCTGTTGAAGATGTCGTTGATATTCACAGCAAGTTGCCGATCTCCAACCACGGTCAGAACGAGACGAGAACTGTTGTTCATAGGATCTACAGCCCAAGATAACCTTTGAACCATCAACATGGGCAGGCGAATGAGAATGATGCCCCCAAATATAAAAACGATTATGATAATTGTTCGAACATTGCTGAACACCCCTTTAAAATACAGTGGCATTGATACACAGCAACATCGAGCTACGGCTATGAAGGCAGTCATCAGGACGGTGACATCGTAGAAGGCATACGAGTACCAATAGAGAACCATTATCAAGCTGTAAGGGTCAATGGCCAGGGTGCCCGGAAATCGCACCAATGCCCCGCATATGGAATGTCCGAACGAGATCGCCAGGAAGCCGAAGTTGGACACAGAGAGGGCCAAGAAGGAAATGGCCACACTGTCGTGGACACCCATTTTCCCAAAGACGATGATGTTGATTAGATTGGTCACTACTCCAGCTGCCGTCATTGTCGGCCACACAGCGTACACAAATAAGACGTACACTGAATCAAAGTATGGAATGCTGAGCAGATCGTCACCGGATTCACTGCTGCTCAAATTAGACATAGTTCTAAGACTTTTAACAATAAATCTGACAAAATCTTTAAAACTATAAAAGGAAAAGGCTAGCGATACTTTCGTGAAAATGTAACAAACTCCTCTGGTTTTCTAGACATGACAAATCCGACTTTATAAAACAAACATGGACCTAAGACATTAAATACAATACTGGCCAGTGAGCCCGGACAAAAATTTCGTTAACGAACTAAGCTGAGACCTTTATTTTTAAACGTTGAAACGAATTTTTTAAGTCGATATCCAAGAAAGACGCCGGCCATTGAGTTAAACGTGAAACTTTAGCTTTTTGTTGTGTTTAAAGTAGTTTGGTGATACGTGCACATGCGATTATGAGTGGTGACAAGGCGAACGGCTTTAAACGTTGCAACCATAATTACATGGTATGTTAGGAGTAGAGCTGCAATTACAAAGCGTTCTTTAATCATTAAACATTTTTTTTTAGTGAGATTTATTTGAAAACCTCCCGGGTGACTACCATTTTCTCACTGGTGATTTGGAGCAATCATTAGTCAGGTTCTCTTGATCACTCATATCCAAATGTTTAAGTATTATTTAAGCAATGTCTAAACGTTCCATCATTTCATAATGACTCGCATTTATGCTAAGCAATTCCGATAATGACCTGTGCCTTGGAGACCTTTGGTATTGAAATATTGAAGTAACAATTAAACTACTGACGTCGTACGGTAAACTCCCTTTAACTTATGAAAGGGAACAAGTAAAAGTCGTTAGAAGTTACTTCCCCTCGCAACATAGCTCGTTTGATGTGAGGTACGAAGACTAGTAAAAAAAAAAATTTTTTTGTGAAATATATTCGGGGAGCAAAATGAACGTGAGGTTGTTCAACGTTCGTCGCAACCATGATTTGATGACGTCATTTGTCGCGACGATGGTTTGATTATGCAAAATATGGATTGGATGTCGGTGCGTGACTTTAAATTAAAGATCTAATCCAGGTTTAGAGTTATTTTTCTTTTATAAATATGTTATTTAGTCAGTTTCAATGAACAATACTCAAACTAATGGTATATAATTTAGTAACAACCAACTTGATGTTTGAGCATCCCGTAATTGAAAAACGTGGTCTTCCTCAGCGAGCAATCTACGTACATTTGGACGCACCAGTACAGGTTGATTTCTAACAAGTGTGTCTCACGTTGATCGTAGCTCACTAATGTCAGTGGGCCTCACTTTGATCTTAGCTCACTATGTTACTGAGGTAAATGGTTAAAGTTCCTGGTAACTAAGTTATGTATATAGATTGTTACACCATGGCGGCCACAATGTCACAGTGAAATTATCGTGATTTTAATAGAAACATTTTTAAACATTGAGCTAAGCGTGGTCTTTATTGGCACATATCTGCACAAAGATTGATCAAGGTCAAGGACGGGAATATTTACAACCATGTAGTAATTTTTTTTTTGATGTAACCTGGTAAAGAAAGGGAGCGTACTTTTAGGACAATGTCCTGAGTCTTCTGGTCCATTCGGTAAGGTGCACGAAGAGCTCAAGGGAAAAAACGGCAGAATCCATATTGATTGCACATTTACATTTACGTGATGTAATAAAGGTCTATATTGAAGCCACCTTTACATGTACGTGAGGTACTTTGTTGTTCGTCCGTCAACATCAACGAGGACCATCTAGTCACGGTCCATTCGTAGGCGGCTTGCTAGACCGATCTGTGCTCAGAATAATCTCTGGCACCGCGGGCAGGGGATAATTGCTGAAGTCGGTGACCTAGGTTTGCTCTTTCGGGCTAGCCTGCGTGTCTCAGCTCTGGCTATCCTACTGGCTACATGACATTGAGCCCCTTTTTTGACAGCAGATCTCCACCTGGCTCTGTCCTGGGCTGTCTGCACCCACTAAATTATTACATCAGGAAATGGCGTCAGCGGGGCGAGTTTGCAATCTTTATGCCCCCCCCCCAAATTACCCCTCCCAGGCCCAACGTATCGGGCCGCGGAGCGGCACGTTGGAGATGCCCACTCGTCAGGACAGCCACCCGGGCGCCTGGGCGCTCAACCAGGATTCCGCCTGGGGGCCGCCCCAACCAGTAGGCATCCTGTCGGTCCGACACTATGTGTTTAAACAGTGCTCTCGATCGACTTTGTTATGGTGTTGGGATGGAAAATGTACGTCCTAATATCTTCCCCCACCCATCCCGGGAAAGCGTCGGACGCCCTATAAGAGGGATTCCACAGTGGGTTTCCACAACGCAACTAGCTCGCGCTGTAGCTGGGACGAAACGGTTGCCTAGGGACAGCTTTCTCAAGGCTGCATTGTTTAAATCCTCGGCCAGAGGTTACCACCCTCGCCTCTGGCCTCATACCCGTCACCGGCAACTTGTAATCATGATCCCTACCCTGGTTCTGCACCCACTCAATATGGTTAATGCTTAAGGCCTTTAGTACCGCTTTCAGTGTGTCCTTGTAACGCGATTTCTGACCTCACTGGGAGCGCTGCCTATCATGAGTTCTCCGAAAAATTTCTGTTTAGGGAGCCGTTTGTCTTCCATACGTGCTATATGTCCCCTTCAACGGAGTTGAGACTGCATCAGGTTTGTGAAGATGCTAGATAGGTTTCCTCTAGCGAGGAGATCCGTGTCAGGGTTTTTGTCTTGCCACCTGATGCCGAGGAGTCTCCTGAGGCAGGTTGTGTGAGCAGGGTTCAGTTTTTTGGCGTGACGCTGGTAGACTGTCCAATGTTCACAACCGTAGAGCAATGTCGAGAGGACTGTTGCGCTTTGGACCTTGAAATTCGTTTCTCGTCTGATACCTTTTCTGTCCCAAACAGTATTGCGGAGACTGCCAAATATGGCATTAGCTTTTGTGAGTATGGCTTTCATTTCTTCATCCATGACGACAGATCTGGAGAGGGTGGTGCCCAAGTAAGTAAATTGATCCACCGGGTTAAGACGCTTCCGCTGATAATGATACTGGGTTACACGCAGTGTTTCCTGGGAACAGGCTGATCTATCACTTCAGACTTCTTTGTGTTGATTGTGGGGTCAAATTTGTTGCAGGCCTCAAAGTGTTGCATGGCGGCTCCTGAGGCAGCGTTGAGAGCACAATCGTCCGCAAACAGAAGCTCGTTGATGGTGTTATGTTTGACCTTGATTTTAGCTTGAAGCCTCCCGCGGTTGAAGAATGATCCATCGTTTCAGAATCGTATTGGCAAGCCCGTGGTGCAGTATTTGAACGCATCGGACAGAGGCATTAAAGGTACATATTGAAGGCACATTTACATGTACGTGATGTACTACAGGGGCATATTGAAGGCACATTTACATGTACGTGATGTACTACAGGGGCATAATGAAGGCACATTTACATGTACGTGATGTACTACAGGGGCATATTGAAGGCACATTTACATGTACGTGATGTACTACAGGGGCATAATGAAGGCACATTTACATGTACGTGATGTACTACAGGGGCATATTGAAGGCACATTTACATGTACGTGATGTACTACAGGGGCATATTGAAGGCACATTTACATGTACGTGATGTACTACAGGGGCATATTGAAGGCACATTTACATGTACGTGATGTACTACAGGAGCATATTGAAGGCACATTTACATGTACGTGATGTACTACAGGGGCATATTGAAGGCACATTTACATGTACGTGATGTACTACAGGAGCATAATAAAAAATCATTACACGCACTTGATGTACTTACTTTTTAATATAGATAAAAAATTTGGATTAAAGTCTCTCCAAAGCTAAGCTGTGGATCCAAGTGTATAAATCAGAGACCATTTCAAACATTATACCACATAGACCTCTGTCATGCGAAGTTAAATGTATCGTTTTGGAAAGACATATCGGCCTCACTAAAATGTTAAAAGTTCATATGACAAAAAATGCAGATGGTCTACCTACCACAAAGCAACAGTTGAAATAAACATGACAAGGATAAGTAGAACTACACACGCCAATACAACAGTAGAACTACACACGCATATGCAATAGTAGAACAACACACGCCAATGCAACCGCGAACTACACACGACAAAGCAACAGTAGAACTACACGCGACAAAAGAACATTAGGCCTGCATACAACAAAGCAACAGTAGAACTACACATGACAAAGCAACAGTGGAAATACAAATGACAAAGCAACAGTAGAGCTACACACGCCAATGCAACAGTAGAACTACACACGCCAATGTAGCAGTAGAACTACACATGCCCATGAAACAGTAGAACTACAAATGACAAAGCAACAGTAGAGCTACACACACCAATGCAGCAGTATAACTACACACGCCAATGCAACCGTGAGCTACACACGACAAAGCAACAGTAGAAATACACACGACAAAAGAACATTAGGCCTGCATACAACAAAGCAACAGTAGAACTACACATGACAAAGCAACAGTAGAACTACACATGACAAAGCAACAGTAGAACTACACATGACAAAGCAACAGTAGAATTACACATGACAAAGCAACAGTAGAACTACACATGACAAAACAACAGTAGAGCTACACATGACAAAGCAACAGTAGAACTACACATGACAAAGCAACAGTAGAACTACACATGACAAAGCAACAGTAGAACTACACATGACAAAACAGCAGTAGAACTACACACGACAAAAGAACATTAGGCCTGCATACAACAAAGCAACAGTAGGACTACACACGCTAATGCAGCAGTATAACTACACACGCCAATGCAACCGTGAGCTACACACGACAAAGCAACAGTAGAACTACACACGACCAAAGAACATTAGGCCTGCATACAACAAAGCAACAGTAGAACTACACATGACAAAGCAACAGTAGAACTACACATGACAAAGCAACAGTATAACTACACATGACAAAGCAACAGTAGAACTACAAATGACGAAGCAACAGTAGAGCTACACACACTAATGCAACAGTAGAACTACACACGCCAATGCAGCAGTAGAACTATACATGCCACTGAAACAGTGGGACTACACATGACAAAACAACAGTAGGCCTACAAAACAAAAAAAGAAACAGTAGAACTACACATGACAAAGCATCAGTAGGCCTACATACAAAAAAGCAACAGTAGAACTACACATGACAAAGCAACAGTAGGCCTACACATGCCAATGCAACAGTATGACTACACGCGACAAAGCAACAGTAGAACTACATACAACAAAGCAACAGTAGAACTACATACAACAAAGCAACAGTAGAACTACACACGACAAAGCAACTGTAGAAATACATACACCAAAGCAACAGTGGCAAAACACACAACAAAGCATCAGTAGGCCTGCGGAATCCAAATAAATGGAGATGTGTTTCAATTACACTCTACATATTCATTTTCAGCACGTGAATAAATTGTTTTAGAAAGAACTATTTAAAAACAAAAAATTATTTGTATTTATTTCGTTGGGAAGATAGGTTTTATCAAAAAGACATCAAATAATAGAAATCGAATACTATATCTAAATTTGTATTGCGAATGTGGTGCAATATGCCATGTTGTTCTGGTCTCACGGTAAGGTAGTGCAATATGCATGTTTCTCTATGATCATATGGTAAATCTGGTGCTATGTATCTTGTTTCTTTGGTCTCATGGTAAATGTGGTCCGATATATTATGATTCTCTATGGTGTCATGGTAAATGTGCTGCAATATTTCCTTTCTATTTGTTACCAAAGAGACAGCATTGTATTGTTTTAAACTAAAATTAGGACCTCATTGAAAAAAGGAACTTGTACAACATATTAGTGTGACATTTAACGAGATTTTAAAAGCCATTGTGAACGTTATTGTTATCACGTTTGATCTCGATTGAAGCAAGTGACGTAGAAAATTCATTGTAACCTAAAGTTATTGTTATCACGTTTGATCTCGATTGAAGCAAGTGACGTAGAAAATTCATTGTAACCTAAAGTTATTGTTATCACGTTTGATCTCGATTGAAGCAAGTGACGTAGAAGATTCATTGTAACCTAAAGTTATTGTTATCACGTTTGATCTCGATTGAAGCAAGTGACGTAGAAGATTCATTGTAACCTGAAGTTATTGTTATCACGTTTGATCTCGATTGAAGCAATTGACGTAGAAGATTCATTGTAACCTAAAGTTATTGTTATCACGTTTGATCTCGATTGAAGCAAGTGACGTAGAAAATTCATTGTAACCTAAAGTTATTGTTATCACGTTTGATCTCGATTGAAGCAAGTGACGTAGAAGATTCATTGTAACCTAAAGTTATTGTTATCACGTTTGATCTCGATTGAAGCAAGTGACGTAGAAGATTCATTGTAACCTGAAGTTATTGTTATCACGTTTGATCTCGATTGAAGCAATTGACGTAGAAGATTCATTGTAACCTAAAGTTATTGTTATCACGTTTGATCTCGATTGAAGCAAGTGACGTACAAGATTCATTGTAACCTAAAGTTATTGTTATCACGTTTGATCTCGATTGAAGCAAGTGACGTAGAAGATTCATTGTAACCCGAGCCTTCGTGTATAGCATTGGATTTTATAAGGAAAAAAAAACAGTGTAAAAAAAGTCTACATTCATTTGGATCTTTCTAGAAACTTCAAAAATATCTTTAAGTTAGATTTTAAAATATTAGATGAAAAACATGGAGACTTATAGAAACATAAAAATCATAAAAAGGACAGTCTTAATTTAAAGAAACATAAGAAACATTAAACTGACATTTTTATCATCGTTGAAAAAACGTATACAAAATCGGGCATCTTAGCATAAGGTAGAAATTTCCAGAAACTTATAATCGAAATATTCACCAATGGCGAGGAAATTCCCAAGAAAATATAGAAATATTTCAAACTAAACGAATAGTACCATAGAACTTTACATCTCATTTATATTTTCTTTGTAGAACACTATAGAACGTGCTTGAACACTTCATAATTATTTTTTTACCTTCAAATGCAAAAAAAATGACTGTTTTATGTAATCATTCTTTCAAGACTAAAACATCAGATACAATATGGCGTAACTCTAGACGTTTTCAATTAAAGCTGAAATAACTTCCCCCAGTTATGACCCGTTCTCTAATGTGACATTTTAATTAGCCATAACCTACGGACCCTAAATAATTAATCAGATAAATAGTCAAATTAAAATTTTTAAGCTGTCCTATTAAAATTGGTTTAAAGTGTAAGATATATATCGTTTATAAGGAAATTAGTGTCCCGACAATGGTGAATATTATGAAATAAAAACCTCAATTTTTTCAATATGAATCTTACTCTTTAAAGTGCATTTTTACCATATTTGAACTAGATCTGTGTATTAATTGTATGTTTTAAAGCAGTGGGGTAGCGAGGGGGTGCGGACTGCACCGGGTGACACCATCCCAGGGGGTGACACCAAATTGAAAAAAATTGCATATTTGCAGCGCAGAAACTGCTCGGTCTAATCGAATTTCATTACAGGGAAACCAATCACACTTCAATTTTTCCCCCATATAACCAGTCCAAATGCGTGCTTTATTTAGAACTCAAGGATGATGCGTTTGAAATGAGGTGCCCCTATAATTAGGTCAGAAAAAACACCGTTTAAATCCGGATGTAACGCCGATTGAAGTGTTCGGTAACTTACGTGAGTGATGGGAAGCTATAAATATCTAATTTCTGATAAATAAGGAAGTCCATTGATATCATATGCGATGCAGTCAGGCGATCGTAAGTACATGAATCGAATCGGTAAAAATTGAAAACATTTAAAAATGTACCTTTTCCTCATTTATAGGGTTAATAAAATAATATACTGTACGCTTTTTTTATATCTTTAATTATTTATTTAAATCTTTTAACATTTTTTGTTCTAAAAAAGGTTTTTGAAATCAAATATATCAATATACCAGAAATACTTTAAAAAATAGTATTTTCGTTGATTCATCACTAGAACTTCCCGTTAATATTTGTGGATGATTGTCATAGAGCGCAATGTCTTTTACATGCTGTCTGAAAATGAACGTTTATTTGCTTCACACCCCTAAGCCCGGTGTCGTAATGGTAGTGCAATATATCATGTTCCTCTCTGGTCTCATGGTAATGGTAGTGCAATATGCAATGTTTCTCTCTGGTCTCATGGTAATGGTAGTGCAATATGTCATGTTTCTCTCTGGTCTCATGGTAATGGTAGTGCAATATGCCATGTTTCTCTCTGGTCTCATGGTAATGGTAGTGCAATATGCCATGTTTCTTTCTGGTCTATGGTAATGGTAATGCAATATGTCATGTTTCTCTCTGGTCTCATGGTAATGGTAGTGCAATATGCCATGTTTATCTCTGGTCTCATGGTAATGGTAGTGAAATATGCCATGTTTCTCGCTGGTCTCATGGTAATGGTAGTGCAATATGCCATGTTTCTCTCTGGTCTCATGGTAATGGTAGTGCACTATGCCATGTTTCTCTCTGGTCTCATGGTAATGGTAGTGCACTATGCCATGTTTCTCTCTGGTCTCATGGTAATGGTAGTGCAATATGCCATGTTTCTCTCTGGTCTAATGGTAATGGTAGTGCAATATGCCATGTTTCTCTCTGGTCTCATGGTTATCGTAGTGCACTATGCCATGTTTCTCTCTGGTCTCATGGTAATGGTAGTGAAATATGCCATGTTTCTCTTTGGTCTCATGGTAATGGTAGTGCAATATGCCATGTTTCTCTCTGGTCTAATGGTAATGGTAGTGCAATATGCCATGTTTCTCTCTGGTCTCATGGTAATGGTAGTGCAATATGCCATGTTTCTCTCTGGTCTCATGGTTACGGTAGTGCAATATGCCATGTTTCTCTGTGGTCTCATGGTAATGATAGTGCAATATGCAATGTTTCTCTCTGGTCTAATGGTAATGGTAGTGCAATATGCCATGTTTCTCTCTGGTCTCATGGTAATGGTAGTGCAATATGCCATTTTCTCTCTGGTCTCATGGTAATGGTAGTGCAATATGCTATGTTTCTATGGTCTTATGGTAATGGTAGTGCATTTGTCATGATTCTGTCTGGTCTCATGGTAAATATTGTGCAATATGTCATGTTTCTCTTTTGTCTCATGGTTAATACGATGCAATATGTCTTTTTTTCTGGCCTCGTTGTAAATGTGGTGCAATATTTCATATTTCTCTCGCGTCTCATGGTAAATGTGGTGCAGTATGTGATATTTCTCTTTGTTCTTTTGGTTACTGTGATGCAATAAGTCATGTTTTGTCCCTGATCTCTTGGTAAATAGTGTGCATATGTCTATCAGGTCTCAAGGTAAATGTGGTGCAGCAAGTCATATTTCTCTTTTGTCTCGTGGTAAATATGGTGCCATATGTCATGTTTTCTTTTGTCTCATGATAAATATGATGCAATATGTCTTTTTTTCTCTGGTCTCATTGTACATGGGATGCAATAATGTGCCAGTAAAAACTAAAACTTGATCCTATGCAAGACAAGATTTTTAATGTCACTTATAAAGATTGCATTGAATTTCTGGCCAATTCCGTTTCTATCGATATTCAAACTGGACAAAGCCCATCATGATTTACAGATAAATCCAACTTTTTATAGATATCTTAATTAAAAAAGGTATTATCCAAGTTTATTTTCAAATATCAAATAAGATGAAATTTGATCCCTATTCCAAAATTTGCCGTTTTGGCTACTCTTAAAATTTTAAAATCATTCAGTTAAGTAGTAAAGTTATTTTTTTTCTAAATATTTCATTAAAATCAGAAAAAAATTAGCAAATATTTTTTCCTCCAGGCGCCAAAAGAATATTATCTTTAACTAACGAGAACCTGGCATGCGTTGAAATGTCACTCAAAGAAAGAAAGTTTTTTGTGTTTTAATTACGTCTTTTCCTGTAATTTTTATAGAGACAATTATTTTTTTTTTCGTCTGGTGCGTACACGACTAAATTAGAAAGTTTTTCTACGCGTGAGCGGGCAACATAATAATAATGAAAATAATAATAATAAAGTTTATTTGAAAACCACGCTTCCTCCGCAAAGGCTCGAAACGCGGTACCAAGTCAACCATATTAAAAAGAGAATATTTGCAAGGGATGAAAGACTTTGAATGGGTTGCTCGTATGTACTTTTTGTAATGCTGTGTTTTGTATTTCAATGTGGTATAATAATATAGATTTTTTCATAGCTCTTTTAATATGGTTGTCTTTTAAAAACTTTTAAAGATATATTTTTTTTTATATTCTTTTTAAATGGTTTTTTTTTTAAAAATTTTAAAAAAATAATCACAAAAACCCGGGGAAACCCCCCCCCCCCCCCCCCCGGGAAACTATAGAAATCTATCAAACTAAACGAATTGCAGGCTACCACAGAATTTGAGATCTCATTTATACCTTCACAGTCTTTGTGGAAAAATATAGAAAGTGCTTTTTTTGTTACCTTCAAATGCACAAAACGTATGTTACACGCAATCATTATTTCAAGACTAAAACATCTTTAAAACCAAATGTCATTGGTGTTAACCCTTTTCCGTTAAAGTCGAGATAAAAGTGCCCTGGTGTTGACCCGTTCTCCAAGGTAAAATTGTAATTGGCACTCAGCTGCGGACCCTGAATAATTAACCAGATAAATATTCAACTAAAAATGTTAAAGCTGTCCTATTAAATTTGGTTTAATATGTAAGATATGTAGCGTTTATAGGGAAATTAATGTCCCTGGCGACGACAGTGGGGGAAATTAATGTCCCTGGCCATGACAGTGGGGGATTAATGTCCCTGGCTAGGACAGTGGGGGAAATTAATGTCCCGGGCCACGAGAGTGGAGGAAATTAATGTCCCTGGCCAAGTCAGTGGGGAAATTAATGTCCCTGGCCAGGACAGTGGGAGAAATTAATGTCCCTTGCCACGACAGTGGGAGAAATTAATGTCCATGGCCACGCTAGTGGTGGAAATTAATGTCCCTAGCCAGGACAGTGGGAGAAATTAATGTCCCTGGCCACAATATTGGGGGAAATAAATGTCCCTGGCCGGGACAGTGTGGGAAATTGATCTCCCTGGCCAGGACAGTGTGGAAAATTAACTTCCCTGGCCAGGACAGTGAGGGAAATTAATGTCCTGGGCCACGACAGTGGGAGAGATTAATGTCCCTGGCCACGTCAGTGGGGGGAAATTAATGTCCCTGGCCAGGACAGTGGGGGAAATTAATGTCCCGGGCCACGACCGTGGGAAAAATTAATGTCCCTGGCCAGGACAGTGTGGGAAATTGATGTCCCTGGCCAGGACAGTGGGAGAAATTAATGTCCCTGGCCATGACAGTGGGGGAAATTAATTACCCTGGCCAGGACAGTGGGGGAAATTAACGCCCCGGGCCACGACAGTGGGACTAATTAATGCCCCTGGCCACGTCAGTGGGGAAAATTAATGTCCCTGGCCAGGAAAGTGGGAGAAATTAATGTCCCTAGCCAGGACAGTGTGTGAAATTGTTATCCCTGGCCAGGACAGTGGGAGAATTAATGTCTCTGGCAACGACAGTGGGGCAAATTAATGTCCCTGGCCAGGACAGTGTGGGAAATTAATGTCCAAGGCCAGGACAGTGTGGGGAATTAATTTCCCTGGCCAGGACAGTGGGAGAAATTAATGCCCCTGGCCACGTCAGTGGGGGGAAATTAATGTCCCTGGCCAGGACAGTGCGGGAAATTAATGTCCCGGGCCACGATAGTGGGAGAAATTAATGTCCCTGGCCAGGACAGTGTGGGAAATTGATGTCCCTGGCCAGGACAGTGAGAAAAATTAGTGTCCCTGCCACGACAGTGGGGGAAATTAATGTCCCTGGCCAGTACAGGGGGAATTTATGTCCCTGACCAAGTCAGTGGGGTAAATTAATGTCCCTGGCCAGGACAGTGGGGAAATTAATGTCCCTGGCCATGACAGTTCGAGAAATTAATGTCCCTGGCCACGATAGTGTGGGAAATTAGTGTCCATTTCCATGACAGTGTGGGAAATTGATGTCCCTGGCCAGGACAGTGTGGGAAATTAATGTCCTTTGCCACGACAGTGGGGGAAATTAATGTCCCTGGCCACGTCTGTGGGAGAAATTAATATCCCTGGCCGAGATAGTGGGGGAAATTAATGTCCCTGGCCAGGACATGTGGGAATTAATGTCCCTGGCGACGACAGTTGGGGAAATTAATGTCCTTGGCCAGGACAGTGGGGGAAATTAATGTCCATGGCCACGACAGTGGGAGAAATTAATGTCCCGGGCCTTGACAGTGTGGAAAATTAATGTCCATGGTTCACTATAAATATGTGCGTCCACTCTGATCTAAAATGTCTACTCCAATCTCTCACTCTCGGTCGGACATGGTTCAGCCATTTTCTTACTCTCGCTTGAACGCCCTCGAATGTTTAAAAAAAAAAAATAATTTGATGTTTTCTCTTTACGCCTGTAATTTTAGATAATGCCTTTGGGATAAAGAGATTTTAAGTAAAGCTTTTAATAACACGTATGGGTCAGGAGGTTAAGGCCATGTCAAATTTGGTTTTCTTGTTAAAAAAGTATCAAATTAAAATATCAACATAGTAAAGATTGTCAAACTTAGCTTTATGTAGTATATTATTTATTGTATTATTACTTGTGTATATTGTTGATGCAGACAACAAGTGCAGAAATCTAATGATGTCAATATTACTTTCGTTTAATGAAAAGGTTAAACAAATATTTATTTCAACGGCTAATAAATTCACTGGGCATTCAAAGGAATATTATCACTTGTGTTTCTAACAGTCGCCTATGAAGTACATTTTTAAGCTCCAGCTGAACTTTTCAATTATCTTCTTCTTCTATATCTTAAGGGCCCACGATCAATTTATTGATCATTTTGGCTCCTATGCATGTAGATGGGATTTGCAATGTTTCTGTTACTGGTGGTGATGAGGAAATTATGCACTAGGGGTTGCCAATCTTTATCTTGATGTACACGATTTTAAAAGGATTATTCTTTCACAAAGATTTTGCACCAAATTACTCTACACCTTATCATAAGCTCACTTTGATATAAATGTCTTCTCCCAAATACCTCTGCACACCGCTCTCTTGATTACAATGAATACTTGTCTTACTCATTACTTCAACTGTACAGGTAAGTCGCACACACTCTCCAACACATACAATGTATTATGCATTAATCCCCCCTTCACCACAAAAAACGTACACACCCTACTGACATTCGATACTGTTGCGTTGTTTGCCAATGACAACTAATTTGTGGATGCCACACACACCGTGGCGTCCAAGAAATGTTGATGTGTGTTAGTGTTCCTGTCTGTTTTGTCTGGCAGTGTTGATAGGAGATCAAGGTACTTTCACAAGTGATGTCCGTTCTGATGGTCATGTTGAGCTCCTGTACATATCCACTGGCCTTATGTATATTAATTATATTTATGTCTTCCACAGAACAAATTTATTCACGTCATTGACGAGTTATCGAGTCGGTAAATATGTTTTCCTTTAGTACACATAGCGTGACAAAATAAGAACTTGTCATGTACACCAGGGGCATGAATAGTTAACCAATTTTCCCATGGATCACAATGACAACATTTTTAAAACCTATGTTGAAACATTTTAACTTGTCAAATACAGTGTAATCATAATTGATTACATTAAAATTGATCAGCGATTACAGTCAGTAGCCTCGGTTGGTTTTTTGCAGGTAGTTTTGCACGTGTGCTAAAAATAAATAAGTAATTTAATTAATAGTAGGAATGACCGAACTACAAAATTAATACCGGATTTTCCCAAAGCCACGCTTCATTTTCTCTTTTATCAAACGTCAATAAAACCATTACAGTGTCCAGTCAACCAAATCCCAATCTTTCATGAAACTTACAATTCAGAGACAAGTACAGACAGCTGTCTTATCTGAGAATGTCGACATAAATGTTTACTTACATATCGCTCAAAATTATTCTCTGTCCATGGATATCTCCTGTTGAGCCAGGTGCTGGAAATTCATCAGCGTTTGTCAACATATTATGACATGTTGAGTGCCAGGCACGTGCGAGAAAATGGAGAGATTTAGGGGTCTCAGAACTGACATTGGTTTGTGTTACCTTGGCTTCTATCTGGAGCAGATATATTTGGTATGTGACCTGGTCGTTAGACTGCAGCAGTCATATTTGGGAGGTGACCTGGCTTTTAGACTGTAGCAGTTATATTTAGTATGTTACCTCGGCTTTATACTGTAGCAATTATATTTGGTATGCTACCTGAGCTTTAGACTGCAACGGTTATATTTGGTATGTTACTTGGTCTTTAGACCGTAGCAGTTATATTTGGTATGTTACCTGGCTTTTAGACTGTAGCAGTTATATTTGTGATGTTACCTGGCTTTTAGACAGTAGCAATTATATTTGGTATGCTACCTGAGCTTTATACTGCAGCGGTTATATTTTGTATGTTACTTGGTCTTTAGACCGTATCAGTTATATTTGGTGTGTTTCCTGGGGATTCCAGTTTAGGTGTTATATTGGTTTTGAGTTACCTATGCTTCAGTCTGTAGCAACTAAATGGTTGACTTGTGGAATTTGACTGTGTGAGCTATTCTGGTCTTGTATTACCTGGAGATTCAATCATTTTTCAATACCTTTGCCACATTTGTTATTAGACTCACTAAAATTGTAGCATTTATTTTCTCTACCAAACTCCGTTAATATTACCAGAAGCCTAGTTTAGGGTCAGCAAGGGACGTCACTTCATCGTTCATTACAAAGCAATAAACGTCAGGGTTGCTGCCCCTTTCACGGCGCTCACTCGTTCGTAAGAAAATAACCAAACGTCTCATGATCAAAAGCGGGGTTCCCTCCCCCTGGGTTATCTACGCACGTGACTCTGAGCATAGTTTAGCTCTCGTGTAACCCAGGGAAACAGGTGGGGCGGGCTGGCTAATGGCAGGACAAGAGAGTTCCGAGATTAATGAGTGCGAGAGCGGAAATGGATCACGTGGTTGCGCAGTCATGAAAGCGCATCGCCTTCCAATTTGCAGGTTGTAAATCGTTCAACGGGCAGACGATAAAAAAGTGATGTAGTAGATCATTCGATGACCAGACGATAAAAAAGTGATGTAGTAGATCATTCGATGACCAGACGATAAAAAAGTGATGTAGTAGATCATTCGATGAGCAGACGATAAAAAAGTGATGTAGTAGATCATTCGATGAGCAGACGATGGAAAGTAAAACATTCGCCGTTCTGCCTGTTATGAAATAAAGCTACTTATGTTTTGATATAAAGCTACTTATGTTTTGATATAAAGCTACTTATGTTTTGATATAAAGCTACTTATGTTTTGATATAAAGCTACTTATGTTTTGATATAAAGCTACTTATGTTTTGAATACGTTCAACATTTTCTCTATGGTATAGTATCACCTAATCACATAATATCCCTTATCACACAATATCCCCTATCACACAGTATCACCTAAAACACAGTCTGACCTATCACACAGTATCACCTGTCACACAGTTTCACCTGTCACACAGTATCACCTATCACACAGTTTCACCTAACACACAGTATCCACATTTCACACAGTACTGCATATCACGTGTGAGAAAGCAAAAACCAAAAACAAAAACAAAAACAAAAACAAAAAACAACAAAAAATTACAACAAAAAACAACAAAAAATTACAACAAAAATCAACAACAAAAAATTGCAACAAAAAACCACAACAAAAAACAACAAAAAATTACAACAAAAATCAACAACAAAAAACAACAAAACATTACAACAAAAAACAACAACAACCCAAAACAACAACAAAAAAACAACAAAACAACAACAATAAAAACAACAACAACAAAAATACAACAACAAAAACAGCAACAACAACAAAAAAGAAAAAAAAAAAACAACAACACGGAGTTCTGATTGATAAGTCACGTGGTCCACTCTGTGGTCCAATTGCATAGTCCTAATTATGCAACCCCTCCCCACCCCAAACAGTGCCCGCATTTCAGTTTGATTAAAGGTCAAAGATCATGACATATGTCACTGACGACTCTTAGACTAGACTCGAACCATCTCGCCTCTTATGGTTTGATCAAATTCGAATCTTGTCTCCTGCCAGTTTGGATAAATCTGACGGGTGGGTCGGGATGTGTCATCTTTGGTCTGATCACGACCTGGAAGATCGATGAAATAAGGAGAGAACCCACAGCATACTAGGGCTGCCAAAAAAAAAAGAACAAAGCTCCATTTGAATTTCATTCAGGGGGTGTGCCATCCTATCAAAGTGGTACAAGGTTTTGGTGAACTTTTAATACATATAAAAACGGGATATGGGCCAAACAAACAAAAAGAAGCATCTGGACAGTTGCTTTCAGAGGCAGGTGATTAAGTTATGTTTTAGAGGCAGGTGATTAAGTTATGTTTCAGAGGCAGGTGATTAAGTTATGTTTCAGAGGCAGGTGATTAAGTTATGTTTCAGAGGCAGGTGATTAAGTTATGTTTCAGAGGCAGGTGATTAAGTTATGTTTCAGAGGCAGGTGATTAAGTTATGTTTCAGAGGCAGGTGATTAAGTTATGTTTTTCATGCTACGACATTGATATTTACGACTGTCTTCGAAAATTTGACGCTACTAGAAAATATGTATATATTTTTTTTGGAGATTAAGTATTTTTAATAAGTAATAATACTTACATGCGTGCTAAAATAAAATATCTTCTTGATATTTTCATTCTGGTGCGTCCTGCTTTCTCCTCACCCTCTCCAAACTATTCCATTTGTTTTATTTTCATTCATGTGTGACGTCTGAACTCCGGTGAATAGGTTAATTCTGTTTCGTTAGGAGTATGGGGGAGGGGGGCGCGACGATTTGGTGCTGTTATTGTTCATGCTCCTTTGTCTCACAGCGAGTTCCATGCTTCTGAACTCAGGTAAATAGTTTTTTTTTTTTTTCTTTAGAAAGGAATTTTATTTTGTTTAAATATCACTGATAGTCCCATCTTTCTTCCGTGGCTGAACACCACACAGGACAGGGTCATAGGCCGTCCTTTCACTTGGGGCATGTGTGTGCCTGTGAGTCTTTTCCGTAGCCTGGCACAGGAACATATTGCTCTTTGCGTTACACTGCAACCATTTTTTTCGTATTTGTTATAAAATGAACGACAGTATCTTTTCTGTGGACCGAGTTTTGTACGTCAACTCTATGCAGGTATGAGGCAACTGCCTGTTCCTATCAGTGGGGTATTTCTTGACACGAACGGTTGACGAAGGCAAAACACTCTCACTGCGACACTTCGTTGTATATTATAGAAAATGGGAAGTCAACTCTTTTTTTAAAACACTTGGAGCCACCGGTTATTTTCTCAAAACACCGGGACCCGGTGTAAAAAAATTGCACCGGTTTAAGACCTAGTAGTTGATACTTTCCTGAACAACGCTATAAAGTTGTTAATCGCCTTTGATTAAAATGAAAACACCTTGCCATGTATACTGAAACATTTTTGTCCAAAACGATACCAAAATGTGTTAAAAACAAAGCAAGATGATGAGAAAAAAAATATACTGTTAATTACTGTTAAAAGATTTACCAAATTTCGCTAGTTTTAAAAAGGCTCCTTATAAAAACAAAATGTAACAAATGACTGAACATCAGTATAATTAAAAAAACGATACTAAAACAGGGAAACAAATATTTTAAAAATATATATTTATATATTAATTATATTACTTTTTATACAGACACAAAACTCAACTGTATAAAAAAAATTCTGTACGCGAATTACAATCTTTGAGTGCAATTCAAGAATGATAGAAAAATGTCTCTAGAAAGAAATATTCTTAATAGCACACTTGAAGCACAAAATATTGTCTCGAAATGTCGCCATGCAAGAGATCTAAGGAAACTCTCCAGAGAAAGTAAGACCCTGTCTTTTGTCCACCGTCTTTTCTATTTTCGGGGGAAAGGGGGGGGGAGTTTCCTGAAATAGTTACTTAACTATAAAAGACATGATTCTCCTAAAAGCAGCCCCAATTCTCCCAACCGAGGTCAACTGCGGTCAGAGTGATAGGAGTCCCTGTCTTTTGGCCACCGTCTTTTCTATTTTCGGGGGAAAGGGGGGGGGGGAGTTTCCTGAAATAGTTACTTAACTATAAAAGACATGATTCTCCTAAAAGCAGCCCCAATTCTCCCAACCGAGGTCAACTGCGGTCAGAGTGATAGGAGGGGTTAGCACAGACACGTGACCACCAGAACAATTGTCCACTCACAATATGTCACACAAAGGCTCAAACAAACAAATGGAAAAACTATCGCTATCTGTTGGTGAGCACAACAAATGTGGCATTAAGTTAGACGGTGAATGTGAACACAAGTGTAAGTGAAATGTTGAGGTCAGGCAACGTAACTATACTATTTGAGGACATTGTACGTTTCAACATAAAAATAATAACATGAATTATGTTATCCAGCTGGATTTTCGCCTACCTTCAATTTGTCAATTTAATTATCTATTCTTTAACAACAGTTTTGTATGATACATTACTACCTGCAGGAGTCTTAATGTAACTTAAAGTTCTAGCGCAATAACGTAATTCAATGGACGTAACAATGATTGTAACGCAATGATTGTAACTTAGTTGTCGAAATGCATGAATTGTAACACAATGATTGTAACGCAAGGATGTTAACACAAGGATTGTAGCGCAATAATTGTAATGAAAGGATCGTAACGCAATCATTGTTACTCAATGATTGAAATGCAAGGATTGTAACACAAGAATTGTAACGAAATGATGTAATGAAATGATTGTAACTCAATGATTATAACCATGTTGTCGTAATGCAAGGATTGTAACGCAATGTTTGTAAACCAAGTATTGTTACACTATGATTGTAATAAAATGATTGTTACACAATGATTGTAACGCAATGGTTGTAACACAGGGATTGCAACGCAATTATTGTAATTAAATTATTGAAACACAATGATTGTAAAGCAATGATTGTAACGCAAGGATTATAACGAAAGGATTATAACTCCATTGGCGTAACTCGGTCATTGTAATGCAGTGAAGGTAACTCAGTTGTCATAACGTAATGATTGTAACGCAAGGATTGTAACCCAAGGACTGTAACGCAAGGATTCTAACGAAAGGAATGTAGCACGAGGATTGTAACGAAAGGAATGTAGCACGAGGATTGTAACGAAATGAATGTAGCACGAGGATTGTATAGAAAGGAATGTAGCGTGAGGATTGTAACGAAAGGAATGTAGCACGAGGATTGTAACGAAAGGAATGTAGCACGAGGATTGTAACGAAAGGAATGTAGCGTGAGGATTGTAACGAAAGGAATGTAGCACGAGGATTGTAACGAAAGGAATGTAGCACGAGGATTGTAACGAAAGGAATGTAGCACGAGGATTGTATAGAAAGGAATGTAGCACGAGGATTGTAACGAAAGGAATGTAGCGCGAGGATTGTAACGAAAGGAATGTAGCACGAGGATTGTATAGAAAGGAATGTAGCGTGAGGATTGTATAGAAAGGAATGTAGCACGAGGATTGTAATGAAAGGAATGTAGCGGGAGGATTGTAACGAAAGGAATGTAGCACGAGGATTGTAACGAAAGGAATGTAGCACGAGGATTGTAACGAAAGGAATGTAGCGCGAGGATTGTAACGAAAGGAATGTAGCACGAGGATTGTATAGAAAGGAATGTAGCGTGAGGATTGTAACGAAAGGAATGTAGCACGAGGATTGTATAGAAAGGAATGTAGCGTGAGGATTGTAACGAAAGGAATGTAGCACGAGGATTGTAACGAAAGGAATGTAGCACGAGGATTGTAACGAAAGGAATGTAGCGTGAGGATTGTAACGAAAGGAATGTAGCACGAGGATTGTAACGAAAGGAATGTAGCACGAGGATTGTAACGAAAGGAATGTAGCACGAGGATTGTATAGAAAGGAATGTAGCACGAGGATTGTAATGAAAGGAATGTAGCGTGATGATTGTAACGAAAGGAATGTAGCACGAGGATTGTAACGAAAGGAATGTAGCACGAGGATTGTAATGAAAGGAATGTAGCGGGAGGATTGTAACGAAAGGAATGTAGCGTGAGGATTGTAACGAAAGGAATGTAGCGTGAGGATTGTAACGAAAGGAATGTAGCGCGAGGATTGTTATCTTTTTTTTGGTTTCATGTGTTTCGAACAAAGACGATTCTTATAACTCGTTATCTGTCTAATGCAGAGGTTCCAAAACCTGTTTATATTCCAAAGCCTTTTAAGAATCAATTTTTATGGGAAGACCCTTAGGTTTACCATATTTCTTACAAGTTCATAGTCTAGGACAGGGGTCCTCAAATCATCCGGGGGCCGCAGGAGGTAGAGTCTGAGTTAGACTGGGCCGCATCAAGTATTCCACACAAAGAGCGATTGCAAATTCAATAAAGTACAACTGGAACAATCTGCTCAACTTTTATTAATAACAAAATAAAACTTTAAGGGTTCTCAAAACTAGGTTTCACTTTCTTCCTCCTACTCCTTGTTGCCAGAGCTGGCAGAGCTTCTTCTTACACGGCTGAGCAACATTGGCTTGAGTGAGGTAGCCACTAAGACCCTCAGTTTATCTCGAAGATGCTCATCAGTCATTTTTGCCCTGAACTTTGACATGAGAATGGGGACAACTCGCGGGCTGCTTTAACACTTAAACTTTGCTGCCATGTAGCGGGCCGCAAAATATTGTCTTTCGGGCCGCAAATGGCCTGTGAGCCGCGAGTTTTAGAACCCCTGGTCTAGGAGTTTTCTAAGTCGACCTTGGAGCACGGTTTTAAGGTAAAGATAGAATTCAAAGAGGCATTGACCAGTTTCATGTTTACTGTGAGAACATAGAGAGTTAGGTCCTGATGTTGCTTGTGAAGTCTGTGTAATAGATTCCAGTGTGTAGTGGTCATTGTAAGCACGTGTGAGTCCCCAGGTCACATGGTAACTCGTGTTGTTTTTGTAGTGGAGCCTAATGTGTCATGGTCATTGTAAGCACAAATGTGATGCAAGGTCACGTGGTATCTGGTGTTGTATGTGTAGTAGATGCCGATGCTGACCGAGGCGTGCAAGTAACAAGCACTGTTGGTGATGAAACTGATCAGAGAATAGACATCCCCATAGCGGCCCGTGTCCGTGTACTGGGGAACTACGGCCCTGGCTACCCCATGGCACGCCGTTGGAATGGCCTGGGCCACAAATATGACGGACACCAAGATGACCGACTTGATGACTTTTACATTTTTGACGGATATGTTGAGTTTAGTCTCATAACCGGGAAGATTCGATTGCCGAAATTTGGAAGAATCGATTAGAGCTTTCGCGAGTCTGATCGTACACATGATGACAACCACAATTGAAGACCACGGGAGGATATTTCTGTTGAAGATGTCGTTGATATTCACAGCAAGTTTCCGATCTCCAACCACGGTCAGAACGAGACGAGAACTGTTGTTCATGGGATCTAGAACCCAAGATAACCTTTGAACCATCAACATGGGCAAGCGAATGAGAATGATGCCCCCAAATATAAGAACGATTATGATAATTGTTCGAACATTGCTGAACACTCCTTTGAAATACAGTGGCATTGATACACAGCAACATCGAGCTACGGCTATGAAGGCAGTCATCAGGACGGTGACATCGTAGAAGGCATACGAGTACCAATACAGCACCATTAACAAGCTGTAGGGGTCAATGGCCAGGGTGCCCGGATATCGCACCAACGCCCCGCATATGGAATGTCCGAACGAGATCGCCAGGAAGCCGAAGTTGGACACGGAGAGTGACACGAAGGAAATGGCCACACTGTCGCGGACACCCATTTTCCCAAATACGATGATGTTGATTAGATTGGTCACTACTCCAACTGCCGTTAGGGTCGGCCACACGACATATACAAACAAGACGTACAGTGAATCAAAGCATGGAATGCTGACGAAATCTTGGCTAGACTCAGTGCTGTTTAAATTAAACATAGTTCTCAGATTTTTTAAAATGAAATATATAATATCTGATAAACTATTTTTTAAAAAGTGGAAAATACTTTCCAGAAACTTGAATAAACTTCTCAAGTTTTCTAGACATGACACGTCTGACTTACTAGAAATACCATTGAATATTATTCTAGCCAGAGAGTCCGGACACGCATTTCGTAAATCTTGTTTTAGTAAAGCTGTGATGCGTGAAAAGTTTTGACAGTTCTTGTAAGTCAATCTTCCGCTGTGAACACTATCTATTTCAAGAGATTGTGTTTTAAAATCACGAAAGCGCAGTCTTAAAGATGGTGTTTAAGGTAATTTGGTGTTACATGCAGAGTCGATTATAATTGGTGACAAGGGCGACTGAATTTAAACGTTACAAGAAAAGTTATATGGTACGTTCATAGTTGAGCTACAATTTAAAAAAAATGTCTATAATGATTAACATATCTTTTTAGCCCGATCAATGTGCACAAGAACAAGTTTTTTTGGTAATATTCCTGACGTCATTGATTTTTAAATGGCAGATGTATAATATATATACATTCTATATAATTTTTACTTTTAGAACATGAATGTAATATTTTTTATGCATCGCTTTGCTGTAACCACCTATGTAAGTGTCAATTATATTTCATTAAAGTAATGTTCAAACGACCCATCAGTTCATAATGACAAAGATTGAGGCAAAACTAATAAGATAATGACTTCTGTCGCTGGCACTTTGGGGGTACTCAAAGGGAAATAACAGTGAGACTTCGGACGAATTACAGTGCTCTGCAATTAATTTAGTATGTTGAACAATCATTAAGAAAATAGAAGCTCCAAAAATCACGTTTGATTTCGGGTAGGAACGTTTAGAAAAGTAAAATAAAAGAAAAAAAAGTTTTATTTTGAGAAAGAAAAGAGAACATGAGGTTGTCCCGCTTTCAAATTATGGGTGGCAGACATGTTTGTTGACGTCAATGCTAAAAAGAAGGGTTTAATGACGTCATTGGTCGCAACCATGGTTAGAATATGTAAACATGGATTGGATGACGATACAATGAGTTAAAATAAAGTAAACTAAAGTACGTTATTTTTTAAAAAAAAAAATTATATTATTTGGTCTGTTTAATTAGCTCTACCGAACATAATGTAATCGAGTTGGAAAAAACAAACAGGATTTTCGGAGTCAAGCGGAACTGAAAAACCGTGCGTCATCCACAGGCCAGCTATTATATTCATCACAATTTGGAGGTACCATATTGTTTGAGTTCTGAAAAATGCGTTAATTGTTGATCTTAGCTCACTATATTAGTGAGGTAAATTGTTTCAGTTTAATGTAACTAAAGTACGTATGGTGTGTCACAGTGATAAAATAGTGACTATATACGACAAAGCAACAGTAGAGCCACATACAACAAAGAAAAAGTAGGCCTACATACAAGAAGCGAAAGTAGGACTTTATACGACAAAGCAAAAGTAGGACTATATATGACAAAGAAAGAGTAGGACTATATACAACACATTGACATTAGGACTATATACGACAAAGCAACAGTAGGACTATATACGAGAAAGAAAGAGTAGGCCTACATACAAGGAGCGAAAGTAGGACTTTATACGACAAAGCAACAGTAGGACTATATACGACAAAGCAACAGTAGGACTATATACGACAAAGCAACAGTAGGACTAAATACAACAAAGCAACTAAGTGCCTACAACAGAATATATGATTTAAAAATAGTATGTACAGGAATTATGCTGCAACTGCAACCGGAGAAAACACTTAGTAAATTGATGAACTCTTTAGTCTATTGGATAATCTTGATGAGAAGAGTGAGTGCTGACATTCGAAGATGCCAGCAAGTCTTAATTTGATGTGCATCATGGCATAATTTCTGTGTAGACGGGCAGTTCGTGTTAAGGACCAAGGAAAAAAACTCTTAGTTTTAACGCAGAATTATGATTAACGTGCTGTGTGGGGCAATGATTGGACCAATATGCAATGGTGAAAGAACTTTGATAGGACAAGGTGGCTCTATGTTATGACACAAATCATGGGGAACAACTCGTACATCGAAAGGTCGCTATGGTCAAAAGGTTGTTACACTATCTTCATATTTTGCCTTTAATCAATAATAGCAGAGATAGATCAATTAATATCACGTGTTTTATCAAAATGACGATGTTGTATCAGTACGTCTTTTTTATTGATTGATTTTATCAAATATTTGATATCAGACTTGCGAATAATGTCGTGACATAACGAGGTGATGAAATCTGCACGTGATCTTTGTGTGATAGCTTTCCTGTAGAGATAAACGAAATACGAGAGAGAAAGAGAGAGTGAGGAACAGAGAGTGAGAGAGTGAGAGGAAGTGATAGGGGATAGAGAGAGGGAGAAAGAGAAGGAGAGAGCTTGAGATGGAGGGCAGAGAAGAGATAGCGAGGGTTAGAGGGAAAAGGAGGGATAGAGGGTGAGAGTGAGGTGGAGAGAGAGAGGGAAAGAGAGGGGGAGAACAAGAAAAAGAGAGAGAAGAGAGAGAGATTGAGGGTAAGGATAGGAAGAGAGTGAGAAAGAGGAGAGAGAGAGAGTGAGATAGAGAGATAGAGAGAGAAAGTGAGAGAGAGAGATAGTGAGAAAAAGACAGAAAAAGAAAGGAATAGAAAGAGAGAGAGAAGAGGGAGTAAAGGGAGGCAGGGAACAATAGCGAAAGAGAGGAAGAGGAGGGGAGTGAGAGAAAGATATAGAAAGAGAGATAAAGAGAGAAAAGAGGAGAGTGAGAGAGAGAGAGAGAGAGAGGGAGAGAGAGAGAGAGAGAGGGAGAGAGAGAGAGAGAGAAGATGGCTGATATTTCCCAACCCAATAGTGTGTCACCCTAAAACATTAAAATTTCAATCAACTTGATCGTTTTTTCCTTTGTCTTTCCAACGTATTGTGGTCCAAGACAGGATATAGACTGTAGCTCACCCAGAGTCAGGCAATATTGTGGTCCAAGACAGGATATAGACTGTAGCTCACCCAAAGTCAGGCAATATTACGTGTGTGCCCGTAGTTCTGTCTCAGTTCATAGGCAGGTACACGCATGCCCGTGATCGGGAAAAAAAGTTAGGAGAAGGGGCTAGAATATTGGGCGGGGGAGGGGGGGGAGAGAGGAGGAGGGGTAAGCGAAATTGGAGAACTGCATCTGGGAGGTGGGGAGGGAAAGACAGGAGAAACGATTCAGAAGTTTGAAGGCTTTGTGTGCGATATGTGTGTGGGTAGGATGTGTGGGGGTGGGGGTGAGAGCTGAGAAAGTTACAGGAAGGTATGACTGGGTGTGAGGTTGTGCACGATATGCACCATTAGTCAGTGGAGTCAGAGTAGGGTGATGGGCCATAGTCAGAATGTAGTATTAGTCAGTGGAATGTGAGTATGGTGGTGAGTTGTGGTGAAAATGTAGCATTAGTCAGTGGACTGAGAGTAGGTTGATGGGCAGTTTTCAGATAATCTTTTTGTCAGCATGGCGAAAGAAAAAAAGAAACTTTAATATTTGAAAATATTTTAAGGGTTGGTTGGGGGGTAGAGGGGAAAGGGTTGGATGAGAACAATGATAAAGTAAAGAAAGACACCATTAAGTTGGGTAAAAGACATGAGCGAGTTTGGAGAATGGCACCAATAAGTTGGGTAAAAGACATGAGCAAGTTGGGTGAATGGCACCAATAAGTTGGGTAAAAGACATGAGCGAGTTGGGTGAATGGCACCAATAAGTTGGGTAAAAGACATGAGCGAGTTGGGTGAATGGCACCAATAAGTTGGGTAAAAGACATGAGCTAGTTGGGTGAGAAGACATGAGCGAGTTGGGTGAGAAGACAAGAACATTATTGGGAGAAAGACGCCAATAATTTGGGTAAAAATACATAAGCGACAACTTAAGTCATTAATCTCTTCCGTGCATTACAATGTTTGTTTTGTGTGTACTAATGACATCGCCTACAGTCGCATACACAATCCAGGGAAGCTGACAACGTTATACCAATAACAAACACGGCTTACTTACTTCAGCATGAACACATGTGTAGAGTAAATTTGAGCCCATGCTTATAAAACCATCCCACTTGCTACAGAAAATAACTGAGAAACAATCATTTATTAAGCCGTGACGTAAGCCGTAAATGGATCAATTTTTTTAACATTGGAAATACCTTTGTTTTCATTTGATCTCTGCCCATTCTTTGCAAAATGTGGTTAAAATATATATTTTTAATAACAGAAAACAGCTATGAGTGGATTGGATTAGAACAGACATCTTTAAAAGCTGCAATCACAATATTTCTAATCGATAAAAAAAAAATAAAAAATACAAGAATTTTTATTACAATCCATTCCAAATTTGACTTTGTGTATAAACTATTACCATAAAAACTCCAACTCGCGGACAAGTGAACGCCGATATTTTTGAAAGAATAAGTGGCCAAGTGGAACCTTACCTTAATCTCGAATTAATCCCTGCTAATCCTGTCCACCATGAGCGTAGACAAAAGCGTAGCCGAGGACGTACCAATTGTGATCAATCGGAGATAGTCTCCAGTCAGAGCAACGCGCTCTTAAGAGGAAGTTCGTCCATACCCAACACTGAAGCGGGAGTGAATGATACAAAAGTGCTTGGGGAAACGTCAACTGCGGGTGGAATCTTCAGAATGGGTAATTTTGCAATCCCTTGGTGCAACATGTTTTATAAAAACCGAGAGAGAGAAAGAAAGAGAACGCGTGAAAGGGAGACCACACAAGCAGTCTCTTTCACTAATTAGTTGCGATAAAAAGGTACAGTCGTGTTGCATTTAACTTCAAATGGTTGTACCTGTGTTCCACTAACTCAGTGTAAGTATGGACCTGTGTTCCAATAACTCAGTCTAAGTATGGACCTGTGTTCGACTAACTCAGTCTAAGTGAATTTTCATTTGAAGTGGGTTTGTGAATAATCTCATTTGAATTGAAGACACCATAATCAAACAAACTCTAGACGTCGCACTTGCAGTGACTTAATGGATTTGTACAACATGTTGAAGCAATTAATCCAAAATAGAACTCAATTAATCCTTCAATTATGTTCCCAGATTTGTTCTATGAGATCTAAGTCTTTCTTTAGTTAGACGATAAGAGCTCCCCCCCCCCAGGCCACCGCTTTGATAAAACGCTGGTGAGACTCTGCACGTGCATTGATGTGCAACTCACGTGTAGCAGTGATGATCTCGTGCACCACACAGCACTTGTGGACGCGAGTGCATGTTGATGTTAGTGAGGTACTGCTTGTTGTAGTCAGAGTGGTAGAAGAATGAGTTAAAGGGCAGAGGTTAGGGGGCTAGGTGAGGGGGGGGGGGCTTTAACTTACAGGCAAAGGTGAAGGGGACCGGGGGGGTGATCTAACATACAGGATTTAAGGTAAGTAAACAATCATGTCTCCTCTCTACCTTTCCAAGGTAAGAAGATCTTTGACCCCACCCTTCCCCCCCCCCCCCCCCCAGAACGAGAGCTGCAGAGTCAGAGGAAAAGCTCTCAGACATACTACTCCACGGTGACGCCAACAGCAAGTCGCAATTTTAAAAAAAAAAACGGTGTTTTACAAATGAATTCAAAAAGGTATCTGTCAATCTATTTATCAATGTATTTGACAATGTATTTGACAAGGTATTTATCAATGTATTGACAATGTATTTGACAATGTATTTGACAATGTATTTGATCATGTATTTGACAATGTATTTGACAATGTATTTGACAATGTATTTGACAATGTATTTGACAATGTATTTGATCATGTATTTGACAATGTATTTGACAATGTATTTGACCATGCAATTTGACAATGTATATGAAAATGTATTTGACGATGTATTGACAATGTTTATGACGATGTATTTCACCACGTATTTCACAATGTATTGAGAATGTATTTTAAATGTATTTGACCATGTATTTCACGATGTATTTGACAATGTATTTGACAATGTATTTGAAAATGTATTGACAATGTATTTGGCAATGTAATTAACAATCAATGTATTTGACAATGTATTGACAATGCATTTGATAATGTATTTGACAATGTATTTGACAATGTATTTAACAATGTATTTGACAATGTAGTTAACAATGTATTTGAAAATTTATTTGACAATGTATTGACCATGTATTTGACAATGTATTGACAATGTATTTAACAATTTATTTGACAGTGATTTGACAATGTATTTGGCTATGTATTTGACTATATATTTTACAATGTATTGACAATGCATTGGAGCATGTATTTGACAATGTATTTGACAATGAATTGACAATGTATTTATCAATGTATTTATCAATGTATTTGACAATGTATTGACAATGTATTTATCAATGTATTTGACAATGTATTGACAATACATTTGACAATGTATTTGACGATGTATTTGACAATGTATTTGACAATGTATTTACCAGTATTTGACAATGTATTTGACAATGTATTTAACAATGTATTTGACAATGTATTGACAATGCATTTGACAATGTATTTGAAAATGTATTTGACAATGTATTCCACAATGTATTCGACAATGCATTAGACAATGTATTCGATAAAACTTAAATTGTAGAAATATAGAAAAATTCGCTTAAGTAAGTTCCATGGTCTGTCACATGAGACTACATTACCACAGTCTGTCAGATGACAGACTTTCAGATGAGAATACATTACCGTGGTCTGCAACATGATACCGCATTGCAATGAAATAATATTTCCTTACCTTTGAACCACAATTAAGAAACTTTTCTTATGTTAAAGATATTTTGGAACCATCGCTTTTTCGAAAGAATGATATCTGTTAGACCAGTGGATCTCAACCCGTGTGTCACGATCCCTTTGGGCGGGGGGGGGGGGTCGAACGACCTTCACACAGGGGTCGGCTAAGACCATCGTAAAACACATATTGAAGTAGCAACGAAAATAATTTTTTGGTTGGGGGGGTCACCGCTACATGGGGGGCTGTATTAAATGGTTGGGGGGGGGGGGGGGGGTCGAACGACCTTCACACAGGGGTCGGCTAAGACCATCGTAAAACACATATTGAAGTAGCAACGAAAATAATTTTTTGGTTGGGGGGGTCACCGCTACATGGGGAGCTGTATTAAATGGTTGCAGCATTAGGGAGGTTGAGAACCACTGTGTTACAATTAGTAAAAAAAATCTGCAGAAAACTCCTGGCTGATATCTATTCGGTCTTTCTTTTTAAAATTCATTTATTTATATATGTTATTTTTTTAAACTTTATATTGATGGCACCGTATTTCCTTATGGCAACGCCAAACACTTCAATAATGCGACTAGTAGTTAATCCTTATCTCCCGTGATTCTAGACAAACAAAAAAAGTGTACAAGAACTTTAGTCAGTTGTTATCTCCCTTGTATCGTTCTTCTGCCATTAAAATATCTCAGTCATGACGCAAAATAATTCATTTTTAAGTGGCATTTTTTCATCAATTTTAAAAAAAAAATATTAAAACGCTTGAGGGGGATAAAAAATTATTTTGTGACCTCGTTAATAAATGAGAAAATATAGAGAAAATATTATTATGAGTTTCTTTAATTGCATTAAGTTGCTAATGTTTGTTAACTAAATCTCACTGTGATAGCCCCATATAGATTTATCTTAGTATTAGATATTTTATGCGAATCTGTTTCATGTGGAAATGTGGCCTTCATTGGACGTCCTCCGATATCGGTATTCTGTAATTTTATGCTTGTCCAATGTGGGCATTCTCATGTCACAAACGAGAGCTAAGTCTTTCGATGTACGTATTCTGTAATTGTGTGCTTGTCCAATGTGTGCATTCTGCTTATCTGAGAAACGAGAGATAAGTCTTTCGATGTACGTATTCTGTAATTGCATGCTCGTCCAAGGCCCGAGTTCTATTTATCTCACAAACGAGAGATACGTCTTTCGATGTACGTATTCTGTAATTGTGTGCTCTTCCAAGGCCCGAGTTCTACTTATCTCACAAACGAGAGCTAAGTCTTTCGATGTACGTATTCTGTAATTGTGTGCTCGTCCAAGGCCCGAGTTCTACTTATCTCACAAACGAGAGCTAAGTCTTTCGATGTACGTATTCTGTAATTGTGTGCTCGTCCAAGGCCCGAGTTCTACTTATCTCACAAACGAGAGCTAAGTCTTTCGATGTACGTATTCTGTAATTGTGTGCTCGTCCAAGGCCCGAGTTCTACTTATCTCACAAACGAGAGCTAAGTCTTTCGATGTACGTATTCTGTAATTGTGTGCTCGTCCAAGGCCCGAGTTCTACTTATCTCACAAACGAGAGCATAAGTCTTTCGATGTGCGTATTCTGTAATTGTGTGCTCGTCCAAGGCCCGAGATCTACTTATCTCACAAACGAGTGAAACATTCTTCAGATTGAGTCATCAATAGGATCTTAATTTGAAGGCTTCCTTTCTAAGACTGCACCTTAATTCTACTTTGCCAACTTTCTTCCACTAGCCATCAAGTCACTCCAGATCAGTGGTTCTTCACATGGGTTCGATCGAACCCCAGGGGTTCGGCGGAGGTCCAAAAAAAAAAAAAAAATCAGAAAAAAAATCATATTTTATTTTTCCCAATTAAGAAAGGTTCGGTGAATGCGCATATGAAAGTGGTGGGGTTCAGTACCTCCAAAAATGTTAAGAACCACTGCTCTAGATTAATATATTTAACTATATTATTTAGAAAATCGCTTGGGAAGCATTTTTAGAAGAAATTCGATACTGTGTGTTTGTTTCTCAGTTAATAAACTTTATTTGACAACAAGTGACGACCATTTCACTTCTATTCCTAATTTTATACTAGACAACTCTTGATTACAAAATTGTTAAGGAAGTGGGTAAAGTACACAAACAATGAAATTCTTTACCATCTTGAACTCAAATAAGACAAGGCATTACACTCATGGTCATTAACAAAGGACTATACCTTCTACGATACCTTTATTTGGCTCCTTCAATGTTATGGTAGCGGTATAAAAGTATTTTTTTAGAAAACTTCTATATGATTCTTAAAAAATTACAATTTTAAAAAATAATGAACACCATTAAGTATATAGCCCTGCGTCTCATCTATTATATATGCTAAATTCACATCGGATCCATGTTTTCACGATTTTTTTTAAAAATTCATAAGAGACTGATTTTTCGGTAGAGATTAGTTCGTCGTGCTTGTAATACAACACTTAATTTCCGATGCTTATCAGCCATCTTCATTGTTCATTTGTCATCTTTATCGTTTATCAGCCATCTGTATTGTTTATTTACCATCTTTAGTGTTATTAGCCTTCTTTATCATTTATTAGCCATCTTGATTGTTTATCAGCCATCTTTATTGTTTCTTTAAAATCTTTATTGTTTAATGGCCATCTTTATTAATTAATTAGCAATCTTCATCGGTTATCAGCCATCTTTATTGTTTATTTGTTATCTTTATTATTTATCATGACGAGAGCCATGACCTTGCAGCCTCGTGACGAGTGTTTATAACCATGACCTTGTAGCCTCGTGAATAGTGTTTATAACTATGACCTTGTAGCCTCATGACTAGTGTTTCTAACCATGACCTTATAGTCTCGAGACTAGTGCATCTAACCATGACCTTGTAGCCTCGTGACTATTGTTTATAACCATGACCTTGTAGCCTCGTGAATAGTGTTTATAACTATGACCTTGTAGCCTCGTGACTAGTGATTCTAACCATGACCTTGTAGCCTCGTGACGAGTGTTTATAACCATGACCTTGTAACCTCGTGACTAGTGTTTATAACCATGACCTTTTAGCCTCGTGATTAGTGTTTATAACCATGACCTTGTGGCCTCTTGGCGAATGTTTATAACCATGACCTTGTGGCCTCGTGACTAGTGTTACAACCATGACCTTGTAGCCTCGTGACGAGTGTTTCTAACCATGACCTTGTAGCCTCGTGACTAGTGTTACAACCATGACCTTGTAGCCTCGTGACTATTGTTTATAACCATGACCTTGTAGCCTCGTGGCTAGTGTTACAAACATGACCTTGTAGCCTCGTGACTAGTGCTTCTAACCATGACCTTGTAGCCTCGTGAATAGTGTTTATAACCATGACCTTGTAGCCTCGTGACGAGTGTTTATAACCATGACCTTGTAGCCTCGTGAATAGTGTTTATAACCATGACCTTGTAGCCTCGTGACTAGTGTTTCTAACCATGACCTTGTAGCCTCGTGACTAGTGTTTATAACCATGACCTTGTAGCCTCGTGACTAGTGTTTATAACCATGACCTTGTAGCCTCGTGACGAGTGTTTATAACCATGACCTTGTAGCCTCGTGAATAGTGTTTATAACTATGACCTTGTAGCCTCGTGACTAGTGTTTATAACCATGACCTTGTAGCCTCGTGAATAGTGTTTATAACTATGACCTTGTAGCCTCGTGACTAGTGATTCTAACCATGACCTTGTAGCCTCGTGACGAGTGTTTATAACCATGACCTTGTAACCTCGTGACTAGTGTTTATAACCATGACCTTTTAGCCTCGTGATTAGTGTTTATAACCATGACCTTGTGGCCTCTTGGCGAATGTTTATAACCATGACCTTGTGGCCTCGTGACTAGTGTTACAACCATGCCCTTGTAGCCTCGTGACGAGTGTTTCTAACCATGCCCTTGTGGCCTCGTGACTAGTGTTACAACCATGACCTTGTAGCCTCGTGACTATTGTTTATAACCATGACCTTGTAGCCTCGTGACTAGTGTTACAACCATGACCTTGTAGCCTCGTGACTAGTGCTTCTAACCATAACCTTGTAGCCTCGTGACTAGTGTTTATAACTATGACCTTGTAGCCTCGTGACGAGTGTTTATAACCATGACCTTGTAGCCTCGTGTCGAGTGTTTATAACTATGACCTTGTAGCCTCGTGAATAGTGTTTATAACTATGACCTTGTAGCCTCGTGAATAGTGTTTATAACCATGACCTTGTAGCCTCGTGAATAGTGTTTATAACTATGACCTTGTAGCCTCGTGACTAGTGTTTCTAACCATGACCTTGTAGCCTCGTGACTAGTGCTTCTAACCATGACCTTGTAGCCTCGTTTCGAGTGTTTGTAACCATGACCGTGTAGCCTCGTGTCGAGTGTTTATAACCATGACCTTGTAGCCTCGTTTCGAGTGTTTGTAACCATGACCTTGTAGCTTCGTGTCGAGTGTTTATAACCATGACCTTGTAGCCTCGTTTCGAGTGTTTATAACCATGACCTTGTAGCCTCGTGTCGAGTGTTTATAACCATGACCTTGTAGCCTCGTTTCGAGTGTTTGTAACCATGACCTTGTAGCCTCGTGTCGAGTGTTTATAACCATGACCGTGTAGCCTCGTGTCGAGTGTTTATAACTATGACCTTGTAGCCTCGTGAATAGTGTTTATAACTATGACCTTGTAGCCTCGTGAATAGTGTTTATAACCATGACCTTGTAGTCTCTTAATGACAAGATACGATTCTTGTTTGATCCAGGTTAATGGAATTTTTTAATTACACGAAACATATTCAATATAAACAAATAAATAAACGCATTTTTTTAACAAAGACAACATTTTATAATTATAAGAATTTAAACACCAGACATCTTATGTATTTCTCTAGCGTAGAAAGCAGCCATCCATGAACTCCTTTAGTGACAATAATGACTTAATTAGTGATTATCTAGATCTCGTAACCGCTGGGGGAGCACGCTGATCAATTCATACAGAATGGGGAACAACGTCATTATTTACATCGTCGGGCCCTAACTTAAACAGCAAGAATTTGATCTGCACTTATCGAGCTGACCTTAGGTATCTGTGATGAAGTGGTTCGGGATGTTGCATCCAAAATGTGTTTAGTTTGAAAACATCACTTTTTTCTTCATATGGTTCGTCAAGCAAAGGATGTTTAGGTTGTGTGATGTTACTAACTTGTTTGATTAGTCTACTTAATCTGTGTTAGATGTCAGGCGATACATTCCTACACCAGCGGCTTACACTGACGTTTAGTAGGCTTCTATTGTGTTGCACTCTAGACTCAGTTAGTAACTTGTGTGTTTTTATATCCAGAAATTTTACCATTTTTTTAAAAAAAATAGAACAAATTAACTTGCATTCGTTGCTTAAAAAAAAAAAATCTTCTTTTTTCGATAATTTACACATAAAAATGTTTTTACTAAAAGGTAGTAAAAAAATTCGTTAAAAAAGCTTTTAAAAAATACTTTCTTTTAAGGACAAGTTTTAACGCACGTAAAATTTCCCAAATCGCATTGCGCAAAAAAAAAAAAAAAAATAAAAAATGTCTGTGCAGAAAATAATTTAAAAAGTCAATAAATAAAAACGTTAACAAAATAATAGAGTGTATTCTAAATTTAATTCGAGTCCGTTGACTTCATAGAGTGCTTCACGATTTCTCTGCACTGACTTTACTTGAGGGAGCGGTTTAAGAAATGTCAAGTTATTTTCTCCTGTTTAGTGCGGTAAGACTCGTCTTTAAACGACATGCTTTATTTTATACTTTTAAAAATTTTAACACTTAATGCAAAAAGTCTCTGCACTTTGTGTCCATGGATGGTCACATTCTCTGTTCATGGACGGTCACATTCTATGTCCACGGATGATCACATTCTCTGTCCAGGGATGGTCACGTTAAAGGTATTATTCCATTAGGTCATTTAATTGCGTTATTCTGGTATCAACAGGTAAAAATTAACATGTTGGAATCGTTTCTTTACAGTGTAAAAATGTATATTTTACAATATTTTTTTTTATGGGTGACGTTTGTTTCATAGAAAAATACTTAAAACGAAAAAGCCACATCAGGATCTCCACGGTATCTTATGAGTTCATAAGGAAATCAAAAATTGCTGTATTCTGTTTGTCAAGAGCTTCTTATATTTGAAGAAATGCCATCTTGTTCAAAAAGTTGAAACACAACTCATTTCAGCATTAACTCCCTTTGCAATCACCCGACAGTTATTACCGGAACTCGATACACAACTAGTTGGTTTGTCCGTCGACGTCAAACTTGTTGATGGCCATACGCACGTTGTACGGTGCAGAAGTAGGATTCTTATCAGACGATACCAACAAACTGGTTCACGTTCAATTATTAGAATATTCAGAAAAATATCCAGCAAAATATCAAGCAAAATCTCCAGCAAAATATCATGCACAAATGTTTACTGAAAAAAATGTATTAGTTCCGATGACGTCAGCTAATGACGAAATAGGCTTCCCGCCTCCTGGAGCGTGACTTCATGATCAGCTCATCCTGTTGGTCACTCAGGGTTTTGATGGGCAAGGACAGGGTATCCCTTCTCCCCCTCGGACGCGCCCCTGCGCCGCTCTCCTCGAGCTCTTCATCCGAACTGCACGGCGCGGGCTTCTCGACGTGGAGGGTCGACCTGGACAACCCGTGGGCGGTGGTCAGCCGCCTGTCGTTCCTGCGGTACGAGTACAGGTCCTCGAACACGGCGATGATGTCCTCCACGGTCTCGCTGACGGAGACCTCCTGGAAGTAGTCGCAGCCTAGCTGCCTGCTGCGCGACATTCCCTCCTCCGTCATGACCATCCGGTCCCTCGCCTTGTCGATCTTGTTCCCGAGCAGGACGACAGGGACGGCGTTGGTCAGGTCCGAGGTGGGGTCGACGCCCGACTTCTTGTTTCGCCGCCTGGACAGGGCGTTCACGAGGAACTTCAGGCGACTGCACTCGTTGAAGCTGCACCGGTCGGTGACGTCATACATGAGGATGATGGCATCCGCCCAGCGGATCTGCTCCTTGAGTTTACTGTTCTCATTCTGAAGTACAATGGAAACAATCATGATATTAATAAGAATGAGAATTATAATTATAGCGATTATAAAAATAATAAAAATAATAATAATTACAATAAAAATTCAGTACTAATAATAAGAAGAAATAATAAAGTGAAAAGGTGATAAAGTAAAATAATAAAAATATAAAAATAATAATAGCCAGATTTAATGATTAGGGGGTGTAGATCTAAACCGCAATGAACGTCTGGCTCAGACATGCCTAAATTAGGTTATAATGGTAATGACATGACAATGTGTCACAATGTTTAAAGTATACAAAAGCACTTAATTTAATGTATGAACTACACCCCCCTCCCCCAATGCCCATAAAATCGCCCCATGAGCAGTGCTAGCTTTAGACAGTTTGGTGCTAGAACAAGAACGAAAGATTCCCCCCCCCCTTACCAAATGAAAAATAAAATGATAAAGGTTAATTAGCAGGGGCGTCATTTAAGGTTTTTTCAGTGGGGGGGGGGGGAACCAAAATTTGGTCGGCTTGTTAAGCTGTTATTACTGGAGGCGCCAGAGTCCATAGCAATTTTTAAAAAACCTGCAAATGCCCCACCCCTCCCTACCCAAATGACGCCCCTGGCAATCGGTTATTTTAAAAACAACAACTATTTTTCAGTTTTCTAAGAAAATAAATTATTTATAGATTTTGAAGAAAAAAAAATAGATAATTGAATTTTTACTTAAATATATAGGTAGCCTAAATGACTTAAACTGATATTGCGTTAAAGTTTATATATATCATAGTTGATTTCAAGATAAACAATGCTTTCTTGCTTCTGAAGCATACTTCAAAATAAGTGACTACCGAATCAAAAATCCTGCAATGGTAAATTAATTTTTTTTTTAAGTTGTTTATCTATTAATAGATCTTTTATGTTATGATATATACTTTTTTTTTTGCAGAACAAAGGAAGAAACATTTTTAGATTGGGCTTCGAAAATCTTCTCTAAGCATTTACGACCGGGGGGGGGGAGGGGGGAGGGGAGGGTGTGTGTTTTACGACAGCACTTACAACTGTTATTGGGTTGTCTTACGATAATTCGCCATGACATAATAAATAATAAACATCTGTGAACGTATTTTGACCTATATAGAAGATTGACATTGTCGCAGTTCCAGACCCACCCTCGGGCGGCACTCATAACGTTACTTTGGAGATGGTGTCGGTGGGTCGTCGAGTTTGCACTCATAATACCCCCCCCCCCGGCCCCCCCCCAACCGAGCCCACGCCCCCCCCCCACCCCCAGCCCGTGCGGAAGTGTGCCGGGAACTTCCCTCACTGGCCTGAGGGACGCCCGGCAGACCGAGGGCGCTGCGTTTAAGGCGTCCGTAGTCCGCTCTCCTATGGGTCATGGCGGCTTTACTTCCTCTCCGGAGAGGTGGTGTTGCGTTACCACTCCCCACCGCCCAGTGAGCTGTCCGGTCGGGACGTAGCGGGGACGAAACGGTCGTCTAGGGGCGGCTTTCTCAGGGCCGCGTCTTTTTAATAATTGACAAGGGTTTGGGCGGCCACCCATTGCCTCATACCCATCAACGGCATCAGTAATCATGTTAGCGCTAAACTTCCGTTGCCTTGGAAGTCATGCGTTTTTCGGGCGGCACTAAAACTTTCCGCTCCACTTCCGTCAACAGGCCCATATTGAACTTGTTAAGTCACGTCCTTCCATTCGTCATCAAAGAGAACGTCTCTCCAATGCCACCCCTTGATGACTACCACCTTAGTTCACAGTGACAGCTTGTTTTGTCCACTTCACGTCATTTTTTTTGCTCCCCATATTTCCAATTAACTAGGTTTGCATCAAAGACGGTATGTAGGTTGATTTGAGTGAAGTTTTTTGGAAGTCTGATAAAAGTAAGTAAAATTCATGTTGACGTTAAAAAATAGCCCTTTTCCTTGTCATGTGACTCGGCCCTGGGGTCACTACTCACCTCGCCTGCTGTGTCCCACACCTCAAAGTCAACAGGTAACCCTTGAATAGTACGCTGACAGGTGTAGACACGCTCTGAAAAGAAACACACAAACTGTCTATTTAGAAACGTATATAACGGTCTATTTATAAACGAATATAACTGTCTATTTACAAACATATAACTGTCTATTTATAAACGTATATAACTGTCTATTTATAAACATATATAACTTCATATTTATAAAAGTATACAACTGTTTATTTATAAACGTATATTTCTTTTAATAACATTACAAATTATTATTTATATTATTATTTATAAACCGTCTATTTATAAACATATATAAATGTGTATTTATATACGTGTAAAACCGTATGTTTATTTATAAACATATATAATCGTCCATTTATAAACGTATGTAACTGTCTATTCATAAACCTATATAACTGTCTATTTATAAAGATTAATAACTTTCTATTTAAAAACATATATAACTTTCCATTTATAAACATATATATCCGTCTATTTATAAACACATATATCTGTCCATTTATAAAGATATATAGTTGTCTATTTATAAACATATATAGATCTAAGTGTATATTTATGAATATACATTACCGTCTATTTTTAAACATATGCAACTGTCTAATGTAAACGTGTACATAAAAGTATTTGTTTTTGGTTTCTTTAGTGACTCCTTTGGAAAAAGATCATTTTTGGAGAATTACTTTGCAAAACTCATCCTTGCAATCGCATAGTATTTAATGGCCATAATTTTATTTTTTTTCAGGTTAGGAATTTCGGAAACTTCTGGAAACCAGCTTTCATGACGTCACCAGTCCATGTTGGGAACACAACATCCTGATTAATAATTTTCTAACTTTAGAAATATAATAAGCGAAAAAAAATACTCTCAATTTCTCTTTCAATTAAACTAAGATTGTAAAGTAGTTTCTTTTTGTTGAAGCTTGCTCTCTCAAGCGTCTCATTAACAGGTTATGTTGTCAAAACTCGATAGTTGACAGATGTTTCGTTGAATGATTTTTAAAAAAAATACGTTTAATTGGAAACACTAGAATATTAGAATAGTTCCGTGCACTTACCTAAGCTTGGATCGTAGTCCCCAATGTAACGTCTCGTGAGGAAACGAACTGTCAGAGCTGAGAAGAACAAAGGAAAACCCTTTGAATGTACAGTACTTAATGCATATTATGAATAGAATTCTATGTGATTGTGTCCTAATACAAACAGAAGTCTAGGACATTGTGTCCCAAAACAAACAGAAGTCTATGTGATTGTGTCCTAATACAAACAGAAGTCTAGGAGATTGTGTCCCAAAACAAACAGAAGTCTATGTGATTGTGTCCTAATACAAACAGAAGTCTAGGAGATTGTGTCCCAAAACAAACAGAAGTCTATGGGATCGTGTCCCAGTACAAACATGAGTCTTCTTCTTCTCTTCTTCTATATCTTAAGGGCCCACGATCAATTTATTGATCATTTTGGCTCATATGCATGTAGATGGGATTTGCAATGTTTCTGTTACTGGTGGTGATGAGGAAATTATGCACTAGGGGTTTGAAGGCTTGAGGCAATAGACACAAATGTGTCTAGTGTTGTCGCCTCAACTGTTCCTTTTGAAAGATGGTTCCAGTCCCTGATTGTCTTGGGCAGGAATGAGCAGCTCCTATACTGGCTTCTTGCTGGTATGAGCCTGAATTGCCTGTCATGGCCTCGTCGCTGTCTATGGGGGAGAGGGACGAGTTTCTGTTTAATACTGGAACAGTGGACCAGCCCATTATTTATTTTGTACATCATGGAGAGCCTGGATTGTCGTCGTCGTTTCTCCAATGGTGACCAGCCTAGTGTTTCTAGCATGCTGCCAACACTAGAGGTATTCCTGTAGCGGTTTAGGACAAAACGTGCTGCTCGTCGCTGGACCGCCTCCAACCTGTCAATGCTCTTCTGGGTAAATGGGTCCCAGACTGAAGATGCATAATCTAAAATCGGACGGATAAAGGCTTTATATGCTCTTTCTTTCACACAGGAGTTGCCAATCTTTAGATTTCGCCTTAAGAACCCCAAGGCTTGGTTTGCTTGGTTACATACATTGTTAATATGCTCGTCCCAGCGGACCTCTCTTTGAATGGTAACACCCAGGTACTTTACGGAGGAAACTTGCTCAAGAATATGGCCGTGCAGTTTGTATTGGTAGTGTAGAGGAGTACAACTTCTAGAGATTGATAGTGTCTGGCACTTGGCAGGATGAAATTCCATGTCCCAGCTCATCTCCCACTCAGCTAACAGATTGAGATCCTGTTGTAGCTGGTCCTGGTCAGATCTGTGAGTGTGTCCTAATACAAACAGAAGTCTATGAAATTGTGTCCCAATACAAGCATAAGTCTATGAGATTGTGTCCCAATAGAAACATAAGTCTATGTGATTGTGTCCCAATAGAAACATAAGTCTATGTATGTGATTGTGTCCTAATACAAACAGTAAATAATTTGATTAATGTCCACATATGTTTTTATTTTAAAATTTAAAAAGATGCCACTTGCGCCAATAACGGTAACCCAGTAAATACAATGTAATTAAATGTTTTGAAGTTAACTCGCTGAAAAAAATTATTATGAAATTTATCGACATTTGCTCCTGCTTGCCGATTTCCCAGCATTTTAAACAAATTATGTTTCCCTTACTATTACTATCCTATGTAATATTGTATAAATAAATAGATATTTACTCTCCCATAAAACTGGAGGGATGTGTGGGCTGAAATTATTTTTTGACCATAGGCCTACCTGTTTTACCGACTCCATTTTGACCTAAGATGACCACACGGAAGGGTTTGGTTCGTGAGTTGATGATGTTGATCTTTTTGAGCAGACGCGACGAACTGACCGGTGAAGACATGACGTCACGGGTATCAGCTGAAGAGAAAATTGTGAACATAGAGCATGGCATTGTCACGGCGAAGGATAACATTGTCACGGCGAAGGATAACATTGTCACGGCGAAGGATAACATTGTCACGGCGAAGGATAACATTGTCACGGCGAAGGATAACATTGTCATGGCGAAGGATAACATTGTCATGGCGAAGGATAACATTGTCACGGCGAAGGATAACATTGTCACGGCGAAGGATAACATTGTCACGGCGAAGGATAACATCGTCAACATAGAGAGTAATGCTGTCAATCTGGAGAGTAACGCTGTCATGGTGTAGAGTAACATTTTCATTGTTGAGAGAAACATTTTTTTATGATGGCGTGTAACATTGTGGTATGCCTAGGTCAATTTCGGAGCCAATTTAATAGTTTATTTTTATGAATGAGAATGGGATGTGACAAGTGCCAGTTTAATAACATGGTTTGAAAAGACGAGGATAAAAAAGAGTTTGAGAGGGCAAAACGGGTTGTTATAGGTTTGAGGCCTATAATACCCTCATTAAATCAATACATTAGAGTAAATATTTGTGAAAAAATGTGTAATAGATCAGTAAACATGAATCTGTGTAAATACAGAGTAAGAGCTCAGTTCATAAAAAGTCATTAAATGTTATAGAATCATCATTCTCGACTCTAGGTATGTAATTTAACAATCATTGACGCACTGAAGCCCCGGGAAACTTTTAAAACTAATACTTCCATTACGCCAGAGGGCGCCCAACATGTAATTAAGCTGATAAGCCGAGACGGTAGATCAAGTTGTGGTTAATTGTAGGGCTTGCGTTTCACCGTGTCCTTACATACACAGAGCAACTTTCTACGATGTGTGGTTTAACAAATGATTCAAAACGATTTTTTGGTAAAAATGATGTCACGGATCGCATTGATTATGGCGTGAATTTAAAATAACTAGAAACGTGTTAGCGGTGTCAATCGCTGTTCTCTCTTCACTCGACGCACAAGTCACGTCCTACATTGGGTTCAAGCTCTGGGAGAAACCGAGTCCAATTTAAAAACTTATGTGTTTTTATCGTAATACCAATAGAAATGAAAATGTACAGTCTAAAGTTGATTGCATTGTAGAACAAAACCATTTTTTTAAAATTAATGAAATCGCGATAAGTTATTAAGAGTATCTGCTATCAATGAATAGGTCTCCTACCCAGTAAATGTGTGGCCTTGAGTCTGTTCAATCCTTGGAACGTCATTCTTTTCATATTTCAAATACAAGTCCAACCTCTCCCCACGGTGAATCAATGGTGTCTGATCTACACCGGACATACTAACCGGGTTTCTTACCTCCAGTGACCACAAGGTCTACCACGCCATTATGTTAATTGATTTTTTTTTTACAAATCGGTCGCTGACGTGCTTATCCCTGGGTGTATACATCACATCATTAATAAGTTCAGGTGTTATCGTAATGGACGTGGACAGGTGTTTAATTAATAGTGGTGACAGTTAAAGAAATTATGCACCGATCACTTGTGAAGAGTTGTCACATTCTCTGTTGCGTGTCTTTTATTTCGTGTTGTCAGCGGTATGCCCTTAAATTCATGTGTTGGCAGCGCTATGCCCAATATTTCATCTGTTGGCAACATTATGCCTTAAATTTCATGTGTTGGCAGAGTTATGCCCCTCATCTCATGTATTGACAGTGTTATGCCCCTCATTTCATGTGTTGACAGCATTATGCCCTACATTTCATGTATTGACAACATTATGCCTTACATTTCATGTGTTGACAGCGTTATGCCCTTCCTTTCAAATATTGACGGCATTAAACCCTATATTTCATGTCAACAATATGATTCGTTCAAACAGATTTTCTTGAGCTACCTAGCGTCACGCCACCATCAAAATGAAATGATCAGTTACAGCATTAACACGGTACACTGAACCCGTCTTTTTTTTTTGTTAGCGCATTCTATGTAACACATGTAGACAAATATCACAGCATACTTACCAGTTGGTATTAGTGCACAGGTGATCCGCAGAACACATGCTGAGAAACATTACACCTTCTAGCTTGTATAAGCACCTAACACACAATTTTTTTGCGCAGATTGCATGGAGCAGATCGACTTGAAACTTTAGAAGAAATAGGATACACAATATGGCTCCTTTCTCACAGTTTCAGATATTTATTTCTGATTTCTAAGCAACAAGGTCAATACCACGCAGGTCATTCATGTGATTCTTAAGACTGTGTTGTGGTAGCATTCGTGAAAGTATTGGTTTACAGCCAACTTTGGTGAGTGCAGCGTTAAGGAACATCAATATCAAATAAATGAATGTAATATATAAAATGTAGTGTGCACTTCAGTGTACTTGGTGCTTAATTGAAAAAAAATATTTTGTTTAACAATAAAATTCCACTTGACAATTGCGTGCACATTGAGAACAAAAGTCATAAATATCGATGGCTAAACTGTCACAGAAAATTTTTATAAACATACGGCTAAACTGTCACAGAAAATTGTTATAAATAACGATGGCTAAACTGTCACAGAAAAATGTTATAAATAACGATGGCTAAACTGTCACAGAAAAATGTTATAAATAACGATGGCTAAACTGTCACAGAAAAATGTTATAAATAACGATGGCTAAACTGTCACAGAAAATTGTTATAAATAACGATGGCTAAACTGTCACAGAAAAATGTCATAAATATCGATGGCTAAACTGTCACAGAAAATTGTTATAAATAACGATGGCTAAACTGTCACAGAAAAATGTTATAAATAACGATGGCTAAACTGTCACAGAAAAATGTTATAAATAACGATGGCTAAACTGTCACAGAAAAATGTTATAGATAACGATGGCTAAACTGTCACAGTAAAATGTTATAAATAACGATGGCTAAACTGTCACAGAAAAGTGTTATAAATAACGATGGCTAAACTGTCACAGAAAAGTGTTATAAATAACGATGGCTAAACTGTCACAGAAAAATGTTATAAATAACGATGGCTAAACTGTCACAGAAAAGTGTTATAAATAACGATGGCTAAACTGTGACAGAAAATTGTTATAAACCGATGGCTAAGCTGTCACAGAAAATCATTATACAACAGTGGCTAAGCTGATAAAGAATTAAACGTAACTAAATTTAAAAAAAAAAGAGAGACCAGTAGTGCACAATTTTATCCGAGGGCGACAAGGGCGTTAACAAGAGCCGAGCTCATGGTTGCGTCCCATGACAAGAAAGTGAGACCGCAGTGCTAAATGGGTCACGCTCACACCGTGGAGTCGTTCTGTCAGTTAAATGAATAACTTACTGTAAAACCTCCAACAACAAGGAAGTCATGACAGCTAAAGTCCGATCAATTTTTTTTTCTTGCTGTATGGTCACCGGTGCATGACATATAGACCAAAACACATAAACTTTGTTAATGGTTCTTTTTAGATAACTTAACAGGATGCATCTAAACAGGCCTATTCAACATACTTTCGCGAGCTTCATGCGGCCCGCGAGCACCCACTTGGTGGTCCGCGAAGTAAAGATATATTCTTTATTATCATTTTCTTAATAACTTTCACTCCTATCCTATTATCTTTCGGCGTTTTTTCCTTTAAGTATTACGGCCCGCACAAGTTTTTTGCAAAGTATTACGGCCCACTTTACATTTTGAGTTGTGCAGGTTTGCTCGAAAAAATAACTTTTTAAAAAAACAACTATGACGCCATGCAAGCTATGTGTCCCATCAACAACTAATGCTGCGTATGTCGTCTATAGCTTCATGGATTCTAAAGTCAACCAGGCAAATGGAAAGAAATAACTTTGTGATCGTGATTTCGAGAAAAACATCATAGGTCTTACCCTACTGTATGCTTTGAAACCTCTACATAAATTTGGCTACTGATGTCTTAAATCCATCGATGTTACTCTTGCCAAATGGGTTGTAATGTTTTTCAATTTGGGGCTTTGAGATTGCACGTTTTGAGTGTACGCACAAGGCCTTGTTTATGCTTGTTGAGATTGCACGTTTTGAGTGTACGCACAAGGCCTTGTTTATGCTTGTTGAGATTGCACGTTTTGAGTGTACGCACAAAGCCTTGTTTATGCTTGTTGAGATTGCACGTTTTGAGTGTACGCACAAAGCCTTGTTTATGCTTGTTGAGATTGCACGTTTTGAGTGTACGCACAAAGCCTTGTTTATGCTTGCACAGCAAAAGGTCAACAGGCAAAGGTGGAGCCGACATACACGATTTTTTTAACGCTAATTTTCCAATGAAAGAAGGACTTTTGCAATTTTTTTTTACTGTAGATATTACTGTAGATATGGCTCTGTAGATGTGGCAATAGCTCTTGCAATTGGAGGCCACTCCAAACTTCCTTGTCTGATTGTGGTGAAGACTGCAGTATAAATTAGCATAATTTATGTTACATGTAATTAAATGTTTATATTTCAGGTAGCCCGGACCAGGAAAGGCTGGTTTAAATCGACTCACAGCTTTGAATTTTTCTGCGACAGCTGTTGCGCAGTGTAAAGCTGTTCATTAGCTCTAAATATTGGACGCAATATGGTGAAGTGTGTTAGACAATGTGTGTAGGCTTCATATATTTCAAATGTGAATAACTTTAACTGTTAATGCTACAAGAAAATATATTTGCATTGAAGGTTTCTTTATAGCTCTGTTTCACCTCTGTGCCAAACCAACAGGTTTTCTTTATAACACTGTTTCACCTCTGTGCCAAAACCAACGGGTTTTCTTTATAACACTGTTTCACCTCTGTGCCAAAACCAACGGGTTTTCTTTATAACACTGTTTCACCTCTGTGCCAAACCAACAGGTTTTCTTTATAACACTGTTTCACCTCTGTGCAAAACCAACAGGTTTTCTTTATAACACTGTTTCAACTCTGTGCCAAACCAACAGGTTTTCTTTATAACCCTGTTTCACCTCTGTGCCAAACCAACAGGTTTTCTTTATAACCCTGTTTCACCTCTGTGCCAAACCACCAGGTTTTCTTTATAGCCCTGTTTCACCTCTGTGCCAAACCAACAGGTTTTCTTTATAACACTGTTTCACCTCTGTGCCAAACCAACAGGTTTTCTTTATAACCCTGTTTCACCTCTGTGACAAACCAACAGGTTTTCTTTATAACCCTGTTTCACCTCTGTGCCAAACCAACAGGTTTTCTTTATAACCCTGTTTCACCTCTGTGCAAAACCAACAGGTTTTCTTTATAGCCCTGTTTCACCTCTGTACCAAACCAACAGGTTTTCTTTATAACCCTGTTTCACCTCTGTGCCAAACCAACAGGTTTTCTTTTTACCCTGTTTCACCTCTGTGCCAAACCAACAGGTTTTCTTTATAGCCCTGTTTCACCTCTGTGCCAAACCAACAGGTTTTCTTTATAACCCTGTTTCACCTCTGTGCCAAACCAACAGGTTTTCTTTATAGCCCTGTTTCACCTCTGTGCCAAACCAACAGGTTTTCTTTATAACCCTGTTTCACCTCTGTGCCAAACCAACAGGTTTTCTTTATAGCCCTGTTTCACCTCTGTGCCAAACCAACAGGTTTTCTTTATAACCCTGTTTCACCTCTGTGCCAAACCAACAGGTTTTCTTTATAACCCTGTTTCACCTCTGTGCCAAACCAACAGGTTTTCTTTATAGCCCTGTTTCACCTCTGTGCCAAACCACCAGGTTTTCTTTATAGCCCTGTTTCACCTCTGTGCCAAACAAACAGGTTTTCTTTATAACCCTGTTTCACCTCTGTGCCAAATCAACAGGTTTTCTTTATAGCCCTGTTTCACCTCTGTGCCAAACCAACAGGTTTTCTTTATAACACTGTTTCACCTCTGTGACAAACCAACAGGTTTTCTTTATAACCCTGTTTCACCTCTGTGCCAAATCAACAGGTTTTCTTTATAACCCTGTTTCACCTCTGTGCCAAACCAACAGGTTTTCTTTATAACCCTGTTTCACCTCTGTGCCAAACCAACAGGTTTTCTTTATAACCCGATTTCACCTCTGTGCCAAACCAACAGGTTTTCTTTATAACCCTGTTTCACCTCCGTGCCAAACCATCAGGTTTTCTTTATAACCCTGTTTCACCTCTGTGCCAAACCAACAGGTTTTCTTTATAGCCCTGTTTCACCTCTGTGCCAAACCATCAGGTTTTCTTTATAACCCTGTTTCACCTCTGTGCCAAACCATCAGGTTTTCTTTATAACCCTGTTTCACCTCTGTGCCAAACCAACAGGTTTTCTTTATAACCCTGTTTCACCTCTGTGCCAAACCAACAGGTTTTCTTTATAACACTGTTTCACCTCTGTGCCAAACCAACATGTTTTCTTTATAACACTGTTTCACCTCTGTGCCAAACCAACAGGTTTTCTGGAACAACGATGCTGTTAATAATACCATTGAAGAACTGACTCATAAATTCCTTATTAACAGCGTCTGCATGACATCTACGAATTTATTACAGAAATATTATGCAACCTTTGCTGATAGCTGTTAAAGAAAATATAGAAGGAGAGAGAGGTCCTGGAATAGCAATTGTCTCAGCTTGTTCTTGTCCGTTAAATTAGTTTCAGATTTTTTTTTTTCAGTTACAATTATCTAAAAAATCGTTTTATATAATTAGCCGTCATACATTGATGACACTAGCCACGTGATCCACATGAAGGACACTAGACACGTGATCTACATGAAGGACACTAGACACGTGATCTACATGAAGGACACTAGACACATGATCTACATGAAGGACACTAGACACGTGATCTACATGAAGGACACTTGCCACGTGATCTACATGAAGGACACTTGCCACGTGATCTACATGAAGGACACTAGACACGTGATCTACATGAAGGACACTAGACACGTGATCTACATGAAGGACACTAGACACGTGATCTACATGAAGGACACTAGCAACAAGATTTACGTTAAGGACACTAGCCACGTGATCTACATTAAGGACATTAGCCACAAGATTTACATTAAGGACAATAGCCACGTGATCTACATTAAGGACATTAGCCACAAGATTTACATTAAGGACACTAGCCACGTGATCTACATTAAGGACACTAGCCACAAGATTTACATTAAGGACACTAGCCACAAGATTTACATAAAGGACACTAGCCTCGTGATCTACATGAAGGACACTAGCCACGTGATCTACATGAAGGACAATAGCCATGTGATGTACATTAATGGTATTAGCCACAAGATTTACCTTAAGGACACTAGCCACAAGTTTTACATTAAGGACACTAGCCACAAGATTTACATTAAGGACACTAGCCACGTGATCTACATTAAGGACACTAGCCACGTGATCTACATTAAGGACACTAGCCACGTGATCTACATTAAGGACACTAGCCACAAGATTTACATTAAGGACACTAGCCACAAGATTTACATAAAGGACACTAGCCACGTGATCTACATGAAGGACACTAGCCACGTGATCTACATGAAGGACAATAGCAATGTGATGTACATTAATGGTATTAGCCACAAGATTTACCTTAGGGACAATAGCCACAAGATTTACATTAAGGACACTAGCCACAAGATTTACATTAAGGACACTAGCCACGTGATCTACATTAAGGACACTAGCCACAAGATTTACATTAAGGACACTAGCCACGTGATCTACATGAAGGACACTAGCCACGTGATCTACATGAAGGACAATAGCCATGTGATGTACATTAATGGTACTAGCCACAAGATTTTACCTTAAGGTTAATAGCCACACGATTTACATTAATGACACTAGCCACGTGATGTAAATGAAGGACACTAGCCAAACGATTAAATTTCTTGAAACTTAGGAATAACCCGTTAATAAACATGGCACATTTCTTCATTATGCACCTCAATTCTCACGCGGATTGATTTACTGTTATTTCTTTTCATCTCTGAAGAGTTCTAATCCGATGTTTCCAACAAATGCCTTTATTGTTCAAAAAAAAAAGAAAAAAGAAGAAAAAAAAAGAAATGAATAAAACAAAGTATGGGAAAACATGAATAAAAAGGAACGCAACAAAACAACCAACGTGCCGGCAGGAAGCCTTCGTCAGCGAAGAAACACTAGAGAAATTTTAATTAAATAAAATAGCACTTAGCTGAAAAGTAGTATCCTGAGACAGTATACGTTTAGCAGGCCTGGTTTTACAACTTAACTCGTTTGAACTCACTGGTGAATTTTTCAATCAGATCAATAGGCCTGCAGTTGGGAAAAATGGGCCTCAGACATGCTTGCATATTTATTTATTGGCCTCTTAGAACATCAATGGAGAAAAAATTATAAGGGTCCTTTCACGGAATATTAAAAACAGCATTTTGTTGATTAGATCAGAAGTCCTTACTTAGTTCTTTTGATTTCATTATAACAAATGTATCTTCATAATCCATGAAAGAACTGTTCATTTGGGGACATCAAAATTACATAGATCAAGAACATAATTTATCTACTTCCATTCATGATTAAATAACAAACATGGTGGCTTGTTACACTCAAGCCAACGCCCCTCTCCTAATCGCCCCTTTTCCTAAACAATGCTATTATTCCATTCTCACCATTTCTTCGGCTAAAGAGACTTTGGTGTATTTCCTAAACAATGCTATTATTCCATTCTCACCATTTCTTCGGCTAAAGAGACTTTGGTGTAGAGAGTTGAAGATTTTACAAAAGAAAGGCGGCGTTGTTGAATTTTTTTTTTTTTTTTTTTTTTTGACGTTAAGTGAGTACTCAAATAAATTTAGAAATATCTGCTTTTAAATTAAACATTGGAAAAAAAAGACTTGACCGAAACCGTTTTAACCCGGGTCCTTACGTTTTTTACTAAAGAAAGGGGGTGTTTTTTAATTTTTTTTTTTTTTTTTTTTTGACGTTAAGTGAGTACTCAAATAAATTTAGAAATATCTGCTTTTAAACTAAACATTGGAAACAAAAGACTTGACCGAAACCGTTTTAACCCGTGTCCTTACGTGACTGAGATAAATCAGATCACCTTCCCTCTGGATGTGTTTAAAGTGAAGGGTATATTTACTCGCACAAGGTAAGTGCGTGATGTGCACGATACTTTTTGAGAAATGCAGAAAATACTCTGCAGGGGATTCAGGTCATCGCCACCGAGACCGTTTTAGAGAACGACAGCACGGGGATAAAGAAAAAGACCTTCGCCCCGTTTCAAAACATTTTAAAAGTGTTACAATTAATGGCATATCGGAGATTGCAGGTACCGATCGACGATATTGTTTGCTTGCAATACACCCAAAATGATTTATATTGAAATTAACAAATTTAAAGAGTTGGTACGTTGACTGCATACGGTAATTACCAAGACACGAGCTAACATGGCTTCAATATATTTTCCTGTTTGGTTTTAATTAAGATTCATGACATTTTTGTTTTCATTATTACTGACGAAGGCATTAGCCGAAACTTTTTTTTTTTCCAAGTAATTATAGCTTACCCTTACGGTTTTGCTTAAGCCTAACCCTAACCCTAACTCCAACTCCGACCCTAAGGTCATGGTCTTAAATAAGTTCACTCGGCATGGAAAAGGGGGGGGGGTAGGTTATACGATCTTACCACAGCCATGAAACGTGTCAGCCGAGGTAACAAGTGGTTAAAAACTCGGGGAAATCAATCTAATTTGGAATGCATGAAAATATTATTGTTGTGTGGCGATAATTGCACCGACCAGGGGCCACTGAGTCAGACTGGTGTGAGGTCAGCAAGAGCAGAAAGGGGGTCAACAGCTGTCCCTGTGCTCGAATAGCAACACTCTATTTACCTGTTTGATTCATACTGCAAGTGAAGTAATAAAGGATGTTGTGATCTTTACCGTGGTTCAATTTATAATCATGTGAAAACGTATGGGAAGATGTATGTTAAGATGTATGGGAAGATGTAGGTGAAGGTGTATGTGAAGATGTATGTGAATGTTTATGTGAAGATTTATGTGAAGGTGTAAGTGAAGTTGTTTGTGAAGATGTATGTGAAGATGTTTGTGAAGATGTTTGTGAAGATGTTCGTGGAGATTTTTGTTAAGATGTTTGTGAAGGTGTATGTGAAGATGCATGTGAAGGTGTATGTGAAGATGTATGTGAAGTTTTATGTGAAGATGTTTGTGAAGATGTATGTGAAGATGTTTGTGAAGGTGTATGTGAAGATGTATGTGAAGGTGTATGTGAAGGTGTATGTGAAGATGTTTGTGAAGGTGTATGTGAAGATGTATGTGAAGGTGTATGTGAAGATGCATGTCAAGTTGCATGTAAAGATTATTAAGAAAATTAAAAGATGGGCGCAACAAACATGGAGTACTTTATGTAACTCTAAAATAACTTGCTTTATGTAATTTTGTATTTTCAATGGGGAGTAGGCAAAGTTATAGGTGCCCAGCCCCAGTGGGGATAGGCAAGATTATAGGTGCCCAGCCCCCAGTGGGGATAGGCAAGATTATAGGTGCCCAGCCCCCAGTGGGGATAGGCAAGGTATAGGTGCCCAGCCCCCAGTGGAGAGTAGGCAATGTTATAGGTGCCCAGCCCCCAGTTGGGATAGGCAATGTTATAGGTGCCCAGCCCCCAGTGGGGATTAGGAAATGTTATAGGTGCCCAGCACCCAGTGGGGATAGCCAAGATTATAGGTGCCCAGCCCCCAGTGGGGATAGGCAAGATTATAGGTGCCCAGCCCCCAGGGGCGTAGCCAGGTTTTGCGCTACTCGGGAAGGGTCATGATGTGTGCAGCCCCCTTCAACGAAGAATACTCCCGAGTTGGCCGAAGATTCATCGCTTCAAAACAAAAAGCAAAAAGCTTCACACGTGACGGAACTCCCCCTCAACACCCACTTCTACGCCAATGCCTGCCACCCCCTCCACCATTCCCCATTGAAATCATCCCGACAATTAGACAGAGATAAATACATTTTACAACGATATTTGTCCCCAAAATGTTAACTATTATTGTCTTTGAGATTCAATACGATTTGTCCTGTAAAAAACGTATCAGTTTGACTAGGAAAGCCTTCGCTATTCAGGGTTCAATGCTCACTACATGGTATCTCTACCATACACTAAATGGATGCTATCTGGCTAATATATCCAGTTGATAGTATTTCTACAATACACTTACTAGATGGTATCTGTCTATTATGTCAACTAGAATATTAGTTCCTCACCAAACAAATAAATTTCGTGTTTAGGCTGATTAAATCAAGAATACACAAAACAAACGAATGAGACGTTACATGTGTCAAACGCTTGTAATCTCCAAACAAAATTAACGTTTGGTGTTTCTCAGAACCCGTGAATGCAACTTCACGTTGGTGCACCGCTTTCCAGGCATCGACTTCAGGGTCAGGATAACCGGGATTTAGAAGAGCCATGACCAGAGGGCACGGATTCCACGACGCCCAAAGAGGCTACACAGAAAGCCGCTGCATGCGTTGGGGTCCTTCACTGTGAGCTCCACGTGTAGACAGTAGACTTCCTCCAGGGTGACCTTATCCACAAGGCTGAACTGGACCTGATAGTCTCCCTGCAAAGATGGCAATACGAATAATGACACTCACCCATTACATAATAAGATGGTTTAATACGAACAATTACACTCACCCATTACATAATAAAATTGTTGACCCTAGCGTGACTAGAAAAGTAAGGGAGGGAAGAACCGTGTATCTACGGACATGAAAAGACTTGCATGTAAATGTGTCGGTACAGACTTATTGGTTGACGAAGACAAAGAGAGGGACACAGAAAATATCTGAAACATTCGAATTCGATTAAAGTTTTTATTTATTTTTATGAGACCTAAATATGTATCTTTAGTTCGGAAACCTTGCAAGAGTCCAACCACCTCATTGGGCACCAACCACCTCATTGGGCACCAACCACCTCATTGGGCACCAACCACCTCATTGGGCACCAACCACCTCATTGGGCACCAACCACCTCATTGGGCACCAACCACCTCATTGGACACCAACCACTTCATTGGCGCCACCACCAAGTTACCGACTCATTATCCACCAAGTGAGCAACTTACCAACCAACAAGTGACAAACCACCATTTGACAAACGCACAATTCACCAACCAGAAAGTCACCAACAACCAAATCACCAGCTCACCAACTCACAACGCACCAAATCACCTACTCACCTACTCACCACTCACCATATCAAAGCTCACCATATCAAAATCCGTAAACTTACAACTCACCAACTCACATCTCACCCACTCACCAACTCACAATTCACCAACTCACAAACTCACCAAAGCAAATGAGCTGATCGTTGTGACGTCAGGTATTTCGAAGACCTGGTTGATGAGGTTGTAGGTGCCAGGGACGATGGTGCCGCACGTGCATGGTATGTTGTTGTCGATCAGCTGCTGGGGACACGTCGTGTTCTCGAAATAGGACAGCAGGTCACAGAGGTCATAGTCGCTGGAATGGATGGTCCAAGACGGTTACATCGCAGTGGGAAACATACAACATTGATTACGCGTTAATTAAACAGCCAAAAACAACAAAATTTTTCGTATAAATTCTTTATAAAACGTAATATCGAGCAACCAGGGCGGGTTTCAAAATTTCACAAGACATGCATAAAAGTAACGCATTTTATAAGAGCCTCAATTAGTGTCGTCCCCCCCCCCCTTTTCCAACAAGGCTCTCAACCCCAATTTTTTTTTCACGCCCATGAACTATAAAAATATTCTTATGTTCCATCCACTTTTACACCGCAGATTTTATTTCACCAGATATTTCTGTAAAACAAAACAAAACATTACGCATCAAGATCGATAATTTAAAGGATCTCATCTTGCGCAATTGTCGGGAATTTTATTTGGTGAAATCAGTGGAAACTGGTAGCAGGAGAAAAGAACTTTTGTTGTTGGGTACCTTAGAATTTTTTTCAACGGTTCTATACAATCAATCCAATTCCTTTAAATGATCTTTATAAATAACATTACATTTTAATTGGTTCAACCAAAAAGACAATTCTTAAAGAAGTGACTAACAAGCTGTCGGTCGCTAACTAGCTTTCACCCACTAACAAGCTGTCACTCACTAACAAGTTGTCACTCACTAACAAGCTGTCACTTACTAACAAGCTTTCGCTAGCTAACTAGCTTTCACTCACTAACAAGCTGTCACTCACTAACAAGTTGTCACTCACTAACAAGCTGTCACTCACTAACAAGCTTTCGCTAGCTAACTAGCTTTCTAGCTTTCTCTCACTATCAAGCCTTCACTTACTTACAAGTTGTCACTCACTAACAAGTTGTCCCTCACTAACTAGCTGTCGCTAACTAACTAGCTTTCACTCACTAACAAGCTATCATTCACTAACAAGTTGTCGCTCACTAACAAGCTGTCGCTAGCTAACTTGCTTTCACCCACTAACAAGCTTTCGCTAGCTAACTAGCTTTATCTCACTAGCAAGCCTTCACTCACTTACAAGTTGTCACTCACTAACAAGTTGTCCCTCACTAACTAGCTGTCGCTAACTAACTAGCTTTCACCCACTAACAAGTTTTCACTCACTATCTAGCTTTACCCCAAAAACAAGCTGTCACTCACTATCTAGCTTTCACCCACTAACAAGCTGTCACTCACTATCTAGCTTTCACCCACTGACAAGCTGTCACTGACTAACTAGATTTCACCCATTAACAAGCTGTCGCTAGCCAACTAGCTTTCACTCACTAACAAGCTGTCACTCACTAACAAGTTGTCACTCACTAACTAGCTTTCGCTAACTAACTAGCTGTCGCTGACTAACTAGCTGTCTCTCACTAAGACGCTGTCGATCACTAACTAGCTTTCACTCACTAACAAAATGTCACCCACTAACAAGCTGTCCCTCATGAACAAGCTGTCGCTCACTAACTAGCTTCCACTCACTAACAAGCTGTCACACAGTAACAAACTGTCACTCACAAACCATATGTCACTAACTAACCATTTGTCACTCACTAACCCTTTGTCACTCACTCATCACCAGCTCATCACTCACCAGCTTCCAAAATTGTTTTTACAATTAATGGTAATCCAAAAAAAGACATCCTTGCGGATATGGACCTTGAGTTCAAGGCCACCAGCTGGAATCGGTCTGTTGAGGGTGGCAGAGAGGGACGCGGTCAGCTGTCCAGGGGACGGGATGGGGTAGGGCACGAAGCTGTAGTTGTTGATGGTGATGATGGGCGACGTCACGGTCAGATTGGCTGTCAATAGACAGGAGGCAGCATAGACAGGTTACACAGTAGAACGTCTGGCTTTGAACATACAACACAGTCTTCATATCATCCGTTTATTTAACAACAACTTAAACAACCCCATAAAACAGAGCTGTTTGCATAAATCCTTTATATGAATTTTTGATTACATATATGTAATTGTATGTGATTTTTCATTTATAAAGAAGCAGTTATGTAATTTGATGAACTTCTGGCGAAAACACGTTTTATATTTTCATAAGTGTCCCCTCCAAAAATAAATTTCATTTTTATTGCATGCCCAAATGCGCCACACATACAAAGCACAGAGCGACAGCTAAACATTTAATCTCCACACCAAAAGACGCACCCATTGAACAAATCGCTAACACCCCCCTCCCACAGGACAAACGGATGCTGGGGTGGGGGAAGGGGTTAGGTGGAGGGGGGGGGCTATTAATTTGAAAGAATGTGTTGTCATCGGCAGAGTCTCGTGGCCAAGGTTCAGCTCGTTAAGACGACGGGAATGGGTCAATTAGCGTTCCAAAGATTTTACCACACAGAAACAAAGCAACTCATGAACAAAAGCGAAGTTAATATATAGGATTTTTGTTTCTTTAAAAAGAATCAAAGAGTTATACAAGATCTTTGATATTGCCTTCAGATTAATGCAATCTGTAATAGAATACTGATCCTTCTAAATACCTGAAAAGTGATCAATATTCCCAGATTTTTACACAAGGATTGTTTCCCAGATTTTTACACAAGAATTGTGTCCCAGATTTTTACACAAGGATTGTTTCCCAGATTTTTACACAAGGATTGTTTCCCAGACTTTTACACAAAGATTGTTTCCCAGAATTTTACACAAAGATTGTTTCCCAGACTATTACACAAGGATTGTTTCCCAGACTTTTACACAAGGATTGTTTCCCAGACTTTTACACAAAGATTGTTTCCCAGACTTTTACACAAAGATTGTTTCCCAGACTTTTACACAAAGATTGTTTACCAGACTTTTACACAAGGATTGTTTCCCAGATTTTTACACAAAGATTGTTTCCCAGATTTTTACACAAAGATTGTTTCCCAGATATTTACACAAGGATTATTTCCCAGAATTTTAAAGGAACAACGTTTCCCTGAATTTTTTAATGACGAATGTTCCTCGACCTTGAGGAAGCAACACGTGTTTTGAATACGTTAAGCAATGACCTTTAGATGTACCATGATTTTAATTATTAGAAAATGTACACAAACAATGAACTCTAGCAATGTACACCAACTATGTGCAGTGGGAATGTTTCCAAATTTGGCAAAAAAAAATGTGGTATATAGCTGCTTTTAAAAACAGTTTAAAAATATTCAATCGACGTCTCAGTGATCGTGAAGATGTAGAAGTATATTTCCTTATTGGTTGCACTCGCTGTCCAGGCGGTTTTGGTCACATCCACCAGGCCATTTCTTATGAGAGAGTGCGGTAAGATAACGTAGTCTCATAACCCAAGTTTGTGTCCAGGTTGGACGAGTTAAGCTAATTACGCTTATCGGCAAGATCAAAGGCTGAGATCTTATCTTGCTATGTGTCTTGTGTGTAGGACTGCAGATGGCCAGCAGAGTTCCGAGGGAAATAAAGCAATTACGATACAAAAATTATACATGTTAAGGTTGAATACGTGAATGTTACTTATGTGAAAGTTACTTTTTGTGAAAGCAAATAAGATCTATTGTAGGAAGCCGAGTTACCCCAGTAATGTCCATGAGTCTCAAGGGGTCAAAATCTTTGAATTTCTATTACCACTGTCCATTTTTCGCATATGAATTGACCGGGAATTACCTATACGGGGTTCATTTTCCTGAATTCCCCCAAAATCACTTTTCCAAATACCGAATAGCTTCATTTAACACAACGGCCAAAGGTCAAGGACACAGAGGGATAAAACTTGTTAAGACTGCAGAATAACTGTATCAAAAGGATGATTTCAGAAAGCATGGGAACTGAACATAAGTGGACGTGCTTAATCTACAGAATCGTGCTTAGGAATCCAAGCAGTGGATAACCAGGTGACGTCATTCCCTGAGATGTACCATGTTAAGCTCCCAATTACTGTTGTCAGCCAACACTCGATGGACGTGAACCACCTAGTTGTCACACTGAGAATGTGAACCACCTAGCTGTCATACTGAGAATGTGAACCACCTAGTTTCCCACTGAGAATGTGAACCACCTAGTTGTCACACTGAGAATGTGAACCACCTAGCTGTCACACTAAGAATGTGAACCACCTATCTGTCACACTGAGAATGTGAACCACCTAGTTGTCACAATGAGGACGTAAACCACCTAGTTGTCACACTGATGATTTGAACCAACTGGTTGTCACACTGAACATAACTATTTTGATTCACTTACTGCAATCTCGTACAACCAGATCCTTCCCCGAGACGCCAGTGACTACACAAATAGCAGCTACAACAACAGCAGTTAGGAGCCCCATGGCAAGCAATCAACGTCTCTGTGGTCGCAAGGACAGAAAGAGTATTCTGTGCCTTTAAAGACGATCCAAACCTTATCTGACATGGGGTATCAGGAGCGAATTCATCGTGAACTTTGCCCGGGGCTTGTGTCACGTCTTAAGATTCCTGAATAGTAGAAAGTTTTTTTTACATATTTTTTTATAAAGAAAAGAAATAACTAAGTTCATTGCAGAAATGACTATCTACTTATATTATAGGTTGGTCGCTTATCATTTTATGCTGATCACTTATCATTTTATGTTGGTCACTCATCATTTAAGTTGGTCACTTATCATTTTATGTTGGTCCCATACGATTTTATGTTGGTCACTTATCATTTTATGTAGGTCACTTATCATTTTATGTTGGTCACTTATCCCTTTGTGTTGGTCACTTATCATTATATGTTGTTCATTTATCATTATATGTTGGTCACTTATCCTATTATGTTGGTCACTTATCATTATATCATTATACGTTGGTCACTTGTCATTTTATGTTGGTCACTTATCATTATAAGTTGGTAACTCATCATTTCATGTTATAAACTTATCACTTTATGTTTATCACTTATCATTTTGTGTTTATCACTAATCATTTTACGTTGGTCACTTATCATTTTGGTTTGGTAACTTATCATTTTATGTTATTAACTTATATTTGTTGTTAGTCACTTTTTGTGTGCTATCTTTTGGTGCCATTCTTCAGCTATTTATTTCATCATCATTTTATCAGTGTCTCGAGCTCCGTTTGTCAAAGGTCACTTTTCGTTGGTCACGTGTCCTTTTGTTTTGACCCATGCTGCTGTCTTCTAGTTGATCCGCCAGTGTTTGAGATGAACCTTTTAAGAAGTAAAGCTGTAATCTTATCAGCAAACATCTTTCTGCGGTATCTAACAAATGCATTTTTAAAAAAGTATTCGATTTGTGTGGAGATAATTCATAGGATCTTCTCTGACAAACACAGTTGATTTCATTATCTCACTATGATCAACACAATTGATTTCGACTATCCCACTATGATCAACACAATTGATTTCGACTATCCCACTATGATCAACACAGTTGATTTCATTATCTCACTATGATCAACACAATTGATTTCGACTATCCCACTATGATCAACACAGTTGATTTCATTATCTCACTATGATCAACACAATTGATTTCGACTATCCCACTATGATCAACACAATTGATTTTGACTATCCCACTATGATCAACACAGTTGATTTCATTATCTCACTATGATCAACACAATTGATTTCGACTATCCCACTATGATCAACACAGTTGATTTCATTATCTCACTATGATCAACACAATTGATTTCGACTATATATTACACCAGGCTTGCACAACTCAAAATGTAAGGCCCGCCTTACATTTTGAGTTGTGCAGGCCTGATGTAATATATCATGTAGCGTTGCTAGAAAGACAACGCCCATCTTAGTTGTAATAGCCTACACCAGTTAATTGTTCATGATGTTTGCGCCATAGCCTACACCGGTTATTTGTCCATTGCCTATCATGTTTAATGGTATGCTGCCTATCATGATGTTTGCGCCATAGCCTACACTGGTTATTTGTCCATTGCCTATCATGTTTAATGGTATGCTGCCTATCAATTGTGGACACTACGTCTCTTTCCCAAACAACACAAACACACACACCCAGTGAAAACAACTTAGTAAAAAATAAACATAAAAATTTGTTTTGTTCTTTAAGATAGACGTTTTATTTAAACTACTGTACAAAAATATAAATATACAAAAATCAGATAGGTGTAGATGTGAAAGAAAATAACACAATAGATCTGGTGAAGTAGGTATATATATTATTATGTATAATACATTTTTTTATAATTGAAGATTGCTGAAGTTAGAAGTATGACAATAGAATACTTACTAATAATGAGATGGATCCATCTCAGGGTTCCAATTTCACATACACGATTGGTTTCTTATGTTGAAAGACTTAAATCTTTCAACACGTATATAGACACATCTTTAGCTCGTTGCGGCCTAAGTAAAATGTTTAATATAAGATAGATATCTGACGATAAGACTTATGCCTGCACATCATTTTGAACTGAACATTTTAATGTTTCTTCATTGTTATGCTAGGTTTTCTGGTCATGTACTTATTTCGTGAAGGTTGTGTTACGTCTTCTAGTCATAGTACTTATTTAGTCAATCGTACTATTGTTATTTTGATGTTTTAAAAAGTATTTGCACATGTCTTGATGTCAAGTGATCGCTCTTAAATATTTTCTAATGTTAATTTTCAGCCATTATTGAGTTCTTGGAGTTGTTAATTTGTGCTTGTTAGTTCTGTGACCAATGACAGTCAAAGATATGCCAGTTGTAACAAAGGAACATTTCAGCCAAAGAAGTGGCAAAGAAATCCCTTGCATTCTTTCGGGTCTTTTAAGGTGAGCTCGAGATGTAAACAGTAGATCTCCGACTGTGTGGCACGGTCAAGTAATGTCACATCCACTCTGTAGTCGCCCTAGTGGAATAATAAAGCAGAGCTTTGATACATTGAATATAATGCACAATCCCTCTACTACCATCCAAATTAACGTAGTATTCCAAGTTTGTCCCGGAAAGAAATGAAACTAGCAGTTCTTTGCAATGATAACCTCGAAATGCGTGTTGGGAGATTGGAACTTTGAGAGCCAAAAACTTTCTAAACATATTTTAACAACCCTAGGATTTAAACGGTAAGTGTTTTGCAGACCATACAAATCTGACCTCAGTCAAACTCGGAGGTATGAATTGCACTCGGTCACCTCAAGGCGAAACTTTTTACTTTATTTGTTCTGGAATGGATTTCTGAATTGGCAAAACAGTGTAATGCAAAACAGTTCAGCGGAATGAAAACATATTTTATTCGCACAAAGACGTGTAAAATATATGAACAACGTTATCGTTGACTCCTACAAAAGCGTTCTAACATCGAGAAAGTTATGATTGATTGCTATAAATACGCTCAAACATTAAGAAACTTATGATTGATTCCTATAAATACGCTCAAACATTAAGAAATGTATGATTGATTCCTACAAATAGGCTCAAACATTAAGAAATGTATGATTGATTCCTACAAATAGGCTCAAACATTAAGAAATTTATGATTGATTCCTACAAATACGCTCAAACATTAAGAAATTTATGATTGATTCCTACAAATAGGCTCAAACATTAAGAAATTTATTATTGATTCCTGCAAATACTCTCAAACATTAAGAAATTTATGATTGATTCCTACAAATACGCTCAAAAATTAAGAAAGTTATGATTGATTCCTACAAAAAATGGCGTAGTGACGTATTTTATCCTTTCGATAACCAGGCTGCCTAAAAACACTGTAATGCCATTGTTTCAGTGCGTAATCCCGAGTTAACTGACCACTTAAAGAACTGCAGTTACTATTTTACATTGTGTGCTAGCTGCGTCAATATTACTACAATAAAAGGTTCACTCATCGGCTAACCATTCATCTTGGAGCCATCATGGAGCCATAGACTTTGCTCGTCATTACGACTTGTTAGATAAAGTAACGATCTTTTGTGTATTTCACTCTATCCCCCTGCACATAGCAGCCAAACGGCTTGTTCATTTGTAGGGTAACATACGTCCTACCAAAAGCAGAAATAACTGGAATCTGTAGATATAACTATCACTACACTAGAGCTTGAGGACGAATAAATACGGCCCCCAAAAGCCAACCACAACTGTTGTTGTGGTCTCAAACCACAATACCGGGGTACTACGTTGTCCACGGGGTTGATTATATCGTAGCGTGATGAACAAGATGTCCTACCAGGGCAAACAGAGACCAAGCTACTTCATGCCTGACATCCGGTATGGGAATGACCATGTTGTTTACGGCGAAATCTCCTGGCACGAGCTGGTCGCACGTGCACGGCCCTGCTGAGGTTGAGTTTGTTGAGTAGGGACACGTGTGGTTCTGGAAGACTCTGGGGAGGAGGGTGCAGAAGTCGTACGTGCTGAGGAGAGATGAAGAAAGGCGAGACATAAATTAAATACAGAGGAAATAACGTGTGAAAATGCATTTTCAAAATTAGTAATAACTTATGCATTGTGCATCTGCTAATATAAAGCATTGGCCTATATCATTGATTTTTGTGGTATGGGGTGTAACTATTGATATATTGCAGTGGTTGGAAAGAGCGAAAACTCAGCAGCAAGGCAATTAAAAATATTTTGAGAGCCAAATTTCTTACCAAGAACATGTCAAGAACTATGTTTTTTGGGAGTCAAACCCGATTTGTAACCGAATGGCCGAGCCGCACTTAGGTTGCTAAAGAGCCACATGCGGCTCGCTAGCCACGATTTTTCGACCTCTGGTCCATTGTTTTGATTTTTATGTCAAGAAATAAACATGTGCCTATCATTTCGATTTTCTTCTTCATTGGTCTCTAGCTTTGATTTTTATATCAGAGGGAAACGTTTACGAGTAACTGCCCTTGTTATTGTAGAGAAGACCAAAACAAAGATATCGTGGCATTTGCTGTAAACTATTTGGTGAGAATGTGCGTAACTAAAGCTAGAAACCAACGAAAACTACAGCAACGACTCACCAGCTGCCAAGGTTGTTAATACAGGGCATGGTGACCCAGGCCAGAGCATCCTTTTGGACCCTCAGGCGGACATCAATACCTCCGGCTGGGACACTTCTTCCGATTGATCCATTCACACTGACTGTTATCTGGCCAGGACTGCGGATGGGGTCAGGGGACACCTGTAGATTGTTGATTGAACCAAGTCGGTCCGAGCCACCCGGGTCTAACGATGAAGAAATAATTCGGATATTTTTAGATAACGAAACAAGACTCCATTTAAAAAAAAAAAAAACACAAAAAAAACATTATCTTATCAAATTTAACAGTTTAACAGTTTACAACAGAAAAAAGGAATAACTGATCTCTCTTTTACTTTCATATTGGCCAACGAGTTTATTGTTGATTGAACCAAGTCGGTCCGAGCCACCCGGGTCTAACGATGAAGAAATAATTCGGATATTTTTAGATAACGAAACAAGACTCCATTTAAAAAAAAAAAAAAACACAAAAAAAACATTATCTTATCAAATTTAACAGTTTAACAGTTTACAACAGAAAAAAGGAATAACTGATCTCTCTTTTACTTTCATATTGGCCAACGAGTTTATAACAAAGTCGTCCACTAGCTACCTTTATTAGTGATGTGAACTCCACGCCAACACGTGCCAGGTATTGAGAACTGACTCCAACACATGCAAGGTATTGAGAGCTGACTCCAACACATGCAAGGTATTGAGAACTGACACCAACACATGCAAGGTATTGAGAGCTGACTCCAACACATGCAAGGTATTGAGAACTGACACCAACACATGCAAGGTATTGAGAACTGACTCCAACACATGCAAGGTATTGAGAGCTGACTCCAACACATGCAAGGTATTGAGAACTGACACCAACACATGCAAGGTATTGAGAACTGACTCCAACACATGCAAGGTATTGAGAACTAACTCCAACACATGCAAGGTATTGAGAACTGACTCAAAACATGAAATGTATTGAGAACTGACCGACCCCAACATTCAAGGTATTCAGATCTTATCCCAACATTCAAGTTATTCAGATCTTATCCCAACATTCAAGGTATTTAGATCTTATCCCAACATTCATGGTATTCAGATCTTATCTCAACATTCAAGGTACTAATTCGGATTTCAACATTCGAGAGATCTGATCCCAATATTCAATATATTAAGATTCGATCCAAACATTTAAGGTGTTGACAGCTCATCCCAAATTCAAACTGTAAGTGTAATCTTATGATGCTATTTTTAGCCTTGGTTCTTATAGCGAGGTGGTGTACAGCGGTCACGTGTTGTGTTCAGTCTGTTTTAATCAGAAAAATGTTACATTGGAAAGATGCCATAACTTATCTATGTGTAAGAAATCTTTAGTGTATAAGAAGTGATTCCTAAAAACTCCAGATAAATCTGGGTGGGGCTCTTGACGAGTCACATATAATATATATATATATATATATATAAATATATATATATATATATTAACGACAATTGGACCCCTTTGATCGCTTGTAGTAGCACCTATCGTACTACATCTCGTATTGTCTGTACCGCTAAGATCGCTTGTAGTAGCACCTATCGTACTACATCTCGTATTGTGTGTACCGCTAAGATCGCTTGCACCACTAAAGTGGAAAGAAATGCCACGCCTCGAATGTGTCACATGGACTTTACATAGAAACAGCCCTGAAAAACTGATTGATCACAAAGTGACAACCTGTCACATCGAATTTACTACCTTCGTGGTTTCATGAACTCTAAAAACAAGAACTACTGTAATAGTGAACATTTTGAAGTGAGATCAAATAACAGACTTAGTATAGCTGACATCACCGTTTGTAAAAAGGGGCTGCTAATTTCCGGAGACACATAAACCAGAGTATTTGACCCCTTGAGATTCATGGACATTACAGGGGTAACTCGGCTTCCTACAAGAGATCTTATTTGCTTTCACAAAAAGTAACTTTCACATAAGTAACATTCGCGTATTCAACCTTAACATATATAATTTTTATATCGTAATTGCTTTATTTCCCTCGGAACTCTGCTGGCCATCTGCAGTCCTACACACAAGACACATAGCAAGATAAGATCTCAGCCTTTGATCTTGCCGATAAGCGTAATTAGCTTAACTCGTCCAACCTGGACACAAACTTGGGTTATGAGACCACGTTATCTTACCACACTCTCTCATAAGAAATGGCCTGGTGGATGTGACCAAAGTCGCCTGGACAGTGAGTACAACCAATAAGGAAATATACTTCCACATCTTCACGATCACTGAGACGTCGATTGAATATTTTTAAACTGTTTTTAAAAGCTGTTATATACCACTGTTTTTTTTGCCAAATTTGGAAACATTCCCAATGATTATTCATTGACTTTTCTTTGCTAAAAAATGCCCACTTGGTCTCTATTCTATGGTCATTGTTCACTCTGTTCAGTGTCCATTGTTTATCCTCTACCTTCACTGGCTTTTCTAAACCAGGCTGAACCAAGAGGTCAGTGCACACAATGTCAACCAAGGGTAATCTATGACCAAGTTCGTGACGGTGATCGTATAGTGGCGGTCACGAAGACCACACGATCATCTGCTGGGACCCTCCATACAGATCTAGCTTCGTTTTTATTCTCTCGTTTTTCTTCTCTATTTGGTCACTGCTTTTGTGTATGTGTGTGTGACAACAATGTGTCTGCATGTGTGTGTCTTAAAGGAAGGGGGGTGGATATGGGGTGGGGGACAATGAGGAGTTACTTTGTTCTATCAAGTTTAATTATACCGTAGCAACTTTCCCTTATCAAATTCCTCATACAGATCACTCAGGTTTATTCTCAATCAACTTGCTCATACAGATCACTCAAGTGTATTCTCAATCAACTTGCTCATACAGATCACTCAGGTTTATTCTCAATCAACTTGCTCATACAGATCACTCAGGTTTATTCTCAATCAAATTCCTCATACCCACAACTCATGTTTATTCTCTATAAACTTGCTCATAAAGATCACTCAGGTTTATTCTCAATCAAATTCCTCATACCCATAACTCATGTTTATTCTCTATAAACTTGCTCATAAAGATCACTCAGGTTTCTTTCTCTATCAACCTGCACATATCAATGAATCGTATCGTCTTTGTTTTTGAATAGCACAGACAGCTCCAGTCTTTCACCCAAAGAGATGCACTTAGCACTGGGGAGCTTGCAGACAGCAACCAAATCAATCTTATTGCTAAATGCACGAATTGATCAGTTTGCTCCCCCCAGCGGTTACACATCTAGATTTTCACTAATTAAGTTGTTTTTGTCACTAAAGGAGTTCAATGATGGTTGATTTCTACGCTAGAGAAATACTTTAGATGTAGTCTGTTTAAATTGTAATACTTGTAAAATTCTGTTTTGATTAAAACATGTATTTATTTATGTGCTGAATATATGTAGATTGTAATTTTAAAAAATCTCCATTTATTTGGATTAATAAGAGACTTATCTTATCTTAATTAATCTTATCTTAACTCTTTCATTCCTAACTATATGACACATCTCACTTGGATATTTTATTTCATCTGAACTTCACAGAAATTATCGTTAATATAGTAAGATTTATTTGATAAGCTGCATAGCGCTACACCATTCATCAAATCGACGGATAGTTTTCCTGAAACATGAAGTCAATAATAATAATAATAAAGTTCATTACAAAACACGCTTCATCCCCCAAAGGCTCGAATCGCGGTACAAAGTCAATAAAAAACAAATCTATAATTTACCACATTTAAAACAAACGCAACACTCTAACAAATATTAAATCAACCTGTGAATAGAATGGATTGCAACTATAAAAAAACGGATTCTACCGTGTTAATTGCAAAGATATCAACTATAACAAATGGGGAAATGGCCGTTTTAATAGCATAGAAAGCAACTACAACAAATACGGAAATCGCCAGGTTAATAGCATAGATAAGCTAAGTCATCCCCGTCAATAAAACACATTCCAATAAATAGAAGTGTTTTGTTGTGTCCAGTAGTGTTAAAGATGCACAAATATGTCATAGATTAGTGTTAAATTTGCGGGCATGTAAATAAACAATGAAGTTTTGTTTACGTGAACACGTGTATAGTTCAGAACATTGTGAGTTAACAATTGTGTTGTATTTTATTGTTTGTGCACATTTTATTTAGTGTGGGGGTGGGGGGGTTGTTAGGACGTTGTTACTCGTCATGCCCCAGGTGCAATTGTCAACGGTTCGGTATAATTCATGAGACAGTGAGAATCAGATTAAATAGCCAGGTTGACCCCGCGCTGAACCAAACCCGCGTGAGGTCGCGCCTGGCGTCACCCTCATCCGACCTGCCCTTAAGTCTGGCACTGCATTTTGAACGTTTTCCCAGCCATCATGGCTAGTATCGTTTGTATGCCTCACTGCCACGACCCATCTGATCTGCTGTGACATTTCACTAGATCCACTTTTAGTGATTTAAATGACTGTCAAATGTCAACTTTCTATGGCTGGTTTTAGGAGACAGTGGGAAATGTTAGCAACCCGTGCAAAACAAAACAAGATTCTTTGCAGACATTCCAGCAGACATTCCAGCAGACATTCCAGCAGACATTCCAGCAGACATTCCAGCAGACATTCCAGCAGACATTCCAGCAGACATTCCAGCAGACATTCCAGCAGACATTCCAGCAGACATTCCAGCAGACATTCCAGCAGACATTCCAGCTGTTGGTGAGTACGGTGAACTCCTTCTTGGTGTAAAATTGTGAATCCCTTTTACCTTAAAACGGCAGGTTTAATTTTTTTTTTTATTGACTGCTGCTTAAAAGCAATGGTAAACACGGACTGAGCAATTTTATACGCAGCATTGATCCCAATGCCCACACACCTTACAACGATGATATCTCGAGAACCCTTGACCGTTTATAGGAATAAAGAATACCACCACAAATTAGTACATTTAATCAGTTTTTAATTAATTTTTTAATTTTTTTTTTTTACATTTTTTTTTTTACAACAAAAAAAAGGTGCCTTTACTCACACCTTGTTAATAGTTTAGGGGGTCATCCGTTATGACGTCACACACCTGAGGTTGGGAACAGGGTCACGATTTTATAACGAACTATTTTAAAGGTATCTGAATTATGTGACAGATTTGTGACGATGGGGGGGGGGGGGGGGGGTCCAAAATCGGCAAAAATGGCGAGGCGTGATTTTGGGATGGTCCCTTAATTAAATATATATATATACACACACATATATATANTTACATTTTTTTTTTTACAACAAAAAAAAGGTGCCTTTACTCACACCTTGTTAATAGTTTAGGGGGTCATCCGTTATGACGTCACACACCTGAGGTTGGGAACAGGGTCACGATTTTATAACGAACTATTTTAAAGGTATCTGAATTATGTGACAGATTTGTGACGATGGGGGGGGGGGAGGGGGGTCCAAAATCGGCCAAAATGGCGAGGCGTCATTTTAGGATGGTCCCTTAATTAAATATATATATATACACACACATATATATACACACACATATATATATACACACATATATACACACACATATATATACACACACATAGTCTATATATATACACACATATATACACACACATATATATACACACATATATATATATACACACATATATACACACACATATATATACACACACATATATATATACAAACATATATACACACAAAAATATACACACACATATATATACACACACATATATATACACACACATATATATATACACACACATATATATACACACATATATATATATACACATATATATACACACACATATATATATACACACATATAAATACACACACATATATACACACACATATATATATATGTATATATATATATATCATAGTTCATTAAAATGTGACTGGATGCTTTGCTTCTCAAGATCAGATTTAGAAATATCATCCCGTTTCGTTACTATCATACGTCATGTCCTCGCGTCTGTTAATATTGCTGTCTTTTTGTGAGCAGGACAGGGGTGGTTGAGGAGTATGTGGTCATTGAGTCATTCCATTTGACCAACGATTTGTTTTTTCTTCTAAATCAATAAATTATTGACCGTTTGCATGCGGTGGCGTGGCGAGGGTTAGCGGCGCCCGGGGCGAGCCAAGCTTTTCTTCTGACCCTTTCCACGATGCACTGTTTAAGTGATTTCTCTCTGACCTGATACGCTGGACATGGTGATTCAAGTACACTTGGACCAAACATGAGATCGTCAAAATTGACTTGGAAAATCCGTCCAAAAAAAGTTGCTGGTACGCATTTCCGGTGCGTTCTACGAGCATATAAAACAACCAACAAACCAACCAACAAACCAACCAACCAACAAACCAACCAACCAACAAACCAACAAAACAAACAACCAACAAACCAACACACAAACAAACCAACAAAACAACCAACCAACAAACCAACACACAAATAAACACACAAACCAACACACAAACAAACCAACACACAAACAAACCAACCAACAAACAAACCAACACACAAACCAACACACAAACAAACCAACCAACAAACAAACCAACACACAAACCAACGCACAAACCAACACACAAATAAACAACACACACAAAAACACACAAACCAACACACAAACCAACACACAAACAAACCAATAAACAAACAAACCAAAACACAAACAAATCAACACACAAACCAACACACAAACAAACCAACCAACAAACAAACCAACACACAAACCAACACACAAACAAACCAACCAACAAACAAACCAACACACAAACCAACACACAAACAAACCAACCAACAAACAAACCAACACACAAACCAACACACAAATCAACACACAAACAAACCAACACACAAACAAACCAACCAACTAACAAACCAACACACAAACAAACCAACAAACAAACCAACCAACTAACAAACCAACACACAAACAAACCAACAAACAAACAAACCAAAACACAAATAAACCAACACACAAACCGACACACAAACAAACCAAAATACAAACAAACCAACCAACCAACAAACCAACACACAAATAAACCCTGCCATTAATTGTTGTTAGTTTGGGTTCATAAATTCCTTGTAACAATTGTCTTAAAAAAACAACAAAAAAACATTTCAAGCAATGTCATGTTATCGTTTATTTATCTACTTCATAAGTTTTGAGACGACCATGATGGAAAACTGAGTGTCAACTGATAACGTTCCTCCTTAGGACGCATCAGGTAATATCCTATTTACAAAATCTTTTAAGGGGTGGGGGGGGGGGATCCAGCAAGTAGAAAAGATCCAAGATTTGGATTCGCTTGTGTTATTACATTTGTATTTATTGGATTCGCCTGTGTTATTAAGTTGTATTTGGAATCTTGGTTATTACTTAAATTTGGAATACCTTGTA